ATAGTGAGCCGACGATGGCTAGGTCTGCCACCTCGAAGATTGAAAATACCCTATGGACGATAGCAAAGGCTCGATTAGCTGCATGCTGAGCATATGGAGGTAGTATCACGAACTCACTCGGTGTCGAAAGTCGGAACTGCGAAGTTATGATACAACAGTGGATAACGCATGTTGTGCTTGCAACGAAAGCGGGAGACTCCCTAGACTGGGCGATTGGAAGTCTGTTCTCGAGAAAGTCCTTTCCGAGATCAGACCAAGAGTGCAAGGGACTGGCACTATCGGTCAGACTTTCGAAATCAACGTCGTTCGATCCCTTGATCAGGACTTGATAAGGCCATCCCTAGGTTTTTCTGAGCTGCATACGGCATACCAGGCTTGGAAGAGCTGTACTACGGTATCTTGGTCATTGGCGAGTTTCGACATCAAGGATTATGCATTCGGTGGCTCCCGCGATGCCCAGTTGAGAATAGGGCGATCAACAGCGGTAAGCCCGTGACCATGAGGCTTATGGTACATTGCAATCCGATGAACATATGGGGTGATCTTCGCTCCCTTTCTCGTTGAGGGCGATCGAGATGATTGGGCTTGTTAACTGAAGTCTGTGGACTGTTGCAGGAAGCCTTGTCGGATGTGAATATGATCCTTAGACATTTCCTCTCACGTCGAAGAGTCGATAAACATGAAGTTGACCCAGAGGTTCGAAGCAACGCACGCCGGCAGCTCTACACGCGACCTTCTTTTAGGTGCTAGGGTCGAATGACTTAGCGATGTTCGGTCACCTGGTCCTTTCCGACAGATGTCGCGCTCCAGGGCGAAGACCAGCGATCACGGAGATGGAGCCGGCTTTGTGCTTCTCAGTGCTGCGCTCCGTATGAACATATGAAGGCATCTTAACGAGGCGCTTCCGTCGAGATAGATGCGGCGAGTCGAGAGGGATGATTATAGAGAACTTGCGCCTCTATATGCTAAGGGTTCGTGATGACCCTAATGACTGTCGAACGTGGAGAACCACAGTAACCTTGCTGGGGGGAGCCAGCAACCATGGCCAATGTTGTTGGATCGAAGCCAGCCAAACTGGGCGAAATCGAAAGCCGTCAAGCCTCCAACGAACCTGAAGCCCATCTTGGACTGAAAGGTGTTGCCGCCAATATCCATAGTGGAATGACACGTTTGCTCAAGTCGTGCATAGTTTGTTGAGCCTGTGCTGACGACGCGCACCACATGGCAAAGGGTCGCTAAATGGGCGAGCATACTTGCCACGTCCGTCAAAAGGTACAGGAGTCAGCTATCACGTCGTCCGTTTCGATTAAGATCGCTTACCAAATTTGACGCCACTGGTCAAAGGACCAATCCCATCCCTCTCCATCTGGCCGACTTACCTCTCTTGTTCGGCCCAGCTTGCCACTCGGTAGCCTTCATTTCCATCCTAGTCTTTAGTTGCCCCAACACGGCAATCGAGCTTCTCACATCGACCCATACCTGGCTGTGCGCCGCCTTGAGTTCGAATCGACTTTCTGCCTCTGTACCAGGCCCACGACTATTCTCCCTGGGATCCTTTCATGGCCATAAGCTTGAAGTAGGCTGATCGACTCGTCCGAATGCGAGGATTCGGTAAAGTTTATAGGCTAGCCTGCGTCGGCCGCGTTCGTCAGGAGCAAGTCGTAGTTGGTCTTAGAGGGGCCGCATTTGCCTGCGATACTAGATCAAAAGACTAAAGAGCGAGTCGCAAGCTCCACATCTTCCAACATGCTGCATGGGTCGGCATTCATTGGCCGATGCACACAGGGGCATATAGGGCCCCTACCATTCCCAAGCGGCTCTTACCATTCGCCCGACTGCGTCTAGTACGATGTAGATCCTTTGTTCTCCCTCCTTTCCGTTACATCCTTCTCTTTTGGCCATTGATCTTCTTTACAACTCTTCCCCCTCGAAATTCCTCAGCTATAGGTTGGCCACGCTACCCATCGCCCTATCCATCATTCCATCCTCAATATGATATTGCCTCCATGTCGGTTGCCGAATAATCGATTCGAGGGTCTATGGGGGAAGGGACGACCGAATGATGGGGGACGCGAAGGATGTCTCAAAGTCCCGTATATGGGTAGAAGAGGAAGTTACCTATACTTCTGATAAGCTGGTTCAACACTATATGGCCTGTCTGGGTATCAGCCATTCCTCGCATGCCAGGTGCTATCGTCCGACTAGCTCGCGCTTACGAAGGTTTGCGGGGGTATCGCCAACGGGATGGCATCTCAGGAAGAGATAGTTCGGTCGCACTCGTCTGGCGGAAAGGGCTCCTAAGCTGCATTTAAGTCAGTACTGTACGTTCTGGGTAGCGGTCTGATGTCTTCCACCCCCCATCGAATTGCGGTTGTCCGACCAGCCCGCATACACACCGCTGCTGCGTTGGCAGACCTGATATGGGACATCATCGCCTGCGATGCCATATCGATGGATACCCAGACTATGGCTCAAGCTAGGGAGCATGTGTCGCTAAGGCTAAATATTTCCAATCCTCCAGTTCGGTTTGAGGTCGTCCTGCCCTTTCGATCGGCGTCGCTGCGGTCGCGAAAGTCCTCGGAGGTATAGGGTCAACGAGGATGCGGTAGAGCTCTGCGCAGGAGTTAGCCGTGTTTAGCTTACGAAATGGGAGACTCCAAGGCTAGGAAAGCAACCACCTACCCAGCAATGCCGCGAAGCGTAAGCAGCCGATGTTTGATGCTCTTTGCTTCCTGTCGTCACTCGATTTGCGGACACCTTTGCCTCTGTTTATGAGAAGACTGGCAGATGCTGCAGACGTGCTTCGCGCCTTACGTTCCCATATTGAATGTGTAGAAGTGATGGGCACGCTGATGAGGAGTGCTGCCGGCTGCGTTTGTCGTCCGCCTTTGTCGGAATGTTCGCAGAATTGTTTTGAAACTGGTGCCGCGCACAAACATCTCGCGAGGAACTTCTGTGCTAGCCAGAACTAGGTCTGGAGGGCCGATATGTCTGTTGGAGGCCATTCTTACAGTCGGACGCATGCCGTGGGTTCTACGTCAACCTGTAGTGGCGTGTCGCGTTTGGGGTCGAGCAAACCAGAATGCGCAGCCCCGGACCGTGCTGTCAAAGGCGGCTGAAGGCTCTCTATCCTACATTGCGTCTACTATTCAGTATGTCAGCATCCGAGCCGACTGTCACTGAGCCGCATGCTCTACGTCGCATGCACTGCGCCGTTATGTGGTAGCCTGACAATGGTGTTGCTTGCACCTTTCGGATCTTCTGGGTGCGGCTGTCTGTCAGCAAGCTCGCTCGAAGACAGGCACTGTGTCTGCACGATATGACTTACAACCTCTAAAATCATGAAGCTGCGGCTCGGGCTGTGTAAGATTCTGGCGGCACCTGTGGAGGACGCCTCGTTGGCAAGTTTGACTCCGGATGCAGCTCCACTCGCGATACTGCGCCACCTCTGTCGCCCATGCAGTGTGTGTTCTGAGTATCATTCTCGTCTCCCACGACGAACTCGGAAATATTGAGTCTGTTGTTCCTCGATCTGGGTATGCGGCAGTGGTGGTTGTTTTGGTGATTGAGACATGGAGATGTGGGGCACGTGAGCGAAGAACAAGTTGCAGCTACATCACCGATGAACTCCATTATGACATAGGAATTCCGATACGTGAACTCCAGCACGCGTTACAGCTGCAGAATGAACGGGAGCATACCCTGCACTAGAGCTCTAAGGATATTTTGGCCAGAAAAGAAGCAACGTAAAATCTGTTCTCGCTGGAGCCCCGCCGACCGGCAAAACATGCTGAACTGCTGTTCAAACAGAGCAATTGGAGCCTTGACATGCGAAAAATAATTGCCCCAAACGACCTCGAAAGCATATCTTCGCACGGTATTCTAGCAAGCCGGCTGCAGTGGCTCTGGTTGCTGGAGACTACATTCGTCTATTTGAAGATCTTGGTGTTGAAGTTTGAATGCTCTCATCAAGTACCCCACCAGTATTGATACCATATGAGGTACATGAGGCTAGCTGCGAAAGATACTGCGAGAGCAGACGTCGAAGCAGTACCGACTTTTGCCCTATGTCATAACTGCATACAGTCCATCACTATGTCTCACACAAGACGGATGCAAGCTTTGAAAGGACGATATAGTCTGACGCTCGCTTTCTTCGACACAGTCACTCAAGATCCTACCCCCTGTGACATTGCCTGATATTCTTCAAAGCTCTTCTGCTTCCCCTCAAGGGAAACAAAGACATCAAAGATCTCGCTATTAAGCTACAACATGCAATTAGGCGCACTGCGAGGGAAGCAGAGCATAGTTCCTGCTACCTTGAGTACCGTGAAGTGAAGGAGTGTTGCCAGGTTAGACTTACAGTCCCTGCAGCTACCTACTTCCTATCACGCAATACAAACAAGATGGATAGCGCATCTTCACCCACAACACAACCTTTTGTATTGTCTATATATATTATGACTTTTGAAAACACCACGTCCCCGCTAACTGTGTCCAGAAACCGCAGAGAAAGACGTAGACCCTCCCGTGTTGAACTTTTTTTGGCCCCTTGGTCAAAGTCCCGTCCTTGGAGACAACAGTGGTGAAGTGGTGTTCATATAGGCCCGCGTTCGAGTCCGTTGTAGTGCAACCCTTTTCTTTTTCGTCAGTCACTATCACTGACCCAGACTTGCGAAGGCAGTACAGCAAAAGTTGATAAAAACGAGAGGATAACCTGGCAGGATCTCAGCATGCAATTTTAGCAGCAACGTCATTCTAGAAATTGGACTACACACGTTGGTCTAATTATGCGAAGAGCTTTCGAATATGGCACCTGAAATCTATCACGCGCGACCAGGTCCTCCCAAATCATGGCTAGGGGGTTCTCTGATTCAGACCAAACGATAGCATAGAGATCTTCGAGAGTCTTATGGACTTTGAGTACAGCACACCACGGTATTACATTTGATTCGGGTACGACCATTTACTTCGACCTTCCCATACTACGCCAGCTCGCTCTACAGTCCTAATCCCAACCTCTCAATAAGAACCGCCATTACCTCAATGTTCCTTCTGCTGTTAAGATTGTAGACGAATTGTGATAGGGCGGCCTCGATTTGCTCCTTTGATGGCTTGAAGCCATGCGGGAAAAACACCTTGTCTACCTCAGTCCGCAGCTGCTTGAGGTCTTGCTCGACTGCCATGACAAGCTGCTGGCAACTGTCCACAAACCTCCTGTGATCGCTCTGAACCAGGAACCTCCACCGACCACCTAGTTTCTCAGTCTCCCGGTGAACGGCGTTGTTCGCCATTATTGTGCCTGCTTCTCTCACGTACGCCCCTATCCTGTAGTCAATGGCATCTGCCTGTCCCATGTACAGCCAATGCTTCATGATACAGAAGCCGAACGGGAGTACCGTGGGATGATTGTACTCTCTGACCTTCTCCCGGAGATAGTCTGCAGTCGTATGGCAGTTCCTGTCGAAGGCGAACTGCGGGAAGGTAGCGTCCGACACACGCGCACCCGCACCACCCCACAGTCCAACAAGCTGCGGTCCTATCTCCCATGTTGACTTGGCGTTCCGGTCTTCAGCGGTATCGGGTGCCATGACGAGAGCTGTGTGAAGCTCCGATAAACGATCTCTCTTAGTTGCGGACATGCGCCAAAAGGCTATGCGCTTCGTTGGGTTGCCGACGGCGTTGAACTCTTGGAGCTTGATCGGCATGCCTGAAGATGTTAATTTCAATACACCAAAAGCGATTGTATGTCGTACCTTCTACTAGCCAAGCCAAACTCGGGCTTGTTGTCGCAATAGCAAAAAAGCAGTTCTCGACACAACAAGCCTGGATCTTCACTTCCTCTGGTATACCCTCCACGAAAGGGGGCTCTGGGAACGCTGACTGAGACCAATCTTTGTAGTATATGAATTGGTCTAGTGGGAAACATTCCAAGGGATCGTCGGAGTAGCTGTAGATTACCTTCATCATGGTTGCCGCGCTGATGACCAAAGCGAGTTTTTGTTGCAAGCTGACCAGCCGGACAATAGTCCTCGAAATCTGTCTTCGGTCGCACTCAATCTGGTGGTGATCATAGCACCACCCGCCGCAGAGACATTGCCAACTCGTGCGCGTCGAATCGATGTCGGAATCGGGGACGTCGCGACAGTTGGGACAGGATTCGGGCGAGGTGCCTGGAAAAGAGCCGCAGCCATAGGGGTTCACGAACGAAGCCATGTTGAGTCTGGCTTGAATTGTAGTTGACTGCTGGTTCGTGGATGTGGAGGGAAGTTGATTTGGGGAGTCAATTCGGGGAGTCGAATAATTTCCCTGGGTGAGAGTTCGTTGACTTTCCGCCTTCACCTTGCGTGCCAACCCGGAAACCCGACCGATAGAGAAATCACCCGGGCACCATAGCGGAAGCTTGTGGATCGTGCCTCTTCTGACATCAGGTTTCACTCTTGGAGTCCCAAGCTACGTGGTTTTCGGTCATGCTCATGGCGTCTTTCACCATTTTAAACACCAACATCAATGCACGGGCAGGCACGTTATATGATCACGGGCAGCACTTCATGTGGTAACCTGATTGATTTACAGGGTCATTATGACGGAAATCCCTATGTTGTTGCGAGTTCTTTAGCAGGACATACAAAGACCGCATGTACGATCTAATGACAGCTCTGGGCGATATTTACAGATTCTTCTTCTCTGTTTTGGCTGCCACCATCCGCTTCATTGCAGCTTCATTCATGGCCCGGTGCCCTTCGCCGTTGCAGTCGTCTACCAGCTGCTGAAAGGCGTCCCGGCGTCGGTCTTGAAAAATCAAGTCTTCGGTCCTTGGTCGTAGTTCTTCAAGTGCTCCGCAAAGTACCCGCCCGATGCTGTCCATGGCAGAGACAAAGTCCCAATGCCGCATGCTGAACAGGTACGGACGTCCGCCCAGCCTCTGCGCCTCCCTATATATAGCATTGTTCATCGTCCGAAGCTGAGCTTCTAGTATAAAAGAGCACTGATTGTCTTCGATGCTGCTACTTTCGTCCTCCAGAGCTTCGCGGTGCTCCTTGAAGAAGCTGCCGAAAGGTTCTGGCGTGTGCCGCCCTCGGGTCCTAGTATCGTGGTAGTGCGACGCCCTATGACTCCTGACCGTGCTCTCGTACTGCATCGAGCTAACGTCTACTACAATACCGTCCTTCGGGCCAGGAGTGCCAAGCGTGGGTGTCATGGTGAGGAAGGAATGAAGATCCGCAATAAATGCCACCGGATTGCCCAGCATTAGGAGGTGGATTTGTCGCGTCTTGATGGGTTCGACCGTATACTCATCGATGCGTACGGCCTTGTCTTCGAGAAGCCATGCAAGCAGCGGCGTCATAAACTGGATGCTCTTGATACAGTTGCTGAAGCTCGCTGCTCCCAGTATTCCAGCGGGCCATATGCCTTCGCACCACCACTGCCCCTCCTTGCGTTGCTCGATTCCAACGTTCCGGATTTCGCTGGAAATTGCATGGTCGGAGGTGATATGACAGATGAACAGCTTCATCTGTACGCACATCAAGGCCATGTTGCAGATTGCCGCAGTGCGAATCATTGTCCTCCAGCTGCAGCGCTCACGGCAGGTGGTGGCGGCGTGCGCGAACGAATCGCAAGAAAGATGATCATAGCAACAGTAGCCATAGTCTGTGTTCGGGGAGTGTATGTCGGAATCGGGAACTTCGAAGCAGTTTGGGCAGGCGATGGGGATGGGCGGGAGGAGTCTATTACAGCCTTGAAGCCCACAGATATCGAAGCCGAGAACCATATCGCCAGAGCTACCCAGTGGAGAAGATTTTGATAGCGTTGTCGCGGTCGGTGGTTTTGGTCAAGAGGGTTGGCGGGGCTTGCGGGCGTGGTGCTTTCGATAGAGAAAAGTGTGTCGCACATTCTCCTTCACTTCGAAAACAATACTGCCCCGCATGCCGTTGCGGGGTCCCACAAAACGATAGATCTCACGCTCAGGAAGGCTGGACTGGAAGGGAGTGTGAGAAGGTACCGATAATGGCACCATTAGACCATGCGGAGTATCAAACAAGCAATCACCAGAGCATGATGTGCGAATCTCGAACAGAAGATACTTTCAGCGCTGCTCTCGCACCAGAAAACCATCCATTTTCGGAGACAATCTATGAAAGCCGCGATAAACGCCCTATGTCCTGCATTGTCCACTTCTTCAATGTCAAAATCTCTTGATTTGCCCCCAGGAGCTTCCAATGTGACATAACGAGAAAAGAATTCCGCTCGCCATGCTTGTCGACCTCCGTGTACACGACGCTCTTGGACGTGCGAACGATTTCTCCTAGATTGAGGAGGCTAGGCCTGTCTTCCCCTTTCATCATCGACCTCTGGATCTGTTTTCCATGTGCTCTCAATATCTTGCCGAATTTGGTGCTCTCTACATATGTAGCGCCCCCTCATGTCCTCGCCTGCGGTATGCGTGGTAGCCTTGAACGCCGTCGGCAAAACAATACTGAGGATGTGTTGCATCGATACAATGCTATATGCGTGGATAGGTTTGATGCCAATGTCCTCGTAGTGAGGCGTGAATGCTAGGAAAGGTTGTATGAAATCGGTGTTGACCGCGTGGTGCCGTTGTCGCTCAGTCACCATAGCCTGGTGGGAGCGCGCGGGTTTCGGATCGCCGAAGTGTATTTTAGAAATAGTGAAGGGTAAATCTGGAGATGTCAGTGGCCATGTTGGGTTTGTTTATAGATGGCATACCTTCGGACAGCCAGCCGAGCAAAGCACTTCCACCCTTGATAGCGTCGCGGCATCTGTTCATGGACATCGGCTTCATCTTGATCTTCTCTTCGACACTGGAATCAAACTGCGGTATCCCATCTTTGAAGGCACAGATGGGGCTTGGATCAGACTCAGACCACCATCGTAGAGATCTGTAGCAGAGACAAGACCCCTCCAATGTATCGCCCGCAACTGCGCCTGAGTATTGTCCTTGATGAGACTGGATATGCGAACCGTATCACTATATGTTATTCTCTTTCAACACTCCTGCCCATAAGAGTGTTCCTTTAGATGCTCTTCGCAGCAGTACTGGGCTGTTGTGTTGGATTTGATATCGCCTTCTGGTGCATTGGCAAGTTCGTGGTAGGTGACATCGAAACGAAATGTAGCAGTGTTGCAATATGATAGCCAACAGTTAGAGTTCGAAAGCTCCATGCGGTCGTCATGCGGCTTTAGAAAGAGTTCGAGGAGGGATTCAGGCTACGAAAAGTCTTGTTATTGTCGGTGGACGTGAGAGCTCTTACAACGCACAGACGCATCTCGACCAGTTGAGCTCCTTCCTTCTTGGAGCTTACGCAAGACAACAAAAACTCACATTAAATTGATAAAAATGTCATTCCCAAGCAACTCCTCTGATTCTCCTCTCGAGATCGAAGAGATCCTGAACCTCTATCGCATCTGTTTCGAATCCGCCGTACGGTTCCCCCCCCCTCCAATCGATCAACGAATTCAAGCGTAACGGCAATATATGGGAGTTGTATTGGGACGACTCTGCAGTTATACTAGACCGGTGGCCTCCGAACATGACAGAAGCAGAGAAGAAGGCGTACAAAAAATGGAACTTGTGCGACACATTTTGCTTGTTACTGCACGAGGTTTTGGAGAAGCATTTGCAGCGTAAACAAGCCTACCTCTCGTCCATCTTTGAATTGAACAATAACGTAAACTATCCAGGCTATGGAGCGACTACTGACTGGATCGCGGTAACACCTCGACCTCGGATCACCCTTGTCTCAGGGCATGTACAACCCAAAGTCCTCTTACATTCCGCCCTCTTTGTCTGCACCAAAGAAGGGGATCAATACGCCTTCGATGGCACGGGTGAGCAATTTGGTTGGAGTTCTTCGAGCTGGCTCCTCGATCGAGAGGACTTTTGGGAGCAGCATGCGGTAGCTGCAAAGAAATGGCAATGGGGTGATGTGAACTCGGAGACCATGCGCCGCATGATTTGTGCTCAAGACAATGGATACTGGAGCCTGATCATCTGGAGCTTTGATGAGATGTTTGAGAGCATTGGTGGGGTGGTTTTGGAGAAAATGTCCCCTGTCGCGCGTGTGAAGTATGTCCGCGCTGAGGCTGACAAAAGGGCATCTGCTGCCGCACGCGCAACTATGGGATAGGATGGTCATACCTCTGAGACAAATACGGCAGTTGAATGCTTTCATTTTGATCAATCTCATGCGGATACTTCACCAGGCTGCCCAGATGTCATCTCGTAGGCTCGTGCCTTTTAATCCCTTGACGTACAGTCGGGGACCTCATGATTCAAACATCTGCAATTATAGAGATCATTGGATTACTTCCGGCCTAAGCAAAACTTGGGTTCAGTCCGCCTATTTTCGTACATATCATGGGTCTTGCATGGCTTTGCGAGACTTGAGCCAGCGGTGTCGCACTAGACCGAAAGGAGTAAGGTGTTACGGGTCATCTCAACTTCATGCCTGCGCTCACATTTCAGTCAATGCGAAATATGCTAAGATATCTTGAGACTCCTACTTCAGATGACAAATAAGACACAGCCAAATGTGTGAATGCCCAAAGTAGCGAGATAAAACGTAATCTATTTTATGGGCTATCACCCGATTCACGTCAGCCTACGTCTCCAAGCAACGACTGTCAGTCTAAAGAGGAAGATGCCGACCTGCCACCTTTTTGAGAGCCTCCATTGCCTTTACATGCCCGTCTCCCATTGCTCTATCCATGCGGTCTTCGAGCATGGCCAGATCATCCGGACCACACGCGCACTGTTGTGCGCTCTCTTGTGCGCTCTCTTGTGTAGGGAAGTGAATGTGATCGAGGTCATCTCGTAGTTTCCTGAATCTATCTCTCCAATCCAAACGAAGCTTCTGAAGTACCTTATTCCTCTCTTCCTCGTTCATGGCCCTCAGTGATTGGAGTCCGCCAACCTCCCTTATCACATCCCACAACACGTTGTTGATCGTACGAGCCGTTATCTCGCATTCTAGACATTGAGTACGAGAGAGTATATGTTGGTCTGGGAGCTCATTGTATCGGCCGGCCTTGATAAGATCGTACTCGAAACCGAAGTCTGACCAAGTGGAGCTAGTTGTGGTGGTGTCCACCGGATATTTGCTACATAGTATGGCGCCTTGCTCGTAACGGTACTGGGGGCGAGATGGATCAAGATATAACCCTCCGCAAATAGACTCGTGCGCCTCTTCTTGTGGTGCGATCTCAACCACGGTGTGAATTTGCGCAAGAGACCAGACTGAGTTGTAGTCGCGACGCATCCGCATCTCCTGTTTCGGCACCGTGCCCGCGATGTTGGCTATTCGCAGACTTACTGGCAGATCTTATGCAGTTAGTAGATTGTCTTTCAACACTAGAAGGGGGGATTACCTTGAAACAACAGCGCAGTCATGCCCGTGGATATGTGAATGGTGTGCCTGCAATTGTGGAAAAATACAGCAGACTGCCTGTCAAAGGCCTTCATGTCGGAAGGAAACATGTCTTTGCGCTCCCCTACCCTACAAGCGGGGCGATGTGTAAACAAAATTGCGCCATCTCTCTGTAACTCAGGTCCCCTGGTTACGACGTGCCAGTGCAGGGCTTCCTGCTCCTCAAGGCAAACGATGTTGATTGCACTGTCCACGAATGCAATCCATGCAGGTAGCCAGCGCCGAGCGCATATATCCTGATGTTCTTCGACGTCCTTTTTTAGATGTTCCTCCGTGCAGTATTCGTAGTTTGGAAAGGCGGTCGTGGGGTCGGTCTGCGGCATCCCACGACAGCGCGGGCAGGTGATGGTTGCCAGAGCAGGCTGTTAACAATCCGGAAGAGCACACATCTGCTGCTTTTGATTTGGAGCGCAGCTCGATGAACAATACTTTCTAGGATCGAAGTTGGGTGAGGGTGCCGGAATACTGCGAGGACTTGGGAGTGCCTTGTGAACCAGGCGATTGCAGTGCAATGCGTGGCATGTAATCTGTATAGACGACTTTGTGGGCAGCGGAGGCATGATTCAAGTAGTTATTATTTCCCATTTGTATCATGATCGCGGCCGTAGAGATTTTGTGTGCGGGAGCGGCGGACAGACGCCTTGGCGGCACGCTTTCTCCCCAAGCGAAGCTGTTTGATATTCCTTAGCGTATCCAAGTGTACTTGAAAAACCTCATCCCCTCCAAAAGGTTTGTCGCCGCGCACGCCCTGACAACCATTACCCCTTCCAGCGCCATGGCACCAGTAGGAAATCATCTTCGGAAAGTTGCCTCTACTCTCCTCACTCTTTTCGACATCACGGTGCAGAACGGAAGCTGGTTGCCTATTGAAGACATATCTCTCTTTGAGGGCTTTAAACCTCCGACAGCTGCTGATTTGCAACTGAATGCAAGCATTTCCGGTACCACGGCTGATTCCAACAAAGTATTTCTTACAGCTAACATCCGTTTAGTTGATGAGTACCTCAAGGGTGATAAACCACGCGAGGAGCATGAGCGACTCCCACAGCAATGGGGCTCTAAGACACCACTTTGGCACCGCCCCAGCTGCCCTCCATCTTGTGATAATTTCCATGGGCTGGAGTTGTACCATGGTAGCAGAATAACACCCGTCTATAAAATGCTCATGTCGGATGGTGTTTTACGTTGGGGTGCTGGGTACAAGATGCCGCCGCATGTCGAGGAATCGCTGCAACGAGGTGCGCTCATGAGCAATAACTGCGACCGCAGCGCGCATTTCCTGAAGAGAATGGCTGAAGATCTGTTCTGCCGACGTAGGTCATTCAAGCGCAACTATAAGCATGCACTAATGTTTTGCAGTAGACCCCGGAGCGAAGGTCAGCTGGATGATCCTCGTCCCTCAAGGCCGATATACCTTCGCTTTTAATAAGCCATTCCGTGCAGTACAGCACTCTGTCCTCTTGGTAGATCTCAGTGACGGCCGACAACTCATCCTAGATCCCACCGGCGAACAATTTGGCATTCCGCGCGAACACCGGTTCCTCCCAGCTCATGAGTACATGAAGCGGTACATGGTGCCGAGCGACGATTGGGAGGGACGGCGAACCTGGATCCTTCTCGACGCGGAAAACGAGCAGGAAATGGTAGACAAGATTGAGCTATTCTGGAAGAACGCCAAAGAGACTGCAGAGAGCTGTGTCGAAGTCTGGGTGAAGAACATACTCTTGCTCAGTCATTCTTCGTTGGAGGTAGTGTTAGACTCTGGTACACAGTACATGGACCAGGAGGAGAAGCTATTGGACATGTTTGAGAGAGAGCTGGCCAAGCAGGGAAGTGGAAGCGAGAAGGAAGAGGAAGAAGAGGAAGAAGAGGAGGAAGTGGGCGCCATAGGTAACATGGCTGACAATACCGATTGAGCAAGCGGTTGGGGTTACGTGGGTCAGTAGTGCAGAAGGAACTGGCGATTGAGAGGGAGGCCATAAGAGCGACATATGATCAGGAGTTGTGGCGCGCAATCCCTCACAAGGATTGCTCGGACTTGTAATGGAAACAACCTGGCCTTATTCGACGCGTTGGGACACCATGGTCATATCCGTCGTGCAAAGGTACATTCTAATGATTCTTCACGCAGCCAGAAGATTTCCAAACAAATTTTCATATAGCAGATTCTTAAGGTGATGCTGCTTGTTATTAAATCATACCTGGCCAAGACATGCAAAGCTCCCCAGGCTGATTTCCTTATCTTTTTATAACTGGCCATCATCGTTGGTGTGATACAAGCAGGCGAGCCTTGCTGCAGACTCACTGTATATCACCATGCACCCGATACCAATGTGTTCAAGTGTAACCGAGAATTATAATATCAAAATTATCGATTTATGAGTCCTGCTCAAACTGTACATGGATAGTATGTATCTTACAATGTCTGAAGGCTGAAGCAATTTCCTGGTCATGCATTGAAGTTGCAGCCAAGAACGTCACTGTTGCCCGGTCACCCACCCCGCCAACCAAAAAGATCATAAAAGGCAACTTTGGCTTCACCCGGGTTCGAAAAAAAGAGCGAACCCCGCCGGGTTCTCATCCAATCAATCCCTGCCGGGAAGGTGGGAAGGTATGTGTGGAAGCTAGCCTTCGTCAGTTACGATCTTACACCATTCAACGTTAAAACAAATTACAAAGTGGACCAATCCTGGGAGCTGCCACCCCAGAACGCCGAAGTGAGAATAAAATTAAGAAATATATATACTACAATTAAGCTTAGCGTGGGGCCCGGCAGTGGCTGGTAGGCGGCGGCGTGACGCACTGTCGGCCACGAGGTGAAGACGATGGTCTGCCTCTGCACTCAAGGTGGATCATCACAAAGGCACTTGATCAGTTTTAGCTAATATCAACAATACCAGTTTCGTTCTGCGTGCCTTGTTTGACCAGCTTGCAGCGCTGCAGTTCTCTGGTACTTGAATACTTCGTCCTCGCTCGCTGCCTCGAGTCTGCATCTCCAACGAGGTTATCAGTCACGGCTGCACGTCTCTTTACATGACAATGGATTCTGACAGTAGCATTCAAGCCTATTCTTCTTATGAGTCTATCCTGAATCTATACCTATGCTTGCGCGCAGAAGGTGTGGCGCGGCCCAAAATGAGTTCTCTGCCTGCCAGCTGTGCAAGCTCTCCTTCACCTTGACGCCCGTGTCCTTGATACAAAAATCGCACACAGAGTCCCATTTCCTTGACCCCTCACTTCGATTTCTACCCTCAAGCCACTACACCAGCAAACCCTCTACACATCTCTCAAAATGGCCCAGCTACCTTCTGATTCGAGCACGTCCATCGAGTCTCCTCAATCCACTTCCCTTATGTCGGAAGCTCTCACCAATTTGATCTTCTCCTCTCGCCTCGAACAACGCCTCCGATCACAGCTCCTCCAGCTCACGAACCGTTTCCTCTCGCTCTGCAATGATGGCCCTCCTGTCGTTGTGTCGTCCCGCTTCCCCGGTGCCAAGTTCCATTCGCGCGACGAAAGCTACTTCTTGAGCTCAGGAGCCGAGTACTACATCATATCTGAAGACTTCTGGAGCAAGATCGACGGATCACCCTCACAAGACAGGATGTTTGCTGGCGAGATGACAGTGGAAAGCGATCCTATGCAGCTCGGTGCTTTGACGTACAACTGTTGTGTTGATGCTGCGTACGTACACTGGGAATTTCTCCACGAGATGTTCAAGAGTACGTTGCAATCTCGCCATGTCCATTAGTGATGAGTGATTGAGTCAATAGAACACATACTGACACGATATTACTTTAGAAGATCCGGAGATGAAGAGAGTGGAATGGGCACGCGTCCCCGTCCGACCGCGCATTGTCTTCTTTTGGGAGAACAAAATAGGCGACGAGACACGCTACCTGCACGATATCATCATCATTGTTGCATCAAATGGGGCAAGATTCGTCTTCGACCCCACCGGGTACCAATTCGGCTTTGGGGGCTATGTCCATAAGTGGGAGACGTACAAGAAGCAGTTTATTGATAAAGAAGGTGAGAGTCTTCGAGCAAGCGTGGGGACGGGGAGGAGCGTTAATCCTCAGGCTGCAATGGCCTCTTATCGTGGCTCAATGCAGGCGGCTCGGGAGGAGCTCATGAGAAGACTTTCTGAGGGTACGTCCCTGCTCTGAAAAGACTTCCTGGCTGGCTAGTGCTATTTTGTCGGAGATACCCCCCTTGAACAAACAAGATTGCCGCTTCTCTTGTAGAAGACATTTCTCTCAACTCAGCTCCACCCTTCCAATATGTTTTGCATATTAGGCTTGTAACCTCATTGCCATGTCTACGAAGGATGGGATCTTCAGGCTCCTCCCATCCTGCTCACTATATCCTGGTCAAGCATTCTTAACAGGCAGACAAATAAATTATGTCATGGTAAACAGGTTAAAGGCTTTGTGAATTGGTGAAAGGGTACTATTGACGGCAGGAAACTCCAGTATTTCTTCCATCTATGCCACCTCGACGAGTTATATACAGGTCCAGAAGATCCAAGAAGTCACCAAAGGCCTAGATCTCCCAATCCCCTAACTCCACCGCCTCTGGTCACTCTACCTACAAAGGAGGCTCCGCTAATGCGCTCCTGAGATAAGACGTAGGAGAGTTGTAACCCTTGTAGTCTTGAGCCAATGTCGAATGCCACCTGCCCTTCATTGTCTCTCGCAGTTCGTCGAAGGCCTGGGCCCAGCCAGTGCCCCCATGCCGGCCCTGGTACTCCTCTAACAATCTTGCCGCCCTATTGTCGAGGCTCTCTTGAAGCATGACGCCAGAGTGCTCTAGAAGGTTCTTGACTGTTTCGGAGGGCTGGAAGGCCAGCGCAACAAGGAGCAGCGGGCTGTCGTTCTCCAAGAGGTGGGGTGCATACATCATCGTATGACGACGGAAGTAGAAGTATTTGTAGGTAATGTCTTCGCGCGGGCCGATTAGAAGCATGTTGGCGTCGGCTTCTACGTCGACATCGTTGGAAGGAAGGAATGCGTAGTCGTACATGCTGCCGACAATGCGCCAGAGCGGAATGCGGAGGTGCCATCCAAGACGTGGTTTGACCGAGAGTTGGAGTTTTCCAAAGGAACTGAACTGGTTGGGTAGTTCCTTGCAACCCTTTCGGATGAGGGACAGCGCAGTAAGGTCTTTGTGAAGTTTGGTGTGCCGGTTGACTTTGACGTAGTATGTCAGAGACAAGTCCTTCCTGTGAGTGCGCTCAATGTTAGCAACTTATATGCATTTACGCTGCTGTAATACGTACTCAAGGATCTGTAATGGGTCCCCGTCGTGGTGATTCTTGCACTCCTGCAAGATGACTTTGAGGACTTGCAGTTGAGTGACCGGGGCTGTCATGGCTTGTATTGCAAAATGGTTTATCGAATTTGAAAAGGTTGAGTAGATATCGGGACAAATAAGTTCAGGTACTCTTTGTGGTGGAATTAAAAAGAAGTCATGGATATCGGCAGTATCGCGCTAGTGAGACATTTCCCGCAGGCAATTGGAGACACCCCGAACTTTGCTATCACCTTGCAGAACCCCGCCATCCCCTCAAACATCTACCAGAGCCGTCTCGAAGCTCCAATGACTCTTGAAAAGTACTGCTGCCACGATAACTCTGACGGCCGCCATTACCCAGGCCCTTGTTCGCCTACAACTCACGCTTTGGATCCACTTTTGTGGCCTGGGAAACAGCCATGCATATCCCGCTAAACACAAGCTCAACTTCCTCCAACTGATTGAGAGCATTCAGTCTACAACGAAGTATACGTCAGGGGATATCTGGAAGTTCATGCGAAACGTCAGTCAGCCTCCAGAAGTCCACGACCCGAATCCGGATAAGCTGGCCTACCCGAATCGCGCGCCACGCTTTATGGGGGTACCCTGAGACACTTTCTGTCTTTGAATGAGTATGAAGTCGATAAGGAGCTACACCGTAAGCAGTGAAGTCACCCCAAGCTCAATAACCACATGTGACACCAATTTCTGACCATGCGTAGAGCTCTTTGGCGCAAGCATCTCCTAGGAGCGCTCCTTCCCTCAACCCAAGACCCTGCCCTTCAAATACTCCATGGAGCCTATCCTTCTCCTACAAAGGGCGCTCCTGTCATGGACCTCTACGGCAACGTTCTCGGTTTCGACAGGACCATCCACCAGTACGGACCGAACTGGCGCAAGACTACTGGCTTACGTCTAAGGCGGATATCCAGAATAGCTGCATGCGGACACCCAATGACATTCGTTACCAAGATCGGACAAACAAACAAGATGTGCATAGAGCTGGCAGATCCGGGGTGGACAACTGCTGAGCGGTTGTGGGCCAGCGCATGGACGGGCTGTTCTAAGGGAGCGAACACAACCCCCTTTGGCAGCTTGTCGGATGAAGGGCTGGATGATCGCGCTTGTGTGCCGGCCGAATCTAAGCTCGTGGAGTTCTTTCAGGGGGTTTGAGCATCTGTACATACTGGACGAGAATGGGGAGACAGAGGGCAAGGACGCCTCCAAGTACAGTTGAGGCTAGGCCTCATGGACCGAGTTGTAGACATCGTGATATATTCAAGCCGCGTGGTGCTTCTTCAGCTAGCATGCGCCTAGGGGCATTCAGGTCCTGAAATTGCCAGATATCCACTCTCCCAAGTCAAAGAAGCCATCAAACCTCATCCCAAAAGTGTCCTTCTTGCCAAAAGATGACTGTGCCATAGTGAGAGCACGTATGCTTAAATGAGCTGGCAAGGCTGCTGGCAGCGTGCGCTAGCGCCAAACTCCATCTAGCATTGTCTCCTTCACTGTCTATACGAAAGCATCTCCTTTGCCTTGAACCTCTATGTTAAGCACTATCTAGACGCAAAACCGAACACAGTTTTTACAAACAACGAACTTTGCCATGGATAACTCCGCACCATCGCCCCCACTCTCGCTGGAGGAGGTTCTCGAGATCTACCTTCTCTGCTTCGAAGCCGCAGTGGCTGCCCTCCCACCATTCTCCCTCGCGTACGCAATGTCGTGCCAATACGACGACGTAGATGTCCCTGTTTGGATGCTGTGGGATACGGATGACCTGGACGATCCGCCTGCCGATCCCTTTTCGCTCTCTTTCCCGCCGGAGTATGTGGTGGATGGGTTGATGAAGAAGGACATGTGCGATTGGTTTTGCTTCCTCCTCGAAAGTGAGGTTGACAGGAAGCTGCGAGGTAAGACTGAATGCATTCAGCTGCTTTTACAGCCTCTGCCCTGGCATGGTAGCTGGTTGAAGCAATGTTGGCTGTGTTGTGACATTCATGAACAATTGGGCTAACTGCTTTGAAGAACTCTTCGGTGCAAGAGTGCGCTGGCTGCAATGCTGTCCCCGAATCCCCTTCCTCCTCGCCACCAGATCTGGTGAGCACCAGCTCGAAATCCCCACGCACTCCGTTCTCTTGGTGACGAGGTGTGACGGCAGAATGGCTGTCATGGACGGGACGCTGCAGCAGTTTGGCTGGCCACGTGAGACCTGGCTTCAATCGTGGAACGACTTCCTTACGACTCGAGTAAACACCAGGGAGCAGCCGTGCTACCTTTTTGCTTCCGATGAGGACAGGGAGTCGGCGAGGGAGCTGGCTACGGAAACAGATGGGGGTTTTTGGGAAGTGGCGCAGGAAAGGATGACAGAACTCTTCGGGGAGTTGGATTGGGAGGAGTTGAAGAATTTGGGGACTGTGGAGCGCGTGGAACGCGTGAAGAGACAGGCTGAAGATAAGTTTGCTGGTGCGAACGAGGAGGCTTGTGAGAGATATGATAGAGAACAAGGAAGAGAATGAAAGTTTAGATAATTACAACATGCTAAGATTCTAAAGACTGAAAGGAAAAGATGTAATGTATATGCAACATGATGTCAATGCTGAAAGTAAGAGAGCCCCTTGGAAGTTCCTTCAGTTTGCTGTCGGCGCCCACTTACTCTTGGCTCTTATCTTCGCGCCATAAATGTAGAAGAGGATAGGAACAGGCAAGAACGCTACACAGAGAAATCCTAGCAGGCTAGTCGCCCATGCCACTCCAAGGTTGCGGTACATCGCATGTGTGAACAGCGGGAAGAAAGCGCCCGCTATGGATCTCATAAACGTATTGACTGCAATAGCACTGTTCGCGTAAAATCCATAACAGTCGATCAAGTAGCTCATGCCTTGCCAGAAAGGGACCATGCAGCCGACACCGATGAGTGCGGTGGCTATAACTTGCGGCACCCAGGTGATGTTGGGATTGCTTGTCCAGGCAAACATGAAGAGACCGATAGGGAGGATGACCGCTCCAACGATCATAGGAGGAAGTCGTTCTTCGGGTATAGCTTTTCCGTGCTTGACGTATGATCGTGTGAAGTTAGTCGCGGTACTGTATGCAATGATGCCAGCGCCCAGGATAATCCCGACGATAAAAGCCGTAAAGGGAAGTTGTGAGACACCGAGGGACCAGTCACGTTCTTGGTGGAAGGACACTGGGTACTAGTGAAATGGTCAGTTGAAGCCGGTCCAAGAACCGAGGGGAAATGAGCTTACGGCTTCAAACAGCAGGTACACGATACCGTACAAGAAACTCATGTAAGCTGTCACGAGCGCCAAGATTGGCTCTTCCACTATCATGACAAAAGGCCTCAGGAGGGTGACATTGACAACGGTGTGGACCGTCAGCTTGTTCTCATCGGCCTTCGAGTGGTATTCGGTATTGCCCGTATCTTTCCGTAATTTAGCCGCGCGCAGCTGGAGGATTCTGGCAGCCGAAGTCTCGGGGATGACGAAGAGACCTATCGCTCCAAAAAAGGCGGCCATGATTAGAGTAAGCCACGAGGTCCATCTCCACCCCAGGTTCGACTCAGCCATGAATCCACCTGCAATTGGTCCTGCTACTGGTCCTGCGAATCCGCCCGCAGCAAAGACGCAAATGGCATAGGCTCTAGGGATAGGATCCCATAGGTCAGCCAGTGCTCCGCCGGTGGTTGCGAGGGGTGCTGCGGCGAAGAAACCGCTGATGAAGCGACCAACGCAAATAGTTTCAATGTTCTGGGCGAGCGCGACTGGGATTTGGAATAGGGCGAAGAGTGCCATTCCGGCAAAGAGGGGAATTCTTCGACCTAGGACTTCCGACATGGGTCCAAAGATGATGGGTCCAAAGACAAAGCCCTGAAGAATGGCACATTAGCGTTCCGTTTGAAAGGACAAGGGCGCAGATTGAACGCACCAAGACGAAGAGTGATACACCGAGCGTAGCAGTGACAGAGTCGACGCCAAACTTTTGCTCTACCACGCCGATGTTGACGCTAAAGATTGAACTCGCGAATGTAACTGTGAAGACCAACAGACCCATGGATATAGTGATCCCCCATCTACGTTTCGTCGTCCAGTTCTTTGGATTGCCGGGATCGTTGGGCCCATCGAAATCGACGAAGAAGGGTTTTTGTTGTATTGGTGCAGGCGTTTCGTTTGGTCCTTTCTCAAGATCCGCTGGTAGCACATCGCTTGTGCCATTTAGGTCTTCTTCGCTCTTTCGTAGCTTTCCGTCGGCTACTCCCTCAATCGTGGATGCTGGGGTCGAAGGTGTGCGCACCAAGGCGGGATCTGCGTTCACCTGGTGTGTCGGCATCGCGCTGTTGTCGTAGTAGTCCTTGTCTTTGATCCGCCCAACTCTTGGGGGCAAGAGGTGGGTTTATAAGTGGCCATGATGTATAGCGGGAACAAGGTTATTTCCGGGTGCAGTTAAGCGTCCGCTCTGCACTAGCCGCCTTCACAAGACCCACTCCTAAGTGTTGGACTATATTTTTCACAAGCACGAGAACAGATGGCGGGTCTTCATGGTGATGTCGCGCGATATAGGATTTCCGAGCAGAGTTGACGCTGAAAGAGGCTGGCTGGTGATGAGAACACACCTTTCGTGAGATGGGTGAGGTGGCAACGTCATCGGCGCATGACTAATGCGCTTGCTTTCTACTCTAGAATACCACCTACACCCATCAAATCTCTAACGGACCTCACATTGTTCATCTCTTTCATCATGCTGGTACACTAGAAAACGCCCTTGCGCCCTCGTTTGCGCTCAGGATTTTCGCGTTCCAGAATAAAGCTGTTCGCCTTCGCGTTCGCGCTCGCGCTCGCGCTTTCGGCCTCAGGATCTTACCGAGCCTCCTGGAAATCACGATACAAACAGGTTGCTCCACCAGCGTTAAGTCAAGTCAGCAAATTCTTCGACCTCATTGACGGCGATGTCACGTTTTTGATGGAGAGCGAAACGGTGCATTGTCCTGGGTGGAGGACCCAGCGAAAGAGAAAGGCAGAGATCACCGCACGAGTGGGCAACGAAGATTGGACTATGTGTAACCCCTCCAGCTGGCAAATTTTCATGTGACAAGATACAAATCAGGGGGTGAAATCCGATAGGAAAGGGTAAGGAACTGGTGAAGAATTCTACATTTTTCAGTATACCCATTTCCTTGAGACATGTTCCATTCTATCTACAGCTCTCCGACAACAGTCGCTGCATGATCTCCTACTCGCAATCTCCTTCACGCTCTACAACATCAAATCAAATAGCCTCAGTTCTCAGCCTCCTCATATCGGCCTCTCTTACGTCGACGGTTGCTATCCGCGGGAGAAGCCTTTCGCTTCTTGTGGCTCTGCGCAGAACGGTCGCCGCCGAGCTTTCCTTGAGTCTTGGCCTTCGTCTGTCCCACTGTCTTCTTCTTCGCCGGCTCGTCTTTCTCATCTCCGCTACCCCTTGCTTCCTGCCCTCCATCGTCGTCGTCACCTTCGCCGTACGCTTCATCCTGATCATCACTGCCACCATCGTCATCATCGTCATCGTCTTCGCGTGCTTCTGCTGCCGCCTCTGTCTGGTTCTTTTCGCGCAGTATCCGAGTGAGAGTGTAGAAGGAGTAGAGGATGTACACGAAAGAGGTGTATGCTTTGTGTTCCTCGTGATACCCCGTCAGGAACTTCGTCGTCATCTCTCTATACCGCTTCTTCATATTCTCGCCAGTTCCCTGGCTTGTCTGCACCTTGCCCATCCTCTCAAGGACTTCTCTGGGTGGCAGAAGCGCAATGGCAAGGGCACCGATCCAATTTTCGGATTTGACAACCCTAGATATGAGGAGGTCTTCTCCAAGTGTACGTCGCTGCGTGGTGTCAAACGCGTCCAAGAATCTCTGTGCGCAATTATTTGCTTCTTCCGTGGTGTATGTCTCGGTGGGCTCCGGGTTGTAGTTTCCTTGAAAGACCTTGTCGGCCAAACTGTCGGCGGCTTGGTCAGCAAGGAATCCGTCCACGTATGAATCCCTAGCATGCTTCAGCATGTGTCCGAGCATCTCTTTTGCCTCTCGTCTGTCCCTGTCGTCGAAGGCCTCCGTGCTTTCAACAAGCTGTCTGGCAGCGCGTTCTTTGAAAATGCGAGTAGCCTCGTTGTGTCTGTTGAGGATCGGGTGGTATTTGTGTATGATAATCGGATCATAATCGTCATCGTCTACCGCCATCGTTAAGTTGTTGTCTTTGAGGGCTTCCCAGGCATCAGCATGAACTTCATCACAGTCGTATACGGTTCCCTTCCGCCTCCACACTGGCAGAGCGCTGATCAAGTGTTCGATCACTTTCTTGTCCCGCTTGGGTCTTCGTTCGGCGATGATGCTCTCGTCCATGGAGACATCTTTCTGGTATTCAGTTTTACGGTTCAGGAGCCCTGCCACATCATCGTCATCAGCCACGAGCCCTGCATCGTCATCAGCCACCTCGATGACCTGAGCCTTCGCCGTCGTCTTCTTCTTCTTCTGGCTAGTATTCTCGTAGTGCTTCTCGACCCCATCTTCATTGCTTGCCTTATTAATGTTATCAGGGTGATACTTGACAATGTTCTTGAATCTTCCCGTTCTAGGCGCTACATCGTTGGCCATGGTTGGTAGAGAATCGCGCAACTTCGGCTTGGCGTTTCTGCTTGGCGTTTTTGGGGGCATTTTGTAAGTACGTACTTTTTGGGTAAGATTTCAGTGCACTCTTCGCTCCTGTTCGAGCTAATCTTTGGAGTTATTAGTACGTCTGTACGAAGTTTGCTAACATGCGCACAAACATGCAGTTCTTTGTCCCTAGAATGTTCTCGCACGCTTGAGCGTCCCATCGTGGTCTCGTGAAGATTCATTTCCTAAAATGTGAACTTCGATGAGACATGGCTCCCTGGTGTGGATATGCAAAGATTCTATAATGGTATGTGTCTTGCTTATCGACCTAGCATAGTCATTATTACTTACTCAGCCTAGCATGGCAACCGATCCTCCTTCCCTCGCCCATAAGCCCTTCGGCTATCTTAATCTTTCTGGCGACCAGGCTTCTTCAAATGCGAGAATATAAGTGCTACCACTAAGCTCAAAGACATAATGAGTGGGTTTTCAGTGCGAACATGTGATACAGAGAAGTTATATTCAACGAAAAGAGTGTCATGCTATCTACAGCTCTCTAACCTCCACCTCATCTCCATATCTGTCCGTCATGCAATTTTGTTCCGCGATCCAAACGTCTCCAACTACTCCATTAACTAGTCCAAGTCACCAAAGGCATCATCACCTTCATATTCAAAGGCCGTGTCCCCATCCGTCATCTCTACGTCGCTGTTACCTCGTTCCCGTCCGTGAATAGTGGTCTTGGCCCGTTTGATTGAACGAGTCATTGCGCTCTGAGACCTAGTGTTCCTACGTTTCGTAGGAGACGTTGGCTTCGCACTCTGCGTAGCAACTTTCACCTTCCGCCCTCCTTTGCGCCCTCTATGATGAATCTCTGGCGCTGTCTCCGCAACAGCAGTCTCGAGCTCAGAATCTGAGTCCGGTTCCGTAGCGAGGCCGTAATCCTCCTGTTCTCCGTGGATCCGCGCGGAAAGATGAGAGAAGATTTTTGTTACTTCGCAGGTGGAGGATCCTGGATACTTGTCGTGACGCAGATACTTCAGTAGGTCTGACACACCGTCCTGGTACCATATGTTATGGTTGTCAAGAAGGGCGTCGTTGCGCTTGACGTGTTGACCCAAGGCGGGCTCAGAAGCCAGGGTGAGGACCAGGAGGAGAACATAACTCTGCTTGCGATAATGGTGTAGTGTGGTATCGGTAGCAGTGCGGAGTAGGTATGGTGTTCTGCTGACGATCTTCCTCCAGAGATTGTTGTACCATCGTACCTTTTCCTCGCCGCGCATGCTTGAAAGGGCCCTTCGGCTTTCTACAAGAATGGAGTACGCTTTCCATATCTTGTTCGGGCGGTACAGGTCTGGCTCTTCTCCAACTTGCACAGTAATATCTTTGTAGTTGTAGCAGGTCTGCTCGTACTTCTTGGCTAGATTGTCGTTCATCTTGCCGAACACATACACCAGCATGTCATAAGCGGAAGAATGGCCATAATCGGTAAGCAGGGCACTCCCCTTCGCGATGCCAAAGTCGTCTTGACCGAGAAAGTCGAGCCACTCACGCGGATTGCTCGCGAGGTCAAGGATATGGTCGAACATCTGCTTGGCTTTGGCATCTAGTAGGCTATCGTCATCCTGTATCGATTGGTTGGCGATCGATACGTGTCGCTCCTCGCGAGACACCGCGGTGTCATGGAAAGGCTGAGGGACATCTGCATCGTCTTCCGCTTCACTGGATGGATATCGAACCTCAGAAGCTGAGCGCTCGGATACCACGGTCGCTTTCCCTTTCCCCTTCTCATGCTTCTCATGCTGATGAGGCTTTCCGGAAGTCCTATCCAGCCCTATCCTCAACAGGACTTGGTCAGAGACTGGGCCTTGAGACAAGAAAGTGACTTCCTCCTGCTCCAGCGGAACATCTAGCATAGTAAGCTGAGAGCGTGAAATCGTACGACCCTTCGTCTTTATACTAGAAAGATCGTGTTGTTTCTGATTTGCGATGGAAGGCGCAGATAAAGTAATTTCGGTTTCGCTTCTTCCGGGGTTCCAGTCAGAGATCCTGGGGCCACTAACTTGCTTGCCACTTCCAGTACCGGCTCCAGAATCTGGGACTTTCCTTCCTGGAGTCGGCTTGTTCGATGTTGAGGCTCTGGTGTAACTCTGGTAGGCTTTCGAACGCTTAGGGCTCGTGACGTATCCTTGGACCTTTCTGGTATTCTTCACCGCATGCATATCTTCCTCTGCCAGCGATGGCTCTATGTCCTCCCAGCCACTCTCGTCATCATCGCTTCTTGAATCATTCCCTGGTGTCTTGGACAGTCTGCGCTTGCCCAAGTCCTCCTGACTAGCCTTTCGTTGCTTCGCGCCCGGTGTCTTGGCTTTCTCTTTGCCTCTCGTGTTCCTCCTATTTGGCTCCGTCTGCTGAACAACCCTCTTCTTCACCTTCTTCTCTTTTGGCTCGTCCCCTCCGAAGCCGTCGTCTCTTGGTTCGCTTTCGATCTGTTGAGACATTGTCCTGGCCCGTTCTTTCTTCGGTGCTGGGGTGGCCTTTCGCCTACTTGACTTTGCTGCTTGCGAAGGAGGCGCTGGGTTCCTGGTCGTCCTCGGGGGTGTTTTCGCTGATAGCTCTTCGAGTAGGTTCTCTCCAGAAGAGTCAGGAAGGCTCGGCTCAAATGCGCGGCTCATTTTGAAGGTTGTGCTCCCGTAATGGCTATTGATGAGAACCTTTGAGGTGATGTGAGTGTGGGAAGTGGAATTGAAAGGGCCTACCAGCTGGGCCTCTTATCTTCTAAATGTTTGAGACACAAACGTTTTCCCTTTGTCTAGTGTAAAACTTGTTTCGGATCTAGGAGGTTCCAGCGTGAGTCAGAACATGCTCATCTATGATGTTGAACAAGGGCTCGTTCGCTACTAACTTGGAAATAGCGGTGCGGAATTGCGCGCCAGAGTGATGCGTTTTTCCGACGGTACTTGGTGGACAGAGCATCAACAATACAAGAGTATAAACACTGCTAATAAGAAATTCAATAAAGAGTTGTAGGACGGCACATGCACTTGGCTAATACCCTGAGTGTATGGAGGTCAGAAAGATTTCAGAATTCATGAGTGCATCATTTCCGCTACAGAGTCCCGTGCTCAATTTCAGAGAAAAAAACTACAAACGCCTTCCCAAGGTGAGAGTAAAACCTGCGGCCACCGAATCTACCATCTTCCGCATGTCGCACTATCCCTCAAATATCTCCAATCTGATATGCCCCTTTCGTACCTTTCCTGTTCCTATCTCGATCATCATGCCCTCACTCATCTACTTCCTCCATCTCCACATCCCTATCGCTCTCGCCATCCCTCTCTGCACCCTCCCTGACAAGATATCCACCGCGATCATACCTGTTCTTCACCCACGACTGCATATCGTCTCTCGCCTGCAAGTACGTGCGCTCCACACAATCCATCGGACGCATCTCCCAATCGCACTCAGCATGATACGTGTTCATAAGAATATCCCTCGTCGCATCAGCCCACTCATCTCTCAGCTCGATAGCCACCTTCTTGAACAGCTTCGTCAAGTTGTCCGACGTGAAGAACAAGCGGGTGAGGAAGAGTGGCCAGATTTGCGTCAGCAGGTAGGGCGTGTGTGTTGCGAATCGCTCGACTGCCCTGCTGATCGGTACGGCGTACTTGTGTGTCGTCTCGTTTTTCCAGGTTGAAGGGCTCATGGTGGATAGTTCGCGGTCGAACAAGGGGAAGAGGTACTGCAGGACGGTAGAGGCGCTGCGGGTCTTCATCAGCCTGTCGCGGTTGGACTTGATGGAGGTGTCGACCTGGCCGATGTATCTGACTTTGATGGCGCCGTAGTGCAGGTCGGCTTGTACGAACTCGTGCTGGCCTAGGGCTCGCATCTCCAGGTATGTACGACGCAACACCTCTGCCGCACTCGGTTTGGAGTCGCGCTGTTGCGTGGCCAGGGTTGCAGCATCTTCATCATGCCTTGTACTTCCAAATACCCAATCGTCGTCTCTGAACAGCTCCCTAGCGAGCGTAGCCGCGTCTTTTGCCATGTACTTCTTGAACTTGTTGACAACAGTAAGCACCATGAGCTTCACGTTCTCCGGGGAGTTGTCTTCCGTCTGGTTGGTACACTTCATTACCGTGGCGCCGTTGAATTGGATGGTTTGCTTCTCCTGCTTGACCTCTTCCCAATCCTTAGCCTGGACGTGTGCTCCCTCAAGGTTGTCTTGCGATTCCCATCCTGGTTGCCAGTCTACGAGATACTGGACTGTTCCATCTCGAGCCGTGCGCTGTGCGAGAAACCTGCGAATGGGATATTTGGTTGGCGTGGGTTCCCTTGCCTTCGCTCTTGCTCTCGCATTCACCTTCTTCACCGCAGCTCGTGGGGTCGTTTTGGCCTTGGGAGCCGCTCGTCCACTCGCATCTCTCGCCGTGTTCGGCTTTGTTCGTGCCATGCTGGTTGGTGATCGATGACTTGATGATGTTGATTGAGGAGATTTGCGTGAATATGTGTGAAGAGTTTCTCAGTCCCGCGAGCAGAATGTGATACTTATACGCTAGAAAAGTTTGCTATTAAAGATCAAAGACAGCCATGGAAACGGAAACTGAGTCATCCCTATGGAACCTCCGACAGTCGTGTAGTCTCATCAGGGCCATGTCTCAAGCATTTGTCGCAGTCCTAACAATGCATTCTCGAATGGGATCCGAATACTGGGACGTCTTCGGCATGGGAAGTTCCAACAAGTACAGAACGTTTCCGTCGAGCTAGTCGTTCCCCTAAGGCTTCATGCAACATACGACACGGACAAGAGACATAATAAAAAGAAAGGCACGTGATTTGCAAATCATAAAACAGTTCTTTTAGCTACCTATCCATAAGCATCGAAGCAAGGTATATCTATCAAAAGCGAGTGACCAACGAAGGCGCAACAGCATATATAAACATGTAAAAAGGGTATCAAGTGATCGCAAGGGAACGGTGAATATCAAAGGGGTATGTGCTGTACTGAAACCACAAAGTCTATATAGGGACGGTAAGGAAACAACCCAAAAAAAACTTTGTAAAAGAGAAAACCCTAGTACTTCGGCCTCCCTTTCCCGCTCAAAGTCGAGCGTGGTGGGTATGTCGGAACTTGCTCTTCGTCCGAATCGTCTTCGTACAGTCCTTCGTAGCCGGACGCTCGGCCCATGGCGCGAGTAGCCTGCTGTACGCGGCTGTGTGTAGGAGAGCGGTTGACGACCGCCTCACCGTGCTGATGATGTTTGTTGTATCGAGCATCGCCAAGTGGACGGATGCTAGGCAGCGCGTCCTGCATCGCGCGCGCATCCCACGGATCATGGACGGCGGATGTTGGTGAGAGCACGGAAGGAGTCGGCGCGAAGGGATTGTCAAGGGTTGAACCGGAGCCGCGGGTTGGTGGTGCCGCGAAGGGATTTTCTAGTGTGTACGAGGGTCGACGGGCAGACGGGGGACGATTGTACTCTTGATTGAAGTTCGCGGGGAAAGAGAGTGGCGGGCCACTCTGGCGTGCGCTAGACGGACGAGCATTGTAGTTCTGTGCCACTTGAGGGTTCGCCACAGGTGGATTGGGCTGGATGACACTGGCACGACGGTTACTATTCGACCTGCCTAGTCCCGACGGAGCTGCAGTAGATGAGACAGCATTCCGACCAGTGATCGAGTTGCGACGACCGAGAGCAGAGTTGGTGTTCGAAAGTGACCGGTCCCCACCACGCGGGTCCCAGTATCCAGGCATCTCCTGGTGTTGTCTGGAAGCTGCAAGTCTCTCTTCTCGCTCACGGGCCTCTGATACCTCCCTTTCACTTTGCATGTGCAGTCCGTCAGCGGCAAGAAGGCGTTTCTGTTCTTCAAACTGAGCTGGGGTCATCGAGCCTCGACGTGCCGCAGCCGGTCTTTTGGTGAAGTCATTCGTGGGGGGCTTCGAGTGTTCCTTTTTGCGGTCTTTCGCTGCTTGTTCTTCACGTTCCCGTTTTTCGCGCTCCTTCTGACTGCGTCGGCGGACTTCCTCACGTTCTGCAGCTCTGTCTTGCTCTTCACGTTCGCGTTTCTCGCGATCCTGTTTCTCGCGCTCCTTCTGACTACGTCGCCGAGCTTCCTCACGATCCTCAGCTCTTTCTTTCTCCTTTTCGGCATATGATCGTTCCGCCCGCTCTTGCGCTCGCGCCTCTGCGCGACCAAGTTCAAACCGGACTTGTTTGACATTCTCGGCTTTTGCCATCTCTTCAGCAACCTGGCGGCTCAGCTCTTCCTGTCGCCTGCGATCTTCTTCGTTCTTCTTGCGTCGCTCGTCGCGGTCTTTGCCCCGACGCGTGATTTCAGGTGCACCCGAGCTAGCGTGGGAAGAAGCAGAGCGATCGGCAAAGTCCGCGTAGTCGTGAGTGAGATGGCCTTCAGTGGTGCGCCTCTCTTGAGAGAAGTCCTGGGGAGTGATGATGGAAGTACGGTAAGAGGTAGATATTCCCGGCTGAGTGCGCGATGGTGAAGGTGGGGCGGCAGCAGTAGACGAATGGTGTATTATCGTGGGAGGATACCTTGCCGGCCGATGGCCGGTAGGAGAGTCATGGTCAGGATCTGAGGTGATATATAGTGAAGGCGTTCGACTAGAGCCAGTGAATGACGAGGTTGAGGATGTTTGGCGGTGATGTTGAGTATGAGGGGCAGTGGGCGTGGCGTAATAACCATCCGAGTGACCAAATGCAGCTGGTGGAGGCAAGGGAGCTTCAGGGAAACCCGTTCTGATTGTGTGCGAAGCGTCCGAGCCGGGGGAATCAACTGCAATCTCACCCGACCCAACGGAGCTGGCGCCCATAGATGAACGCTTGTACGTTCCGGTAGAAACTGAAACAGAGGAGTACTTTGTGCCTTTGCCCTTCTTAGCGCCAAACTCGATGATAATCTCTGGCTTGATCGCCTTTTGTCCGTCCCGAGTGGAGGGCCGTGAGCCAGTTCCAGATGGCCGCCGCTGCTGGGTAAGGTAGGTCCCCGTGCCAGTTGGAGTCGGTGGGTTGATTGGAGAAGGTGTATCGTCGCGGGTAACAGTTGCTTTCTTGGGGTAGTATTCGGTCTTACGTCTCTTGACTTTTGAGCATAGCTTCCCACCCCGAGACTTGTCACAGGGAAAGGCCTCCTCGAACTTGGATCGATGCCCATCGGCACGAATATAAATGCGTTCCTCGATTCGACACATGGTGACGGTAAGCTGTTGGCAGGGCTGAGTCCAACTGGCTTTGTTCGAGTAGTGATGTGTACGTCTCCTCGCCTCAACCCAGTGGCGGTTGGGCTGGAGGTTTCGAAATTGGCGTTGGTATTCTTAGATCAGCTTATCCGAAGCACGACCCCGGGTCGGAGAAATAGGCAAAGTTGGTGGTACCTTGCAGCAACCACCAGGAATGTAATATTTGTTGACGTGGGGAGGAGAGGGATCGAGGAGAACGGATGAGTCACCAGACGTTTTGTTTATCTGGTATGGTTCTGGCGCGTGGACTGACGAGGGGGAGTGATGGTATTTAAGGAGACAGGTGACAGGACGACTGAGACAAGTTACAAATAGGATGAGTGTGTAGTTGTCAGTGCGAGGAGGCGTGATCCCCAAAGCGAAAGAGTCAGCGAGGCGAAAGTGTAATAATAAAGAGATGATGTGCAGAAGGCAGCTGCAGGCAACTATGCAACTTTGAGCAGCAAAGGTGCAGCCCTACTGGGCGAAAGGTGTTTTATGTGCGCGCGGCGGCAGATTGTAGCCTGAAAAGCGCGCAACGAGTGGACCAGGGTGAAATTACCAACAAGGAGCGAAACGGGACTACAGAAGAAAAATAATAGAGCCGGGCTAGCAGAGGAATGCATGAACGTGATCTGGGCGTAATGGGGTCCCTTTTCTCTTGGTGCGCAGCGGTGAATGCACAGCCTGCGAAGGGGTAAGCCACAAGCGGACCCTTGCTGCGACCGGTGTCCTCTGCCTGGGAATGATGAAGAGGGAGTCAGGCGGCTACTATTGGAGAGCAGATGGAATCTTTCGTCCGACAGCCGGTTTGTTCACCCGCTGCGGCCGCGACGATGTCTCATATCATAGCAGATGGCTTCGCTGGGCAGCAATGGCAAGCCGCCCCTGTCCATAGTCGGTGTCCCCAAGCCCGGCTATCGCGAGCGCGTTGCCCATGCGACAAGCTTCGGTCCATGCTGGGACGGGCGCGCAACTGCTGATGGTAGTCAACAAGAAGTAGGTAGCGCGTTGTAGCTGAAGGGTCGAGCTGACGGTCGACTGGCGAGTGAGAGGGAGGCTATGCATGGAGTCCTGGCCGTATCTCTAGGCAGGAGGTGCTTCAGGCCAGGCACCAAAGGCCGCGGATTTGCTGCTGATCGGCGCCCAATGCCCGACCATATTGCCTTTGCAGACGGCGATGATATGGGTGGATGGATGTGTGTCGCCTTGGCTGTTGGATTCGCTGGTGGGGCCTTTTTGGTTTCGCACGCTAAGGGATGCACCCGCACACTGCCGCTCCGCTGCACATGGCGATGCACCGTTCGCATACTGTCCTCACGCACGTCCTGAAATCTCACCACTGCGTCGGTTACATTGTGTACGCTCTTGTTGATGCTGTCCAATAGCACCTTAATCATCAAATTATGGCGCTACGAGAAGAATCTTTTGAAGACGGGTGATGAGGAGGCAAATCGCTGTCCGCGTGAGCCATCCGCGCCCTGTTGCCTTGAGCCATGCGAAGTCGGACAGAGATGGGACGATAGTCTTCCCCTTTGAGGAGAAGAAGAATAGCAAACGGCTTTGTCAGCGCTTGTTTTCTTTTGCTCCATATCCGCGACCGTCGCTGCATCCGAGCTGCACTCGTGTCAAACCGTTTCGTCCTACCCCAGTCATCCCATTGATCCCTCCGCCTCGAATTGCGTAGACCTCCAAACCCTCTTCTTCATATTTTGGGGGCCGACTTCCCAGATTCACAGACCGACTTTTCCTAGAGCAATAAATCGCTTCGCAATCAACAATCAAGCGACACCGATAGTCCAGCATGGGCGTGTTCCCAATCGGGAAGCACGGCCACAACGTAAGCAGCCACAATGAACATGTGGCGCATGGCGTCCCAAATAGCCTGGTAGAGGTCGAAGAATAGGACCAGAGTTTGAGCATTGATCCAAGACTCGTCACCAGTCAGACACTCTTCCCAGATTTGCGAGCTTTCGAGCTTGATGAGGAAAGGAAAGCGCACTTTGTCTGCCGCCAGCCAACTCTCGATTCACAAGCTAAATATAGCGGGCGAAAATCATAGCAGACTCGACTCAAGTACTCTTCCATGTCTAACAGTCCCTGCAATTCCTGGTTATCCACATTCATACGCCGGTTATTTTGTCATATCCATCGACATCTTCATGCACACCAGACGAGCCACCACCATTTGATGCCGCTAAGCCTTGAAGGGCTAAGGCGTGCCGTGCCACAGTAACCGCCGGACTCTCCCTCTCACCGTCTACTCAGCCTCCCTTGGAGCTCAGACCTTTGTTACAGACCTTGGGGTAAGCATGTTCCTCGGCGATGATGCTTGTTCCAGACCCGCGCTCCAAGTGCAAGAGTGCTATGAGTCGCCTAATGTAGGAACCACTGCGAACAACGGAGCTACAGCAAACAGCTCCCAAGACGTACCTTAGGCAACAACGTATCATACAGAGACAAGACCTGGGGTTGCCAGCTGAATGGTGAATATATGGACTACCTTACCTACCGGACCGAGCGAGAACATTGAATCCTCCAGCATCTGCCCGTTCGCAATACACTACTCATGCGGCGTGGTTGAAGGTATTGCATACCATCAGCACGTCCCGTCTAGGATATTTACGCTAGAGAATTGTGATTAAGTAAGACACCTTTTCCTATTCCGAGGCATGAATACAGGCAACCGTATGCACTGATTGGATGTGCAGTAAACGGAGTCATCGGGCACGACGCCAGACTAGCATTCATCCATCTCCAATGACTAAGCATCCTAACCACTGCACCGTCTAGACGGAAGCACCAGCAAACTCTGAGTTGTTCGGCTGCTGACCAACTCAGACAGCAGATTACCAACTCCCCTACAGCCTCGCCCGTCTATATCTACCCCAATCCCGAGCGCGCTACAGTCTCACCTCCCGTCTTACCACACCTTCTCCGTGGGCCTTGCATGTAATCAGCCACGCTCCCTTCCCATTCCTATCGCAGGTATACACAGGCGTAATTAAGCTTTGCACAGGGGTACAGTGCGAGCTGAAGATGCTGCTTGGGTGGCTGGGTTGGGCATCGAGGGCCCAAAGATAAGGCTGTATGTAGCCTGGGAGTCAAAGGCCCAAATGTCTTGAAATGTCCCGAATGTTTTGGAGAGTATGAGACATTTGCTACTGATCCAGATGTCTCTATTAACCACGGGCGGAAAACGAAAACAAGGAAAACAGAGACGAGATGTCAATCAAGTGACTGCTAAATCACACCCGTTCTGTCCGCCGCGGTACGGTTTTCCTTTCAGTCTACTCCACCTCAAACCCCATGGCTGGAGTAAGAAAACGAAAACGTACACTGTCCATTTGGAAATCCAAATGCACTTTTTAACAGTCTTTTCCCGGCGCTGAGGTGTGGTGTTTTGTTGTTGTGACTTGCTGATATCGACGTAGCAGAGAAGAGTAATTGAAAAGTTTCTTAGTTTAACCGTGGAACAATTCAACTACCAAGTTGCTACTACTACTCCTACTACTACTCCTACTACTACTCCTACTACTACTACTTCCTGTCCTTATAGTATATAGTAGACGTCACACACTACGGTACACTGCACTGAGAGACGCCGACCGACCATCAAAGTCTTCAAAGTTTCCTTCTGCTGATTGCAGTAATACCTTTTTCATCACTGTAGGGTGGACTTATTGGGCACGAGTAGGAAAGTCACATTTGCGACGTATATTGAGACTCGCCTTGCCTTGATGAACAGCGGCAGAGAAAACATGACGGTAGTTGTTTGAAAGAATAGGATTTATACAAAAGTCTAGTTCCGATCCGATGCTCATAACTATACAATGTAACATGTACTATCCTACAAAGCCTACAACCTCCATCTCTATCTCAGCCCATCTGCCAGGCCACGGAGGCCTGATCGCGACCGCCCCTTCCCTTTTGACGTCATGCCGTCTAAGAAACTACTAATTTGCTTCGCCCGCTCGCTCTGCTCGTCCAACTCCTTGATACCACTCTTGCCCACGTCACCCAGACTCATGAGCGGATCGCTGTCAAAGCCCTCGCGCACGGGGGGCTTATCATCCAACTCGCCCCGTGCAACCTGTACTTCAGGCCCGGAGGAGCGCTTGAGCTTGATGTGGATTCGGCCATCGTTTTTGACGGAGCCAAACAGGGGCTGGACGAGGACCTTCTTGCCGCCCTCGGTGTCGATGTCGATTGTCTCGACGTCGCGCGCGTTGCTGATGTTGGCACGGCTTGCGCTGCTGGTGTCTGTGCTGCGGAATTGGTCGTTGGCTACGAAGCCGGCTACACCGAGACGGGCATAGACTTCCTTGGTTGTCGATGTTGTGCGCGGTTGGATGACGCGGGCAGGGACGGGAGATGGGCTACTTTGGGGGCCGAGAATGGGGTGGTTCGCAATATACGCTTTTGTGCGTAGATAGCCAAGACCTGCTGAGGGATGGGTGGAGAGGGGTGCGGTTTCTTGGTCGAATTGGTACTGGTCGATGTCGCGGTTCGAAGCATCTTCGGCGTACGCCTTGTATTTGAATTTGATTTCAGGGAGGCGGAGGAAGGGGAGGATGAGCTTTGTGACGAGTTTCGAGCCAAGGGGGTTGTTCGCTGTTTCTCTTCGCAGCGCCTTGATGCCGGCATCGACTTCTGCATCGGTGATGCGTGACCATTGCTTTTCCTGTTGTTGGTGCCAGATTTCAGCTTCTTGGATATCCATGGGCGCCGTTTCGCCGGCTTTCGATGCAGCAAGTCGCCGTGTGGTGTAGATCTCGTTCTTGACGAACTCGACCAGGTACTTGTTGAATTCTTCTCGTCGCTTGGAAATCTCCTTTGTGAGATACTCGGCAAATCCTTCAGCACCCAGGCCGGGCAGCCAAGGGCCTTCGTGCTTCCATCGCTTGGTGTTGTGCACAATCGGATCTACAGGCGGCGGGCTGAAGGGACTGAAGGGCGCTGGCGGAAGGGCGTGAGTTGCCGCTAAGGCGCTGTTGAAGGCTCTCTTTGCCTCCCGACTTTGTACACGGAAGGCCCGCAATTCCTCCGGTCGGTCTTTCCCGGTGACCCCAAGAGCCTCCCATTCTGCCTTCTTTGCCTCCCATTTCTCTTTCCAGACTGCCTGGAAAGCTTTCCGCTCTGCCTCGACCGTCTTCCTCCGTTGTGCCTCGAACGCCTTGTGTTCTGTCTCCTGTGCCTTTCGCCCTGCCTTGTGGTTCTTCTCCCTGTTGGTCTTGAGCGCCTTCAGATACAGCCCAGCCTCGTCCAGGCCCAGGTCAGTATCGTACGACGTCGTGTCATCGCGGACCTCGAAGGCGCCAGCTGGTGGGGTGCCCGATAAATCATACTCTCGCATCTGCGTCATGCCCTTCATCATGGGCACACCCATCTCCTCCCACTTTTGTCTTGTGCGCACATGATCCGCAGCGCTATCAAAATCCGTGACATGCTCAATGGTATCCAGCTGCGTGACCCTGAGAACTGGGTCGCTAACCTGCACCAAATGACTCCGCGATGGCAGCGGCCTCTTCAAGCCCCAATCGCCTCGTGCAAGTGAGCTCTTGGTGGTCGCAATGGCTTGGTGTGTGGGATAGGGAAGTGTGGCCGAGTCCGAGGCTTTGCTAATGCCGGCACCGAAGGTTTCGCTCACGGGAGGTCGAGGGAGCGGGTTGGGGAGGGAGAAGAGGCGCGAGTTGCGCAGGAGATTGGCGGTTGGTGAGAGGGACTGGCGGACCTGTGCCATGGCGATGCGACAGCCGCGTGCGGGGTGTCAATGGCGGCTGAAGTGGTGGTGGTGATGCTTGAGGAAATGTTCGAGATGGATTTGCGGCGATACGTGGTCTGTGCACCACATAGGAACTCTGGATGCTTGACGGATGCACTACTATTCATTCATTGTGTGCTACTAATTTCGCATAAGTTATTACAACCGTGTCACTATTGAAAGTATGGGAATCCATAATGAGGTATCTGTACAGATAGATACCAAGACAAGCATTGTACCCAGATCCAGTATCAACGCATGCAGGCGTGACCACTTCTGACCAAGGCGCCATCTCCACTGACTTTGACTTCTCCCATACCCAAATGCTCAAATTTGGGTGCTCACTATCTCTACTTCTGTTAGACTATCTCTGCCCTATCGGCTTCCTGGTTGCAGGATGTGATAGCCCGTCATACTCTCTCCCGGCTACGTCTCTTCCGTAAACATGGTAGGGACGAAGCCCAACATATGTATATCGACCTTGGCTGTAGTCGTGCCGGGTTTGGAGTTGGTGGGTTGACGTTGTTCTGTTGACTTCAATCCTCATCCAGGCAAATGTTTGTCCCAGTCTTGCGGATCATCGTCCTCGTCTTTTTCCTCATCTTTCCTATCAGATCGAGGGACGTGACCCTCGATAGCCATGGTATGTTCGGAGCTCTGAGAAGGGAGCGACGGGGGCTGTGGCGGCACATTGGTTGCGAAACGTTCTGTGATCTGATCCTGGACAAGGTCGTTGTTCGCCTTGCTGAGCTGTCCTGGCTTCTCCCCGCGCTCGACTGCCAAATCTGTCATGGCATCTTCGCGTGCCGCCCATGCTGCAGCTAGGTCATCTTCGTCGTCGTTGGTAGACGAGGTTGGGCCTTCCTTTAGTCGCAGTGGCAGGGCCTTTTGGTGCTCGTCGGCATTCTCCACCATGAGTTCGATGGTGTCTCCATAGCCGCCTTGACGTGACCACGCAGGCTCCTCGCTGAGCTGCACCTTGACGTATAGGGCCCGCCTGGCGCAGTCGTCTGAGCACCAGACCTCGAGCACCTTCCTGTCGACAATCTCCACGCCGTGGTCTGTGTCGACGAACTGCTTCCTGGCAGTCGAGCGAGCCTTCCTCTTGGGCCGGGGGCAGAGGGCATAGCCGCATTTGTTGGCGATGTTGCGTTCTTCAATGAGGGCATCGTAGTCTGCAGGCTGGAAGGGGACGACGGCCTCACGGAACTGATGGGCGTCAGTGGCTGTGGGGCGTTTTGCATCTGCATTTGGCGACGCAGGAAAGTCCATCAGCGTCATGATGGACTCCAGGACCTGGCGCTCGACGCGCTTGCGCTCCTCGAGGATGTTGGCATGGTGGAGGGCGACGTCGAGGTGGCGCGGGTTGAGCGGCTTGGTCCTTCCTGGCGCGTTTGTGGAAACCGTCGTGGTCTTCTTCAGGATTGATTTGGGCGGCATGCCTGGGTATCGAGCAGAAGAGGCCGTGGTGCCCAGGTGTTTTGCATAGTTGGAGTGGAGGAGCCCGCTCAAGCTTCACTCCGTCTGGCGGCGGCCGCCAAGATTGCGCGGGGCTGTCTTCAAGTGGCTTCGTCACCGTCCACCCAAGCCTCTCCACACAAGCAGCCCTCCTCTCACCTCTGCCATTCCACCTTCGCCCACAGCTGCGTGGGTGCCACCAGTGAATAGTATGCAGCCCTGCAGTCCCGCCCTCCCCGCATTGTCCCCCAGGCTGACGTTGGCGTCCATCACAGAGAGCTCCCGAGACCCGCTGTCTGCCGCCGTCCATCACCACCTTATAGCACGCCCAGGCCCACCCTCCTCCGCTTGTAGCGCCATTTGGCGGCGACTACAGCTGTCACGTCCATTCCATCCAGCTGCCATCGTATCATCTCCGCGAATACACCCCCTGCCCGCTCACCATGTACAGAGTCAAAGCCGTCTACGACTACGCGTCCCCCCACGAGGATGACCTGAGCTTTCGCACTGGCCAGGTCATTACCGTCACAGAGGAGGAGGGCGACGACTGGTATGTGGGCGAGTACATAGACGACAGCGGGACCAAGCAGGATGGCCTCTTCCCCAGGAACTTTGTCGAAAAGTACGAGCCGGAGCCGCCGCCGCGGCCTAACCGGGCATCACGATACAAGCCACTGGAGCAGCCTGCCGCTGCCCAGGTCGCACCTCCTACGCCTGAGATAGCACACCAGGAGCCAGAACCCGAGCCAGTGCAGCACAAGGAGCCAGAACCCCCTAAACCCCAGCAGCCTCCTCCGCTCCAGGTGTCGACTTTAGCCATACCCGAGCCAACTCCAATTTCGCCCATCTCACCCCCGTCAGCTACCAGCGCCAAAGCCTCAGAGATTCCTCCCGCGCGGAATGAAGCGGCCAAGCCACCTCCACCTGCGAAAAAGGCCCCGCCACCCATTGCAGCCAAGAGCAATGCTTTCAGGGACCGCATCGCAGCTTTCAACGCTCCCGCTGCTGCCCCGATCCAGCCCTACAAGCCTGCCGGCGCCGCGACCACATTCATCAAGAAACCTTTTGTAGCCCCTCCGCCAAGTCGCAATGCCTACGTGCCTCCCCCCGTTCGCGAAACACCTCAAGCCAAGACGTATCGCCGCGAGGAAGATCCCGAGATTGCCGATCGTCAGGCGCAGGACCAGGACGCTGCAGAAAAGGCTGGGCTCGTCGCACATGATAGCTCCAACACACAAGAGGGCGAAGGGGAGGACCAGCCGAAGCCGACAAGCTTGAAGGAACGAATTGCCCTGTTGCAGAAGCAGCAGCAAGAACAGGCTGAGCGCGCGGCTGCTGCCATGCACAAAGAGAAGCCAAAGAGGCCGCCGGTCAAGAAGAGGACCGAGTCTCATGACGGCCATGCTGAGGAGAGCGAAGACACAGGCCTGGAGAGAGTGGCTAGCGGAGCTTCGAGAGAGCGTGGCTCCATGGACCACGCCCGACCGCCGCGAACTTCGCATGATTTGAAATCCCCTGACACGCACCACCGCCATCGCGAGCTGATGAGCGACGGCAACGATGCGGATCAATCTGGTGCTGGTGAGACGGAAGATGCGGAAGGTGAATCGACAAGTGTCGAAGATGATGACGACCGAACAAGGAGTCGACAGCCCGCCCCACCTCTGAGAGTTGCTACTGCCCCCTCAACAGAATCGCATGTTGGAGATGAACAACATGTCGAAGACGTGGCTGAGCAGGAGGACGAGAAGGAAGAAGACGATGAGATGGACGCCGAGACGAGGCGAAAGTTGGAGCTGCGCGAGCGCATGGCTAAAATGAGCGGCGGCATGGGCATGCCAGGCATGTTTGGTGGAATCCCAGTTGGCGGCCTTCCACCAAAGAAGAAGAAATCTACCGCAGAGCGAAAGGCCGAAGATCACGACGAGTACACTTCGCCTCAACAACGAATGCCCATGTTCGGCCTACCCGGGATGCCGTCTGTCAAGAGCCCAGAACAGGAGGATAAGCAACTGGCTGTCGAGAAAGAGGATGAAGTAAACCACTCTGTCACGGGCCTTCATCCCGCAGAAGAAGTGCCCGACGTTGAGGATCTGACGCCGTTACGCATCCAGCGGACACCCACTGGCGAGCGTCCACCGCCCATCCCATCAGACAGTAAGTTTCTTATTCCTCGCAAACCAGTCGATGTCTTCACTCGCCAAACCCTGGACCGCTTTCAGTTATCATGTTCCGAACTTGTGTCAAAGACCTATGTCGCTTGCGATGGTCTTTCGGAATATGTCATGACTGTAAGCGTGTCCAGTACGTTCTGGTGTAGTTTCAGGCACTCCTTTCGAGTACGGTTGGCGGATACTGACACTGCGTAGGGCGGCCCATCCCTCCACCTGTACCATCATCATGTAGGTAACAGTCCAAATTCTACTGTGCTGTCCTGACGTTATATAGCTCGACCTGTACCACCACCTCTTCCGAATATTGTCTCTCCGGGTCCTGGATCTGAATCTGGCGATGAGTTGACTGATAGCGGGGCTAATGCAATGTCGCCCCGAACTCCGTCTGCTCCATTCATGCCGGCCAACAAACGTAGCTCGTATTTTGGTTCAAACGACCCATCTCAAGGCTCTCCTGATAGAAACTTACCGCCATTTTCATTAGTAAGCCCCACATCACCGGGAGGGCATCGACCGCCTCCGCCGCCTCCGCCTACCCAGGCACCTCCATCTCGTCATGCAGATGTGCCTCTGAGGGGTCTGGATCGGAATGAAGGCGAGACCGACTACGAAGGCGACTATGATACCGACATTGCGCCTGGAGCAACCCACAAGGACGCCTTGAAATCTCACGCGAAGGAACCAAGCATGGAGGATAGCACTATAGCCGATGAACCAACGTCAGCTCGATCACCCACTACACCCTATGGTCTTCCACCTCTACCTCCTTCGGTACCACGTGCTGTTCCCCCTCCTCCTCCACAGCAGGCCCCCACTCGTCTATCAATGGACGCTCCACGTTCCGTACCGCCGCCACCGCCTGTTCCGCCTCCTACTCGCAACGTCCAATACGACGAAGACGACGATGACTACGACCCATTCAAATATACTGCACCTCCTGCTGCTGCACCTCCAGCGCCGAGGGCAGTGCCACCCCCTCCACAAAGCCAACCACCACCACCGCAGAATAGACCACCGCCGCCCATGCCTCCTTCAATCCCACCTGTACCGCAGCGCGAGCAATATGAGTCATCAGATGAGGATGATTTATACTCTGCACCGCCGCCTAGGAAATCACACGACCGACCACCACCTCCACCACCTCAGGCTCCACCTCACCAGTATGCGCCTCCAATTCCACCACAAGAACGACCCGCTCCCCCACTGCCGCCAGCCGACACCCAACCTCGGGTCCCTATGACAAGGAAATCGCTCGATGTAAATCGTACACTAGGAGGACGAGTGTCCACAGATCAAGCACGGCCATCTACGAACCAAGACTTCATAGCCAGCGACATTGATCTCGGCCTCGGTTCGCGTTGGTGGACGCAAGCAAACTTACTTCCTCCATCCCTACAGAACCGCAAAGACGTGCTCGTTGACATGACCGAGTCACAATCTGGAAACACGATCGAAAAGCTGATTTCTATCATATACATTGACTATTCGCAAACCACTGTATCCGCACGCTTTGAGATTAACAACGCCTCCGACGTTGATCTAGACCAGCGTCACAACGCACCACCTCCGCGCCAAAGACCAGATCAGCTCGAGAACGCATACGAGCAGTTTGGCCGTCGTATCGCCAAGGACGTCGAGTCGAAGCAGAACACAATTGTCGGCAACGGCACCCCTCAGGGCCTCATTGACGAACTGCTGAAGCCATACAAAGACGCGCTTCCACCCGTTTCCACCCGCGCCTACGGTGCGCTCGTCTACGCCAACCTGGCCAACGCATCTACCCAGTCGCACGACGAGATTCGCCCGGGCGACATTGTCAGCTTCCGCAATGCAAAGTTCCAGGGTAAAACAGGCGCTATGCATGCCAAGTACGCGGTTGATGTAGGCAAGCCCGACCACGTTGGTGTGGTTGTCGAGTGGGATGGTAGCAAGAAGAAGGTCCGAGTTTGGGAACAGGGCAGGGAGCACAGGAAAGTAAAGCCTGAGAGCTTCAAGATGGGGGATTTGCGCTCTGGGGAAGTGCGTGTATGGCGTGTCATGAGTAAGAGTTGGGTTGGGTGGAGTTGAAGTCTTTGAAAGAGACATGTATTGTGTGTGAGTGTGTGCTACGATGAAAAACGGGGAAAGGGAAAGGAAACGGAAGAAGAGGTAGAGTGTATGTAACTAGCATCAGCGGAATGGTATTTGATAGCTCTTGTGTATGCAATTACCTGGTGTCAATTCTCCGAGTGCATTGTTGCATGGACTGACTAATTACAGTACTTCGATCTGACTTGTTCTCTCGTTTCTCGCTTGTTTCCTCGTAGCTATGCAAGCCTTCCGAACAGAGGTATGAGGGACGTTCTTAATGTTGATGGCTCTGAGTGGAGACATGGGAAATTGGGGCTTCTGCTGTCTTCGTCGAGTATGCGCATTAGCCGTGTGTGTATGCTATCACTTCCTAAAAACCGTATTGTTTTTCCATGTTTGTGTCTTATGCCATCGCAGCTCTGTCTGTCTTTTCTTCGTTCATGGCCATGGCCATCGCCATTAATCTCTCTTCCGTTCCGTACTCTCTCGAGATTGGGGTGGTGTGTGTTGTGTCGACGATAATGGAGACCGGTTTTGAGACTCTGTTTTGGGCTAAACCACTTGCTGCAGTCTCACAGTCGAGCCTTCGAAGCAGTGACCATACCAGGTTTGCCATCCGACCCTTGGCCTATTAGCTATATATGCTGCGTTCTACCACTCTTTCAACTCTTCTACTCCCTCTGGAGTCCAAGGTAGGTGGTTGATAGTCGATGGTCGAGGTCGACAGGCCGAACTGCCTGAGTGGGCGGTATCTTCGTAGTGCAGCTCGTACCTCGTAGTCTATAAATAGTGGGTGACGAGTGAGGGAGGACTATTCTCAAGATTTTACAGATGGAGAAGTTCGGCAAGGGAATGCACGGCTCTCAGTGGCTTTGGGATTTTCACTGTGTATGAGACTAGTTAGTAATTTAGTTTAGTAACTTCGTCATATCACATCATTCCCAGATACCGAATGGCTATACATGATGATGTTGATGTTGTATTGTACCAGCGCCTTGACGAAATGTCAAGACAGATATCATGTAAATTGTGCGTGAGAGAGAGAGAGAGAGAGAACCGAACAAGGTAAGAAAGATCGTGGTGGGGCCGTGAAACTGCTAATATCACTGCCGTTTTCTGGCCGAACTGGATGGATGGGCGGCGTCAACACGGTTCTCCAGTACATCAACCTGAGTCATACCGCGATAGATATCGTCGACGACATCGATCCGTATCTTCGTAAAAACTGTTTTAGCAACACTGATCCAATACCCAAGCAAACCAGGTCGATCAGTATAGTAGTTCGACTGGTGTGAACCGGTAACTGATCCGTATCTAGTGTAGTTAAGAACAATGGACATTATTAGCCATATTGGTACAAGGCGCTAGTCGCCGATGTCTCGAAGCGGTAAGGGAGGAGGAGGGATGAGGGAGAGGGCGTGAGGCCAAAATGTGGATGAACTGCCAAGTCCCATGCAACAGGAGAAACTTATCCATGCCACGTGATTCTCATGAGTCCGAAGGCTGCATATTGGTTGAAGATGGTCGCTTGCCTTTTGAGGAGTCACCTGCAATCATAATGAAAGTCTGTTGGGATGGGTTGTAGTTGTTATTGTAAATAGCTCACCGCTAACCTAATCTGTTACCGTGGTTGACCGTCGGCTCCGAGCTCAACCTATCCTATAAGCTGCGAAGTAATCAACATTATGTCCGCTCTTATAGATCACCTTATAAACTAGCAACAGACCAACAGGGTGCCCTAGAGCGAGCATATGGCGCTGCTTAAACCCTCTTTTACGACTTATAACCTAGGAGACGGATTATCTGATCCACCAGACACTTCAACGTATGCAAAACCCTCCCTTTCTTCTTCCCACGCCCTTTTCCTTCCTTTCTTTGTGTCCAGATAAATCGCTTAGGCCTCGCGTGCATCTCCTTCTTTCTAGCGTGCCGATAGTACTCGCACTCCACTTTCCATCCGTATTCGTGCAAGAGTCTTTGCTCGTCCTTGGGGCTGTAAGGATAACGGTAGTCTCCTGATCGGTAGATATGGTATGGATACGTTGCCTCGGTGTTCAGTTCCTTGACCTCGAGTATGATATTGCGGACATTAATATCAGTCTGTCCAGTAAAAAAGAATGGCAGATATGGCTCGTATGCACAGAAAGACCGAAGGCGGTGCTGGTCGTTAGAGCATATTTGTGGACAGACAAAGCAGTTCAACCGTGCTGCGAATGGCAGTATATTACTGTAAGTCGTTCGTGGGAGGTAGTAATAGTCCAGCAGATTCCCTGAGACAATGTTGAAAACAGTCTTGGACAAAAGGCTGTCAGGATCTGGCATGTCGTGTATCTGGATAATGATTGTGTAGAGATGAAGTTCCGCTATAATGCGCAAATAGTTCAGCGCTGCCATCTGTTGGTCCAGCTTATGTTCTTCGAGCATCCACCGCGGAATGGAAATCGTAATCGTCGTGAGTTTGCAGTACGGGACAGATCGAGGCGGCAGCAGGAAGTTCACGCCCCTGGGAAGGTGAACTTTGATTGATTCGTAGAAAGCGATGGCTTGCCGGCAAAGCTCGCCATCTATTTCTGCTCTGATCTTCGTGCAAGTCAGATACAGTCCTGAGTAGTCGTGGAACGGTGACTTCAAGGCTGTGAAGACATTCCGGTAAGTTTCAAGGCGGATTTCGGTTGGGATTTCAAGGAGGTAGGCTCGTTTTGCCTTACGTAGGTGCTTGGTAAACTTCAGCATAGTGTGAGATGTATGTCGAGGATGCTCCTGTGTGCAGACCTACACGAGCTTTTGTAGTTTCTCGATGTAGTTGTACGGAGATGAAAAAATGGAGACAGCACTCTGTGGGTGTGCTTGGCCACAGATCCAAACAGCGCCCACGCCCTGGTTGGGTTATCGCTGAACTATAGTTGTACTTTGAGTGCGGAGAGATCTGTGATTACGTGGAACCACGGTTGCGATGCCACGAGGATTTTAACCACAACCTCATTCTCTAAGTATGATTGCCCATCGAAGCGATGCTTTCAAAGCTGTGTCGGGTATCTTTAGCATTGTTTATTTCGCTGTTTACACATTAGCGACCAACAAGGCCTTAGGATGAGCGAAGAGTTCAAGCCCTTTCAAATGCAGCACAACCCAAATTAATAAGATCCGAAATTGCACAAATAGGATATTTACGGTCCTATCTACCTGCCTCACTGCCACTAGTCACCCTCGGTTCGCATCGCCCAGCCCACCGTATATTACGCGTCCCTGGGTTCATATAATATTATGCGTTTGAGAAATTTCATATTACCAAGGTACCGCTTCAATTCTGAAAAAATCATTGCCATCCTAGCCCGAGGGGATGCGAGGTTGAAGTAGTAAAATGCTGCGCACGGATTATGTGAAACAAGCGAAACCCCGCACACGTGCATCATCATTCACGCATTGCGCTAGCCCGCACAATGCTATGTTGTGAATGATTTGTTCGCACCGAGAAGGTGAATGGCTATCCATCTACTAAACGAGGTGTTTATAGTTCGATGTCGCCCTAGATGCTGCTTCCAGCCAAATGCGCCGAAGCGTAGACAAGTCGCCACTGAATAAAACGCAAAGGAGAACACCATGCACCGGACACCAAATCTTCGAGTATGCTAACCCAGAAATTGATGAAACGCCACGCCAATGTCGTATGAAAGTGGGGAAAGAAAAGAGCTCAAGCTAGAACTACGAAAGATCCATAGGGTCCCCAGCGTTGCTACCCGCACCAGTCGATCCGCGAGGGCGATGAGTTTTTGTAGTAGGAGGTAAATGCTGAGCGTAGATGCTTTGCATGGCTGGAGCTGGAATATTGATACCAGTATTGACGCCATCGCGTACTTGAGGAGGAGCAACATAACCCATGTGAGGTTGAGGATATACAGGAGGAGTTGAAGGTGTAGCTGGCGTTGAGGATTTGCGAGGCTGCTTACGCCCGCCTATGCGCTGCGCTCGAGGAGCAGGGAAGCAGGCATTCTTAACCCGGGTCTGAAACTCGTTGGCGAAGTTATCGTACGGCTTCTTCTCCTCGGTTGACTTCCAGCCCATTTTGTTCTTCATGCACTCCGCCTTGCGGTGGCTGATAGTGGAACCTTCGATGCGGATGCCATTGTTCTCGAAGCGCCGACAGCAGTCAGATCGGGAAAGAATCAGCAATACGACAAGAAGACTGACGTTGTCGTTGTCGAGGAGGTGGGGAGCAAAGTCACACACGTTGCAGGCAAAGCGCCGCATGTCTTCGAGCTCTTTCGTGTCGGTACAGTTGACGAAGCGCTCAGCCATGGAGAATGGGCGCACCATATCCCTACAGATGTGGTTTTGCAGAACGTTAGCGACTGAACTTACGGAGACCGGATATATGTTTTCACGATCGATCCTATTCGTGGCTGTTGATGATACGGTGCCGGCAATGTAAATGATTTCGATCTCATCGAACGGCCCACGGTTAATCTTCAGATCCTTTGGCGCCTTAGAACCCTTGAGAGCTTCTTGATGTTTGATGGTAGCCTCGCGCGCTGCCTTTACAGCATCACGTGGAGTGATAAGGTTATGCTCGGCGGCCAGTGCTATGGAGTCCTTGTGCATCTCGAATTTCGAAAGCTTGCGTTCGACGTCAGGGGAGCGGATCCAGTCCTCGGACCAAGGTTCCTCGGCAAGTACTTTGTAAAAGACCTTGGTCAGGGCGCGGAGTTTGATCTCTTGATCAGAGAGCTGGCGCTTGCCGAAGTAGAGCTCATCAGTCTCCACGTAAGCGGACTCGATGAAAGTCTTCCGGTCCTTTTGAGTCAACTGGCCTCTAGCGGGGTCATTCTTCCATTCTTGAATGATGTGCATGAACTTGGCGTGAAAAATATCATCGAAATGTTTAGAAAATGGCGTCGCGGTAGCTGTGAGTTGTGAGTAATTATTCTTATGTGAAGGAATAACGCGTTGCTTGCTTACAAGCCGGTGTAGTTTGCTGTGTCGGAGAAGGTGAGGCCGCGGCGTTCTGGGTGATTGGGGCAGGTGACATGGTGACCTGTGCACGATATAGATCGTGATATATCGAAACAGGTACCTGGAGGACCACTGCAAGTCGCTGTATACAGCCAAAAAGGGGCAGACAATGATGGAACTTGATGGGGTTGAGGCGTGACGCTGGCGGTTGAGTTGGTAGTTGCGGGGTGGTTGGGACTGTCGGAGCTCGAGGTGTCAGGCAAAAACATTCACGCTCGCGTACTAGCGCGGCTAGGGTCCTCTTGGCGAGAGTTGTCAGTCACGTGAATACGTGGTAGAGCTATCGGTCTAGCGAACACGTCATCGCTCAACACATAGCTAGGCAGATTGAACAGTACCAACGACAATCTCATCACGATACACCAATTGAATTCTGGAATCCAGTCGCCTTCAGCTTCGCGTCGTCGGCTTGAGCATTTCGGGTCATCAATGATGGTTTGTCAAAGTAAGCGTAATAGCTCACGCTCACAAATACCCTAGTCCCTTAGAGTAAGTAGCGCTCACACTGCAATATACTATACATAGCTCCCCTATGTCTTTTTCTTCAAATAATTGCAATACGTGTCTTCAATGTTCAGTTACCGTCGCGAAACCAGTTTTCATCGCCTGTGTTCCAGAATGCTAGTAAAAGATCCGCTTCTGTGTAACCGCTTCGAGTGCGCCCGTGACTTGTAAGTGCGGAATACAATTGTAGCTAGAGTCTTGGAAAAGCATAGCTGTCACCATCTTCACATCGATCTGAAACCTCAATAGCTATTCTCATGGGAAGTACGCGTCCAAATGAGCAGGAGGTTCTAAGTCTATACTGAGTCGACATAAGTGTGCAGTCGTGATCCAAAGTGTTGGAGCAAGTCCAATTCATGCCTTCCTGAGAAGCTAAATGCATAGGCTATAACTCATAGCAACTACTATCTTATAGACAGGGGCAAGAGGAGGTCATGGTAATGGGTGCATACCACAGTCCTTGAACCGGTCGAATCCTGCTCGCATGGGTCCACAGATGTTTCCAGCATGCGATTTTGATAAAAGACATGATGATTTGATTCCTGCATCAAGATTTCCATGTCATATGGAGTGCTCCTCGAAAGCGAAGGTGAATTGACCGTTTTTGCACTACAGATTGCAGCATACAGTGCGGTTTCACTTGAATCGCGACTTGTAAAAATTTATAACCAGACGCCGACTTCCGTTTCCTCTCACTCCCCGCGCTCTACGCACCGAGAAGCCCAACATAACCAAACGCACAATGATGAAGCTTGTCAAACGATCACGTCGCGCGTCTCCACCCCCGAAGAAGTGCCATATTCTGGCCGCACCGGTAGAAATCCGCACCGCCATCTACGAACATATCGCTCCTCGAAGCTTCTTGCCCTATGCGCCGTACCACGACTACATGGGGCTGTTTTTGTCTTGCAAGCAAATCAGCGAGGAGTTGACACAAGAGTCACTTCGTCTTGCGCCAGGAATCCTTCGCGCAACCCAGGAGCGAGATCCGGAGACAGTGATGAACATACGCCTACTTCGTCCTGTCAACTTCAGCTCCCTCATGCACATCACGATCGGCATCCCTCGTTGGGCGCTCTTCAGTTTCGAGAAGCAAGAGGAAGTATTCAGAGCCCTCGGACCACTGTCAGAGTTACACCTGAGCAGTTTAACAATAGGCATTGAGGATCTCCGGACCGAGTTCGATGTCTACCAGATGATCATCGGGCTGCACGGCAGCGATTTCGAGGAATACATGGAAGCCCTTGATAGTCTCCCCGCCGTCTCCGGAGGGCCAATCGAGCAAGCCAAGTTCTACGAAGTTCTCACAATTTACGCCAATATCGTCGAATTCGCAACGCAACTCAACTGTATTGTCGCCCCACGGCTCTGCTTTCATGATCACGACGTGGAAAACCAATGGTGCCTTCGCACGCGCATCAATAATCCGATTCGGCCATCTCGTTGTAATGTTCGCAAGATTGTCCTTCGCCTGAAATGGCTTCACGACGAAGACCATCGCAGCGGAAATCCACACGACGTCTATCCTTTCAGCAATGTTCGCTTGCGATGGAGCCCAACGGACGAGATACGCCAGCTGAGACGATACGGCTGGTACAACATGTGGACCGATGAGCATGGAGATCGGAAGTACTTTTCCAAGAAGAATCCAGGACAGTTCATCTGGATCAAAGAGAAGAAGAAGAAAGGCAGAGTGATGAAAGCTGTGCAGGGGCTGCTGAAGGGCTTTTTGTGGAGGTAGACAGGAGGCAAAAGGGTTCTGTACGATAGTCACTTGGAATGGGGGTTTTACGGGCGAGGAAATCTCGACCTCAGTCGAGCTACCAGCTTGCCTGACCAAGAAATTAAGAACGATGGTCACAAGCGTTCACAATTGGAGATAGCTATGTATGGTAGCTTCCTAATTAGTACCCCAAGCTGATAATGGTGAGAAATTATGCATGTGATCTAGCATTCACTACATGTTGCGAACAAGGCTTTCATATTCCGTCAGAGATTAGCCCTTACTAAGAGCACAAGTTAGCTATAAGGGGAATACCATGCGGGTACTTTGTTAGTTTAAAGATGTGCAGTACCGTGAATTAGCGAGCGTGTACACTGCTCAGAAGAGTATATTCTAGTATCAAGATGCTTCAGTTTGTGACTAAGCGGGTGTCGCCAAGCGGAGGGCCCATACACTTGTTAAACTTGCTCTGTCTTCACCTCTTTATCTACACTTCCCTCAACACCGCCACCATGGAGCTCAACGGTTTCGACCTGTTCGCTTTCTTCCTCTGCTCGGGCCTGTTTGGTATACTGTTATCAGCCTGGGCTACGGTAATATCATCCAAGAAAGCCATTGCAAGTCTACGTGCGCTAACTTTATTAGACTGACTTCATCGCTGACCGAGAGGTCTCGCTCCTCATCGTGGTCTTCGCCATTCTCGTGTCCACGCTGTTCTTCCGGCTCTCCAGCGCAAAAGCAGTCATCAACTACATCTCTCGTCATACAACAGAGATCCAGGACAAGCAGATTGCCGACATGAAAGAAGCCCACCGCCGCCGCGTCGCAGCTCTCAAGTACGAACACCAGATGCAGCATCACCAGTTGCAGGCCAACCTGAACACCGCCAACGTAAAATTCGACCGCCTGTACAGTGACCACGATTGGATCAGCGGCATGTACCAGGACCAGATGCGCAGCATACAAGAGCAAGAACACCGCATTGCCTACCTCGAAGTGAAACTCCAGGAATTCGGCCAACGCACGCCTGGTGCCCACATGCCGTTTTCTGCGCCCTCCTCTCAGATCAGTTTCTCCAACCCGCCGCGCCGCAATCGATCTACGATGAGGTCTCCGGTAGGCCCGAGCCCTCTGGCGCAGGTTGTAGAGGTGGACGAGGAGTAATCATGCGGCTCCTGAGCGGGAGTATGATCGGAGGTACAAGGTGATTGTTCCGGGTACTTCGGATTGTAGAACGCTCTTCTGTGCCGCTCTTTTGGACTGGATCGGGCGAACTTTTCGGGAGGACGCGTCCTAGATGACGGCAAGCATCGGCTACAGTGGAAGTTTAAATTCCCACAGCAGCTACACAATCCAATTTCAGATCTCAAAGCTTTTGCCCTGGACTGACTAAAGTGAGAACTCCTGTTCATATTTGATATCCCTGTGCAGGGTGATGGCGGGCGCCCTGGCGCACGTTCGCTGCCTGCTTCAAGTGAGATCGATTGCACTTCACCTTCCGTGCTCCAAAACAGTGACACAGTCTATGCTCCCCTTCAAGCTCAGCTCTTCCCAGTTTTCGATCTCTAAACCCTTCAAAGCATCTCTTTAAACGCTGCAACCTCCGCCAGGTTCTCCAGCTACGACCCCGCAGGGCACCTTTCGACTCATTCACAGTACCGTGTAACAACCTCACGCCTTCACATTATTATTGTCATCGCCAGTAGCCCTCTGACGCACGCATAGCCACACAATTATTTTCTACCACCCACCCATATCGCCCTTCTCGCGCCATCCAGCTGCGAATAATGGCGTTATCCAGCACTTTTCGTATCCTCCCTAGCGGCTTATTATCCACGATCTCGGCGACCACAGCTATACCTTTTACCACCGCAGTCAATACCTCAGGCTCCTCCGAAACTAGCAACGCCGCCATCGCCACAACCAGCATCATGCTGCATAAACATGGAAGAAGCTTCGTGTGGCCAACAAATCCATCACGTTTGCCAAACCCGATCGAAGGCGTCGAACCGACGCGCACACAAGTCCTACTTCCACTCCCCGCCTCTTTTACCGAACGTATACCTCCTAGCACAGCCTCTATTAGCTGGTTATCTCTACCCACAACCGCACAATCTGTTCCGGCCAGAGTGGCGACGATCACATCTGGTGTGCCAGCACAAAATCCAGACAACGTTACCGACCGCACCAGCGGCACAAATCCAACGAGGAGGCCAATGGACGATGATAAATCCCCTGATGTTGCGAAGGTTATATTCTCTTTCTTCGTGGTTTTGACGGTGGTTTTGCTTGGGTTATTGGTACGACGAGAATGGCTGTTTACGACGGGCAGGAGGAAACCTGTAGTGAGCCGACGACCGTTCGCTGCACTGAGGGGGGCTAGGATTGCAAGAGGAGAGTAAAGGGGCTGGAGATAGAGTGTGGATTGGGTGTTATGGACGGAGCACAAGTAACGGATGACCAGAGATGTGATACAATGATGTAATATGGAAGAGTGATATCTATATAATCAATGTACTGGTATGATAGGGATGTATTACGTACGCCAGTCCTATTTCTACACCACAATGTAGAGGAGCCCAGGAAATGTCTAGGCGAACAGCTTGGGGCCGTGATACTTGGTCTCTTCATTATAGGCGCTTGATGCAACCGTCAGATTGCGCTCCGGGAATCCCTTGAGAGAGGCCGCGTAGGTGGCGACGGAATGGGCAATAAGCTGAAGCTGTAAGCAAGTCTTCTTTAATCAATCTCAGGGTATGCTCACCTTTGTGTTAACAACCCACGCTGTCACATTGACGTTGCCAAGATCATCGCAGAGTTGATGGTAGCAAGGGTCATACCAGTCGCCAGCTTTGCCGCCAAACTGCTCTACCTCTTCCTTTGTCTTGATACCTTCAGCCCCCGTGGCAATGCCACCACCGGGAATGCCATTGCGAATGAAGCCATCGTAGTCACTGCGGCCATCAAAGGGAATGAAGGTATAGTTCAAGCCTTGATCCTCATACCACTTGATGTATAGATCGCGCAGCTCCTCCGAGCCGTTCGGGTTCAACGCATTGGTGGCATTGTAAATTTGATAGGCGAAATTTGGACTAGTGTTGGTTAGATTGCTATCATGTGCCTGGTCTCATTTAACTCACCTGGCCATCATGTCATAATCCATGAAAAGACGGATCTTTTTGTTCTCCTTCTCCGGTAGAGAAGCAACATAGTAGTCGGAGCCGAGCAGACCTTCTTCCTCACCCGCCCACCAAGCAAAGCGAACGCAATTGCTGACGTTGAATTTGGTGAGTTGAGTGGCGACCTCGAGGAGGGATATCGTTCCAGAACCGTCATCGTTGATACCAGGCCCCTCAGTTACGCTATCACTGTGTGCTCCGAGCATAACGCAGTTGTTAGGATCACCTTCAGTGGTTTGCGCAATGATGTTGTTGGTGAGTATCTGGTTGACCTCTGCATCGATGTATGCAATGCCGTCAACGCGTTGGCCTTTCTCGAGCTTCTTCAGGGTCGGTTCGGCGTCCTCGCCGGATAGGCCAAACGTTGCAATATGATCTGGAGATGGCGTTCCAAGAGTGCCTGATACAGGATCCTTCTCATAATTGTAGACAACAGCAGCAACAGCACCTTTGCGTCCAGCATGCTCCGACTTGGTACCGAACGGACAGACTCCCCGCTTGATGAACGCAATGTTTCCAGCAACGGAATCAGGAAAGTCTGAGGCTTGGCAACCGTCGTTAGAGACAAGAACAAGATCGCCATGGACAGGCTCTTTATGCTTGGTTGGCGGCGTCAAACCCATTGGTGCTGCAGATTTAGGGACACCGTCGCCGATAACAAGCCGTGATTCGAACACATTTCCAGACACAGCAGGGAACGACTGGTTGGAGATGGTATAGTACTCTCCAAGTTGAAGGATAGTCTCGTAAATGTATGATAAGGTTCCGATGTGACCTGCGATATAATGAGCACCGGGAAATGTAGCGGCACATGCGCAAGCCTACCAGCACTCCCTATTACTCTGGTGGGATGATTATACTCTTCCTCGCCCAGTTTTGCAATCTCATACAGTTTCTTTGCGCGCACCATCAGCCTATCACCGCTGATGAGGTCCTGAAGTTCGGTCGAGTTGACGAGCGGGTTCGTCTCGTTTACATGGCCGATAGGCGCCTGGTAGTATGATGAGAGCAGGGGTATTTGGAGGGCTGTTGCGCCTGTAAGGGCTGCGCACAGCGCAAAGCCCGAGTAGAAAACCATAGTGGATTACTGATGACACACAAAGGAGGATGAGATGGAAGAGTGATGTTTGATGGATGAGTGAGTCCGCTCTGTTGCCATGACGCCAATCGTGGCGCCGAGGCTGCACGCGCCCAGCTCCAAGCGATAACGCCTGTCCACGTGCAGATAACTAGCTGCTACAGCACAGCCACAGCATGTGCCACGCTCTTCAGGGGCCTAGCACGCATTGATAGGGCGACAATATGCAAAAATCCCCCTTGTGGAATCATGAGAACCCCACTCCTAATGTAGTGCGCGTCTCAATGGATCGTGTGTAAAGTCACTGGTTACACCGTTGGTTGTATAAGGGGGCTGAGTTGGAGTCCTTCAAATACACAGACACAGGCGCCGTAGCAATCGATCGTGCTCCATCAGTTACCCAGGCAATCGGCCCTACTATAACTTCGTGTTCGGCCACCGAGGCTGGACATCGTGAAGGGTCTCGCAAGATCCTAGAGAATCGTGTCTGGATTCGTATAGCAGTCAAGAGGTAAGCAGCCGCCAGCGTAGAGCAGACCAAAGCATTACATTGAGCGAATATACTGAGACGCCTCAAGGCATTCTGCGGAGAGGAGTGGAGACAAATGTATCGGGCCGCCTGTGACATCACGCCGCGTTGTGGAGCTGAAACTTGGTTCTGGAATCTGGCGCGCGCAGCCAAGGGGTAACAAGCACCGCCATGGACGTTACGCGATGCTTAGTGACGTGTCCCTCGCGATCAAGCATCAAGTTGGCAGGCCCGAGAAACAAGATGGAAGAAGAATAACGAATTGCATTGGTGGAATCTGAAGCGTGCTGTAACGGTGCTGCGGCAGAGGTCATGTTTTGGCGAATGGAGGCTGGGGTAAACCAATACCAGTTACCGGTGCACGTCGGGATCTCCTGCACCTCATTAAACAGGAAATACACTCACCACCCAAGATGACGCCCAGCCCCAGAGTCCCTTCCAGACTCCAGAGTCTTTTACCCTCTTCGACTCTTCTCCTCTTTCCCATTCTCCTCTCCGATTGCAGCACCCACGGTCGTTGCAATCGCTGCAGGCCAATCCATACGCGCGCCCTGAAACGCCAAACCCCTGTCCGCCGTGCTGCAGTCAATGCCCTCATATAGCAGCTGCTGACCCCAAATCGTACCGCTCAATCACTTGCCACGCACACGGGCAGTCATGGCACATTCCCGAACCTCACGAGAGTATCCCAATGGCCGATCTTCACGAGATCGAAGGTCATCGCGAGAGTATACGACCGAGAAGACCTCACGCACCGCTCCAGCGCACGACTCGATGCGTCGACGGGAGAAACCCCGCGAGGCTCTTCCGCAATACAACCACAATGGACACACAGTAACAAAGGGCATCCACCCAGAGGGCGAGAGCGGCAGGAGAGGCTTCAACCCGGTCAAATTTCTTGTCATCTGCGGTAGGAGCAGCAGCACGCTTTCGATGATGGTCAACCTGTTGTGGCCTGTGGTCCCTGTTGCCATTGCACTGGTAGGAAAATACTTTACCAACATGGACATGGTATTCGTGCTAACAAGCTACCATAGCACTTCGCACGCCCAGAGTGGCACCTCCCCATCTTCATTACCAACTACGTCGCCATGATACCCGCAGCCAACATGCTAGGGTTCGCTGGGCAGGAGCTTTCGCGCAAGATGCCCCAGAAGGCCTTTGCGGTTGTCCTTGAGACGACGTTTGGTTCTGTTGTCGAGATCATTCTGTTCATGACGCTGCTCAAGACGTCTGTTGCAGACTCGAACGTCCAAGTCATCAAAGCTGCCATCTTAGGTTCGATCCTGGCCAACATACTGCTTTGTCTGGGATCCTGCTTTGTGGCCGGTGGCATCAAGCACGATGTACAAGAGTTCCACTCGGCCGTGTCGGAGAACGGCAGTGGCTTGATGATTGTCGCCTCCAGTACGTTGTTCCTCCCTTCTCCACCATCATACTGTGCTAATATGCGTAGTGGCTCTGGTCCTTCCCGCCGTCTTTTACAAATACCTCAAGAATAACCCGGACTATATTGCCGACACCGCTCTGATCAAATACAACACCATCAAAATCTCACGCGGTGTGGCCATCATCTCAATCGTTGGCTATCTCATCTACGTGGCGTACCAGACCATTTCCCACGATGGCTTGTTCCATGAGATCTACGAAGCCGATGATCACAAGGACAAGGACCGCCACGAGGAACTTGCGAAGCCGAAGCTCACTCTGACTGAAGTCATTGTGGCCCTGATCATATCTTTGGCTTGCGTCTCCTTGATCGCCATCTTTCTCGTGCTCGAGATTCCGCATATTGTCGAACGGGGTGTCAGCGATGCCTTTATTGGTCTCATCCTGATTCCTCTCGTCGAGAAACTCGCCGAACATCTCCTCGCCATTGACGAAGCCTACGACAACCAGATCAACATGGCGCTCGCCCATGTTCTGGGTGCGTCGATTCAAACTGCCATGCTCAACGCTCCCCTTGTCGTACTTGTCGGCTGGGGTCTCGGCATCGGTATGGACTATAACTTCGCCATGTTCGATGCCGTTGCACTTGTCCTTGCCGTCCTTGCGGTGGGCTCCTTCTTGCGCGATAAGAAGTCCAACTACCTCGAAGGCGTGCTGTGCATCATGACGTACATCATCATTGCCATTTGTGCCTTCTACTTCCCGATACCTGCGAGTCACGGCGCAGCTAAAGGTGCGGGGGGTGGTCATTGAATCGAAAGGGGAGGAAAAGAGTGGATATGGTTAACTTCGTCATGAATTTGTGAACTTATTTCGAGCATTTTTGGGCGGTTTTTGTGCCTTGTTTCTTTCTAGTCATTGTAATCAGCGAGCGAGAGATACCAAATATATGCGAACAAGATATCTTCAAGGTCGTGTGGGACTTCGTTCTCCAAAATGTCGTGTTCGAGCTCCTTTGACTATCCCCACCTACGGGTCAAGTTCCGCGCCATACCATTCTCGCACTAGCGCCAACGCATTGGCCATCCCACACACGTAACCGAGCAATATCGCAACACCTCACCTTTTCTCTCCTCAGCGACAATCTACTAACTCGACAGCCACCGCCCTTCCCTCCACGTTTTCCCAAGCTCACACAAAGTCGCCAACATGGGTCGCGTCCGAACAAAGACCGTTAAGAAGTCCGCCAAGGTCATCATTGAGCGGTACTACCCCAAGCTGTCGCTCGACTTCGAGACCAACAAAAGGATCTGTGATGAGGTAGGATACAATGTAACGGCTACGATTGTGGGCAGTAGAGACTAACCTGTGCGAATAGATTGCCATCATTGCCTCGAAGCGTCTGCGGAACAAGATTGCCGGATACACCACTCATCTGTACGTTTACCTTTCCTCCGGAGGGCTGAGACGGAGGTGCGACGATGAGAGCGATTGAGAATCACGGAAGGGTAGGAGTAGTGTGCATTGTTGGACTGCTTGTATGCCGGTCGGCGACTTCGACTCTTCCGATGGTTATCCATCCTCTCACGTCAATTCTCCAGTTGCTCGCTCTGTGCAACTTCGACCGCTCGATCGCAACGACTAACATCTCGTAGGATGAAGCGTATCCAGCGTGGTCCCGTCCGCGGTATCTCCTTCAAGCTCCAGGAAGAGGAGCGTGAGCGCAAGGATCAATACGTCCCCGAGATCTCCGCCCTCGACTTCACCCAGAACAGCGAGTCTGGTTCGCTCGACGTCGACCAGGAGACCAAGGACCTGCTCAAGAGCTTGGGCGTACGTTCTCTCCTCCTCATATCCTTCCGACCATCCCACTAACAACACATAGTTCGACAACATCCCCACCAACGTCATCGCCGTCTCCCAGCAACAGGTTGTCGAGCGCGGTCCCCGTCGCTTCAACGACCGCAACCAGCAGAACCGCTCTTAGATGCGCGGTCCGGTCTTCCTTCCCTTCTGGATTTACTGAAAACATGGTGTCATCTGGGAATGGGGTTCTGCCACGACTATGGCATGGTTTTATGGCTATATACGGCGGCATGATGATCAGGAGTCAATGAAAAAAGGTCCTCTCCCCCTAGGTGTCGCTGAGTCTGAGTGCCGCAAGGTGCGAAGATGATGCTTGATTGCCATTTTCCCCTTCCCCTTCGCTACGTGATGTTGTCTTGGTGATTTGGGTGAACGTGTGATGCGACAAGGCGGTAGACTAACTCAGCAGGTAAGTGCACTTCTCTTTAGAACTCTTCGATGTCTATAGGCGAGATATCATTGTTATCAGTCCTGGATTCGTAGTATCCAAATGAAATATTCGTCGTCCGTTTGCATATCTCACTTGCGTCATCTCAATGTCTGATGCGTGCTAATCTTGCCCATCTCTCTCCACGTCCAATTTACTTGGGCAATGGTATCCAGCTTGCATGATGTCCGAACTCCGTTTCCGCAAAGGTCCATAACTTCCTTCGGATGCCTCCATCACACCTGCTTCGCAAGAGATTACGGCCATGCTCCACTATATGCCCTCGAACGAACCTTCTCCTCCAACTTCCTCGGCTCTTTCTTACCCTCTCCTTGTCCCTTCGAACCTCCAATATCCAGCACTGCCTGATGCAGACTGGAAGCCTTGATCGAGTCATCGGATCCAGGGCGCTCTACCTTCGGCGCAGTGGTCGGGGTAGATACGCTCTGGGTGACAATGGGTCGTGAACGAATGACAGGTCCAGGGCCATGCTCGAGAGAAGGATAGCGATCATGACGGTGCTGTTTCGGCTGAATCTTGGTGGTGGTGACTGGCGAGTGACGAGTAGAGGAGTCGTTGCCGGAGCGTACCCAGTCATAGAAGGTCTGCGGGTGGGTTTTGCGGCTGTTATCCTGCACCAGAGGACCCGGGAGCTGTAGCTCTGGCTCAGCTTGGGCTTCGGCGTCGTCTGGTTGCTTGACAAGGTTGCGGTTGTGGCAGTAGCTGATGATGAAGGTCACGATGGAAAGGACGGTGATGAAGATGGCGACTGCGATGCCGGCGATTTGGGCGCGAGTGAGCTTGAGGTGGTTAGAAATTACTATAAAAGCTGACGTTGGATTGCTTAGGTGTGAGGGTGTGCTAATGGAGATTGCACAAGTGAAGACTTACTGCCATTTTGAACTCAGAGTGAGCTGTTGCGGTATGTTCACGAGCGTATGGAAAGTTGAGGGTAACCAGGCAAGGCTGTATCAGTAAAGAGGTTAAGCGGACAAAGGTAGGTGTTACGGGAAATTGGGAGGTTGCCTTGAAATCAGGTGTGCGTGGCGCGCAGCCCTTCACTTTGCCTTCCCACTTATTTCATTTCCACCGAAGCAACACAAATTATACCTTCACGTCCGTTTTGGCAGTCTCGAGGAACAGGTAGTACGGGAACCGTGCACTGATGGTGACAGCCGGCGGGAAGGTTTAGCAACATCCAGAACAAAAAACCGGCCAGGTAAGCATAATTCACCTTGTAGCCCAAGTTTGGGCTGGCACCACGTAATGTTTGAGTTTACAAAGAAATACTGATTACACCGTGAAGGCACTCAGGAGTACATACTACTGGGCTAAATACCTGTTCAAAAAAGAGACATCAAAAGCTACAGCAAATATCTCCCACTACCCGGTTAAATAAGTGAGTGACGTGCAGTCAAGCCGCCCCGTTCTCCTTGCTCTTGTAATAAGGTCTGGGCAAATTGTCGTAATACGGTACAACAATCACGTCTGGGTCCTTTGTCGCGCCGACCATAGCCTTCGTGCTGTCCTGGTACGGATATGGACTCACCCTCAAATCAATCAGTCCCGGTCCTCCACTCTGAACAATTTCCTCCACCGCCATGCCCAACCCATTCAAACACTTCTTCCATTTCTCTTCCCCTTCCGGTCCCAATTCGACCCAGGGCTTGCGGCGCTCCGACAACGGACTTTCAGGCAGCGAAAGTGTGGCGTCGATGAGGAAGCCAGTCATGCCGAAACCCTGGGCAATAATATCGTAGCGCGTCTCTGGACGGAGCGCCGACGCAGGTTTAGCAGATTTGACACCGTAAATCAACTCCTGGCCCGCCTGCGACATACCCCAAACGCTGTTATTAACTACTACCGTCAAGATGCGCAGGTTAAACTTCTTATACGTATCTAACTCCGCTAAATGAAACCCTGCTGACCCATCACCCTGGATGTTGATGACCAGTTTACTTCGATCAGCGACCGCCGCGCCGAGCGAGTATCCCCATCCGTTCCCCAGAAAGCCCAAGTACCCCGTTGCCAACATGGATAGCGACGCCGAGGCTTCGGGGAGAAGTTGCATGGCCCATCCACCCGCTTCGCCACCATCGATAGATATCACACTTCCTTTGGGTATATGCCGATAGAGAGTTTTGACCGCGTGGTAGGGATGCAAATGGCCATTCTTCTCATCGATTTTCGGCTCGGATTCATTGTGCGGTGCGCGCCAGGACTTCAGACCGAGGGCTGTGCGGATCCAGGATTCAGGGACGGTAAACTTGTCTGCTTTTGCTACTTCGCTGTTCAGCGCGGCAATCGCGAGTTGGATGTCGGATACGATGCCTATAATGATGTGCTCGGAGCGTCCAATTTCACCCCCATCAATGTCGATCTGGATGATTTTGCAGTTTGACGTGGGGACAATAGCACCTCCCCTCCCACCCAGGAGGCAGCCGGTTCGGGCTCCTAGTAGAATAATCAGGTCGGGCTGGGGCTGCTGAGTAGCGCGAAGGAGGCCAAGGAGTACCGCGGATCCGGCATGGGAAGGATGCGTGACGGGAATGCCGGTGCTGAACTTCAGACTGTGGAAGATCGGGAGGCTGGTTGTGCTAGCCAGAGTTGTGATCTCGTCAATAGCCTACTTTCGTAAGACTACCAGGTTGAAGAATCAAACAAGGGATGGGGGACTATCTTACGCTTCGCGCACCCGTGCCTACTATTATAGCAGGTCTTTCAGCCGCTTTTATCAGACTCACTACATCCTTGATCGCATTCGGATCTGGACCAGGGAGAGTACTCAACGGCCCTGTGATATTTCCCCAGGCAACTCTCTCAGCATCAACAGGCGTGAACAGCACATCAATGGGGAAATCCAGAAGCACTGGACCAGGCGCGCCAGAGCGTGCTGTCCTCCATGCATAACTCACGATGCGTGGGATTTCTGTTACGGTAGTGAGTCTCGCAGCAAACTTGGTGATAGGCTTCGCTAGCACAACCTGGTCATGAAAGCCCTGGAGGGCATTTGTCTCAGCGTCTCTCAGGGGCTGCGAGCTCGTCACACAAAGTATAGGTGAGCGATCTGCAAATGCAGTCGCAAGACCCGGAAGGCCGTTGCAAAATCTACAATGATCTCGTTAGCATATTGAGACCCTCCTGAACCCAGCATCCCAGCACCACTCAGATTCATTCTAACGTACCCGCTATTCGCAGTAACGAAACAACATCCCGTTTTCCCACTGACTTTCGCATAGCCCTCTGCAGCCTGTACAGCGACAGTTTCGTGTCTTGTGTCGATGAGCTCGATGCCTATTTCTGTGCATCCCATGAGGAAAGCGTCGAGGTGCCCACCATGCAGACCGAAGATGACATCGACACCGAGTTGCTGGAGACATTGGGCAAGAAGGTCGCCACCAAGGAGTTCACGGCCTTGGGGCTGCTTGAGAGTGAGTTTGTGGGAAGCCATAGTGCACAGTTACAGGATGTCGTTTCTTGGAGACAGTAGAAAGGTCAATTGAAGCACTGATTGTAAGTTGGTTACATTTATATTAGGGGGCAGAAGACAATGATTGGCATCTTGTAGATCCTTTCCTCGGCCTGACAGTCGGGCTTTTAGTTTCCTGTGACCGGTGGTGTTGTTGCGTGATGCCAGGGCCAAAAGTGTGGGGTAAACCCCGCTCCTTGATTGCAGCTTACGCATTTAGCTTTTCGGGTACACAGCTTATTACCATGTGAGTGAGATTCTCGGCTACTTCGGATCACCTATCTGAGGTAACAGCCAGCCGAGATAGTGCTTTGATCGTATTGTCGAGTCGATCTGCACGACCCTCCATTTTGCAGGTAGTTTATAGCTCCCCCTTCCACCCACCTTCTAACTCGAAAATCTTTCCGACCTCTCTACACACTCTCAGTAGGTGCTGGTCTCTATACCGACTACTCACAACACTCAACCCCACAGGCATCCCGTTTTCGCCTCGAAAGCCCGGGATATTGACAACTGGCATATGCATAGCAGTCCAAGGCCCACAAAATGCCGCGTCACCTGTATTCCCATGTCCTATCGGCGCTTCATCAATCACACTCGGTGCAATGATCGCAGCATATCTGTCCGCCAGCGCGTCCAGCTTCGGTCTCATGGCTGCAAGCTCGTCGAAAGCTTTGAGCTGATCTTTGCGTGAAAGCTTGTGGCGATTCTCTACGTGGTCAACAAGGGTGTAGTGCAACTGGTCCTTCGCGGCGTAATAATCCGGTAGAAACGCGACCCGTCCGTCGCCAGAGAGGACTTGAAGATGGTATTTGTACATTGGTCGAAGCGAATCATCCAAGGTGATTTCTTCGACGTTTGCACCGTGTTTGCGGAGAAGCTCAGCACCCTTCTTAAGAGCGGCGGTGGTGCCTGGGCCAGGCTCTGGCCATTCGGGAGTAGGCAGCGTGAGCAATGCAAATTCCGCGCCGTTGACTTGAAAATTTTCCTCAGGTTCATCGTCCACGAGCTGGAATGCATCGAGGAGTAACTTGAGGTCGTCTACACTTCTTGCATACAGGCCCAGTGTATCGAAAATCAACGAGTATAGCTTTTGACCTTCCCGCGAAATCGAATTCCATGTCGGTTTCATAGCATAGATGCCATTGAATGAGCCTGGACGTATTGTACTCCCCACCGTTTGTGTTCCAAGACCGATGGGGACCTGGAAGTCGCCTACAGCCGCCCCTGAGCCTGAGGATGAGCCGCCAGGTGTGCGAGAGGGATCGTGAGGGTTCGCGGTCTTGGGACCTTTGTGTGAAGGACCGACAGAGGTCGCTGCAAACTCGGTGGTCGTGGTCTTACCTACTCATCATCAGTATCATATCGGTGCCCATAGACCACAAGACGTACCGAAGATCAGTGCTCCATTTGCCCTCAACACTGCAACGCTACCCGCATCGATCATGGGTGCATCATCCTCGTAGATTGGGGAGTTGTACTGCGTCGGCATGTCGTTTGTGAGGATCACATCTTTGACCCCTACTGCAACTCCATGGAGTGGTCCCCTCTTCTCGGGCGGCGTTTGGTCGAGTTCGCGTGCACGTCGAATTACGAGTTCTGGACTGAGATATGCCCAAGCATGAACGGCAGCATCACGCGCTTCGACGCGTGAGAGTAGTGATTTGGCGTATTCTTCGACAGTTAGGGAACCATCGTTGAACTTGGCTTGCGCTTGCGACGCCGTTAGGCGGAAGGGTTCTGTCATGGTGCAAGGTTTTTCCGAAATTTGTGGACTATCGAACCAGTCCTTGATGTCGAGCAGGATGAAGAGGAGGAGGATTGTTGTAGCCCCTCCATACTGACGGCTACCTGCTTCCAGTCGTGAAGTGGTTGTGCATGTATCGGCACGGTCAAGTCCGCAGGCACGATACGGTAAGACCAACCGATATCGCATGGATGACTCAGCTTCAACCTCGCCCATGTCTCAAGCGCTGCTATATGTTGTTCAATCCTCAATGTCTACCTACCGCCCTTGACCGATGTTTTTGCTAATACAGAAACGTGTGCAAACTTTGACGGGAGATGTATTGTGACCAAGTTTGCGCTCTCCTGACACCGTGATACTGGAAAGCACACATTTAAAATACTACACCAGTGATATTCGCACGAGACACACTTTCCAAAGCAGCCGTCATATAATGCGAGATCCAGGAGTCGGTCCTGGAGTTTACTAGGCTCCGACTTTTCAAATATGCGAGATTAACTCGGCGTTTGATGATGCCCGGCTTAGATGCATTGCGTCATCCGACCCTGGACATGTTCTAGAATTCTAAGATGCTCGAGGTAGCCATGCAGGGTCCAACAGCTGCAGTAAGGGAAATGAATATATAGGTCCTGTCGAAGCAGTAGAGAAATACAGTATACTTCAGCATTCTTCTTCCCATACGCCATCCAGTGTGGCCACGAGAGCTTTCATTGTAACTTCATCAGAGTAGTCAAGATGTCTACTTCTGCACCCTCGCTCCATATACTCATTGCAGGCTCCGGCATCGCCGGTCCCTGCCTTGCATTTTGGTTACACAGATTTCAACCTTCCTCACAAATCACGATTCTAGAGCGCAGTCCTGAGCTACGATTAGGCGGCCAAGCCATCGACCTACGATCAGCTGCAGTGCCGATTGTAGAGCGCATGGGACTGTTAGGTAAAGTCAGAGAGAAAACAACGACGGAGGTGGGTATGGAATTCGTGTATGCGGACGGTAAGACGAAAGCTACCTTCCCGGCGAGTGGGAATGCGGAACAGCAGAGCAGTAATTGGCATCCATCAAATCTTGTTATGAAAACACTGATTGCGAGCAGTGACATCAGAGTTTGAGATTCTGAGAGGTGACATGGCCAAGCTACTGTACGACGAGACAAAACATCTTGAGAGCGTCAAGTATGTCTTCGATGAGATGATCATCGCCGTAGAAGAGAAGGATAGCGGCAAAATAGAAGTCACCTTTCAAAACTCTCTTCCTAGACTGGAATTCGATCTCGTCGTCGGCGCCGATGGCATGATGTCTCGCACAAGAAGACTTGTCTTTGGCCACGGCCCCAAGAACGACGACTACCTATACCGTCTGGGACAATACTCCGCACTTTTCACTATGCAACGAACAGAAGAAGATACTAAGTTTGCGCAATGGTACAACGCACCAAAGGGTCGGCTGGTTCTCCTTCGCCCTGATCAATACGGCACCACACGGGCATATATCTCCGTGACGGACGGCAATCTTTCGCGTTTCGACGAGATTGACAGGCTATTACAGGAAGGTACCCGAGAACAACAGCAAGCTTGGTTTGAGAGAGAGTTTCAGGGCGCCGGCTGGCAAACGGATAGAGTAATGAGGGGAATGAAGGAGGCTGATGATTACTACATACAGCAAATTGCGCAGGTGAGGATGGATACTTGGGTTAAGGGTCATGTTGCGTTGGTAGGCGATGCCGCGTATTGCCCTAGTCCGATATCTGGCGTGGTAAGCCATCAAATCCACTCCCCCCTGTTACCTCCTCACACATCCTAACACATTATCCAGGGCACTGGTGCCGCCATTGTGGGCGCCTACGTTCTCGCCGGCGAAATCTCTAAGTCACCTACTGACATCCCATACGCACTCTCCCAGTACGAGAAAGTCGCGAGACCGTTCGTGGATAAAGTGCAAAAGTTGGTCCCTGGAACTCCCCAGATTGCCAATCCACAAACAGAATGGGGTATCAAACTATTCAATACGGTAGCGGGCGTTCTGTCACACCCATTTGCGAAACGATTTGGCAGTATCGTATACAGTTGGATACCAGCGATGGGCCCTACTACAATCTGGAGTCCACCGGAATACGGAAGGGCTGAGACATAAAGGGGCGTTAGTATGGTTATAGTCAATAGTTGTTGGGGATCGAGGGAAGTAGTGGTAGCATATCAGGTAGTAGGAATGGAGAATCTTGTGCTATTGATGAGGTTGAGATGTGATAGACTGGAAGATTGCGGTTGATAAGCGCTTCACGTGCACTACCACGACTCCACATACGTGCCGTCTGCGCTGATCCTACACGCCCCTCCTTCCTTCAGAATTGTTGTCTCAATATCCATTCCACACCAGCTTTAAACCCGCCCAGCGCTTGCTGTACAACGGAATGCGTGGGAAGGAAATCTGGGCCTCCGTGAGGGATCCCAGCGAAAACGTCGAGCTTGGTGGGCACACCATCCTCCCGTAAAATATGCTCGTAGATCAGTGATACATCTCGCAATGCGTCCATGCTGCGAAATTGTTAAATTGTGACTTCGCCCAAAAAATGTGGAGTTCTTACCCCATAACCTGAAGATAGGTCGGCGGTTGGTTCTTGTGGCTCGACCAAAGTAGCGGGCTGGCCAACGGTGACTTAGGGTCGGGCTTGTATTTGTCTTTCTGCTTGTGAGCTACAAATTTATACAGACTACGAAAGAACTTACCATTGAACCAGTCCATACCGCGCCGGTCTAGGATCAAACCATCTTTATGTTCCTCCCAGCTCGAATCATGCTTCTTGTATACCTCGGGGAGAGCATCATGATGGCACAGATAGGGAGATGCGAGGACAACCCCAGTAACATGAGGAGACAGGTTCGCGTCTACAGCTTCGTGGGCTGCTACAGTCGCTACGGTCGAACCGGCAGACGTGCCTCCCAAGATGAAACCTTTAGAAGGATCTGCGCTCACGGTCGATGCGTTCTCGGCGCACTAAACATCGATCAGCCTTGCTTTCCTTGTCAGCATTAGAATACCCACCCATTTCACCGCATCCCAGCCATCATGCATCGCCGTGGGAAATACATGCTCTGGAGCTACCCGATAACCAACGCTCACAACAGTGAAGCCAAGCTCTTTCACCAATAGATATGCCCAACCCTCCCCATACTCTGGCGTCCCAAATACCCATCCTCCTCCGTGGAAGAACATGAATAATGGCCCCGGCTCTGTAGATTCAGGATGGTACACAATGGCTCGAAGGGTCTGTCCGTCACGCGTGGGAATCTGGATTTCTGCCTTGTGAAGGCCCGTCCAATCTGGAAGCTTGATGATGCCGGATGCAATCAATTGGCCAAACTGCTCAAAGATGGATTGGCGCAGGTCTGCTGCATCTTTATAGTCTGCGAAAGACTTCATTGGAGGAAGGTGGGGAAGTAGCTTGAATTTGTAAGCTAAGCAGTATGGTGGGAGAGGTGTGCTCTTCATACCGCCTCAAGTTCTGGATCGATCCTGCTGAACTCTTTCCATTTTGAAGAATCTATTGCCATTGTTGAAGAATTAAATGTAAGTGATTAGTTTTTTGGATAGAACTTCTTTGCTATAATTTAGACTTAAGTCTCAGATGCAGAGCACTCCCTTTTCGTGTTTTATATAGGAGTTATAGCTTCATATACCGCAGTGGCCACGGACGAATAGCTACGGCCAGCAGTAAGCTTGGTACGCCTAAGTTCGACTCATGAAAGCACAGAACCTATTTCGTCATATTAGGATGCCGTGCGTCGAAGTGTATCAACAAAGTCTTAGCAAAAAGGCCGAATGCAGTCAAGCTTACTTGGCAGTGACTGACTGCAGTATGGCTACGGTCTGTCAGCTTACATTATACAACGCCCCGAAGGAAATTGAACGTGGTGATTTGATGATATTCAGGCTACTATGGCGTTAAGTGTGCCCCGCTTAGGGCCGCAGATGGATAAAAGAACCCATGGGATTTAGCGCAACCGACCAGATTCAGTGCATGTTGCGACTTTTGCGCATGGGAAATTGTTAGCAGCAAGAGAAAGACTTAAATGTGCCTACGCACGCAAGCAAGTTGGAGTTGACTCATGGTTACAACTTGCATTTGTATGCTATCTGACTATATCCAGTGGGCATACATAATATTGAGTCGAAAGGGGCACCGCTGAGGTAAAAGTAGTTCGACTAGAGCGTCGTTACCTCCAGGTTGCGGATCGAGTACGTAGTGTCTATATCGCAATTAGATTTAAGCTCTCATTCAAAATGCCATGAATACTCACTCTTGGAGGGCCCCGGCGTGCCACTACTTCCTTCCATCTGCAGGTTGATCACTCTAAACCCACTCATTAGCACGGTTTTCTTCAACCCTAATACTCAACAAGATGCACGCTTACAGATACAACGCCTTCCCCACATAATCCCTTCCATAATGCGTCGTAACTTCCACACCATTTAACCAATACTTGACCTGCACCACACCTCCGCCGTTGTCTTTTAACTGACACTTAACATCATGCCAGGCCTCTGGGTTTGGATACGGAACATCTCTTGCCTGTACTGACGAAGACGTGTTGAAAGTGTTGAAGCTTATCTTCCCACTGCCTTTCCATTCCGCCATGTCGACTTCTGGCGGCCAGCCCTGGACGGCTGTGAGCCAGAAGGCCGGCCACGTGCCTTTTGCAGTGGTGGCTTGGAATGAAGCGCTAAAGACGAGACCGCCGTTTTGTGGGACAGTGAAGCGCTGTTTTGCACCCACTGCTCCACTGAGATAGTTGATGGGAATTTGCTTTCCTGCATGTGTTGCGGGTGGTTGCCCTTTGACTGGTTGGGCAGTGATGGTTAGGACGCCGGGACTAGAGATTGCGACATGTGCTTTGTCCATGCGTGCGCCGCCTGGGGTGACAAGGTGCTTAGCAGTGACAAGGTGAGGTTAGAAGTGGGAGATGTACCATTGTGTGTTGTACCGCCCCATGGGTAGTTGTAGTTGAAGAGTTGCTCGAAATTCGCAGTATTGTCGAAGACGGTTTTGGGGATTAGTGTTGTTGCGCGCTTGTGGTGAGGAGATGCGGAGGCTGTAGTCAGCAACAGAGCTGCACTAAGTGGAAGAAGGTGCATAGTATACAATGTAGTCCTCGAGACAGGGCTTAAGGGGAAGGAAACAAAGACTATAATAAGGTATACGCCCATTCATATAGAAATTATTTCAAGAAACATCCTTCGTCGTTCTTTAGGTCCTCTCATTTCGGCGCCGATTTCCGTAAAAAATAATTCCGCCGTTCTCCTGTTCGTAAGTTAGTGCGCGTTGCTTGCTCGGATGTGTTTGGAAGGATGAAACCTACGCTGTGGTAACGGTCGTTTCGCGTATAGTAAAATATGGGGAACCCTGTCGTGAAGTGCCGAACAAAAATGTCCATGTGAGTGCCGATTGGTGGAGCATGCAATATCTCCTAATATACTCTCCGCAACATATCGTACTTTTGCGTGGAATTAGCCATTCGGCCGGCAGAAAGCTGAATGTAGGTACTAAAATGTAACCATAAATACACTGGAATGGCTGAGCTGTGGTCGCGTTAATCGTTCAGCAAATGGGTTACTAAGGTTCATCGTTGCTGTAAACGAAGCACAGTTACTACCAACATCTTCAACTAGCTCTGGTTCTGTTCTAAATGAGCCTCAAGGCTCCGAAATAATCTACGCAAGGTAAGATGTAGTGTAAAACGGTTGGAGCGCAATGATAGCTATGCGCGAAAAAGACTCGCTGCAGGTTGCGTTGGGGCCTTCGCGATTTTGTCTTTCCACCATTGAGCAGAGTTTCGCGCCTACGGAGGAATCGCGTGATATTAGCCTCGTTCAATTAAATGTTTCTAAGCCTAACACTAAGCGCTCTAGCGTTTTGTACCAGACATGTTATAGAGTAGGAAAGTCTAAGAAGTCGTAAGGTGCAGAGTGACCTTTAGCCGGGAGTCGGGGGTCGCTTAATGCAGTTAGCCGTAATCTTGGTCTCTGCTCACCTGCGTTATCGTTAACATGATCAACAATCATGCCTCAGAACAAACCCCGTCTCCAGCTCGCTCTCTACGCGCGGCCAAAACACCCCGGCACGTACCACTACGCACTATTCATTTCTCCCAAAGGCACCAAGCAACAGCCTGCTGATTCAGCGACAAAACATCATGTTAAGAACACGCTCCAAAACACCGCCGGCGAAGTCACGCAGCCCTGGCGCTACGAACGCCTTGCTATCTCAGATGTCCAGCTAGAACACCGCCTCCTAGTTCGTATCAATATAGCTAAAGTTATCTCCCCGCATGCGCTCGAGAGAATCATTGAAGCAGTGCCGGTTTACCAGATTGATGACCCAAATCAAATCGAAGCACGATCGTTCACCTGTCTGACATGGGTTCAGGCTACATTGGAGGCGTTGAGGAGCCAAGATGTGGTTACAGGGCTGGGAGAGTGGGTGAATATTCAGAAGGCGGCGCTGGAATATGTCGAGAGGAAGATGGAGGTGGGGAGATGGAAGGCAGATTGGAAGGGAGAGCAGAGGGTGCCAATGTTGGATTTGCGCAGTGGGAGAGAGATTGTTGGTTAGGAGTTTGGGAAAGTCATCCCTAGACTATGAAACGATTAAGTGTAGCCGTCATATCACGACTTTGGCTTCGAGTCTAGATTTTTTTCACATTGGGTCGCTGCAGGGCAAGCTGAAGCAACCGACGAAGCCTTTGTACAAGGCCATAGTGTCACCGCAGAAGCTGTACGTTATTCCGGCGGCTGCACTACATCTGACATCTCATTAGAACGGGCGCATGGCACAGGCGAACCTATCATATTCGCTCCGAGACAAAAACAGACCAACTTGCCGAAGCTACTCGAGGATAATTGTTTCCCAAATGTTCTTATTTTCGGCCACCTCTTGTCGCGACTTGTTACCCACGTAGGCCGCAGCAACAACCGTGAAGGAATTTCCACTACACCGAAGAATCATTGGATCATCGACGCCGTCGACGATAGCGACGACATCGAACAACTGCACCGGTCCACCAGTGCTACCTGTCAGCCACGTATCCGTGGTAAAGAACGTCAAGCCGGACGTGAAAGTGCCAGCTCTCTTAAACGCGTTGCTCCCGATTATTTCTCTCAGCGTCCCCGGTATGCAAGTGCAAGCATGCGAAGCAGTCCCTACGGCTATAGCTATCGCCATGTAGCGTAGTCTTGTTCGCACGAGAAGTCTAATGGTGAGAAAAACCAGGCTAACTAACTGCACAATCCGACTTAGAAAACTTAAAATTTTGTCCTCAAGCAGGCTTGCCACGAAACATACTCCTTGAGCAATGAGACCGACTTGTATGACTATCTCGAACCAGTCGTTCGATGCGAGGACTGCCTTGCCATACATTGTGCTGTAGATCGGGACTCGGAATGTCCATAACAGACATGTACCGCTAATTAACACGGCTGCTGAGTTCCGACGGAACAGCCAGTATGCGTATGATCGTCTAGGGAGGAGGGAACTCGCATTGCAGTCGTAAACAAATAGTGTTAAGAGGGTGATAGAGAAATCGGTCCGGTAGGAAGCAGCCAGCGATTCCGGATTTTTACACGTTAGCGCTGATGGACTCAATGCGCAAACGCCGTGCATTATGAGCGGCCAGAGGCACCAGACCAGGATTCCAGATCTTACGTAGTTGACCATCTTAGAAGTGCTGGATTCTCGATAGATCGACCGAAGAGAGAGCAGGATCTGGGCGATCGTCGAGTTGAGAATGAAGTTGCGAACACTTTCGATTAGTGCAGCGACAACAGCTTCGGGTACGGGTTTGAATATGGGATCGCTCGAGACGCTCTGGCCACTGTTCAAAGCAGTCCACTGCCTACGATACGCGTAGAAGTTGATGGTTGATGCTAAGAGATCCCATAGCACACCAAAGGAGTCCACGATGCCTGTGGACCTTACGGTTCCGATCACCTTTACCTGGACCTGCAGCTGGTTTGGAATAGTTGTTTGTAGGCGACGTGACCGTAGTAATCTTGGTGCATGTTGCGGGTCCAGTAGCGCCGTTCTTTGTCGCTTTTCAACTCCGTATTTTGTCAGCGGGGGCATATACCATAGCTGTCTCGTGGAGTATGACCGAACTAGCGCGATGTCCGAGTCGTCCAAGTCGCCAGGAGTCCATTGCGTCCAGTCTGGTATAAATGAAGGTAGCCCTTTCCTCCATGCGGGAGTGTTGTCCGTAATGCTACCAGAAAAGAGAGGTCGAATCTTTGGGCCTATACCCACAATCATGTTCCCTAATGTGTCATAAGGATCGAACTGAGTGGCCCAGAAGTCGTCGTGTGTGAGGTATCGTTCATGTGATCGTGCGGACTTGAGGATGCTAAGGTCACGGTCCTTTGCAAAGCATAGCATGAATACTAAGAAGAAGGCCTGCTTGTCACTTAGATGTGCGTATTGTGTGACGTCAATATCCCCAGAGCCTTTGATAATCCCAAGCTCTTTGAAAACACCATAGAGCGCAAAGAACTTGTCCTTTGCCACACTGCAAGATTTGAACCGCGTCGTCCGCATCACACTGGTGAGCGAAAAAGTAGACAAGTCCGTGATGAGTGGCCGCCCAAACCTGCGAATCCCCGTCTTCATCTTTTCTTTCCGTTTCAGTGCTAACGCATCGCTGATGTAGAACTGCAAGGCAACAGCCTGATCAAGATCCAATGATCCAGCAAGAAAGCCGATATCGGTAAGAACCTGCCAGCCAACGCGGACATGATCAAACGGAATCGATGAGCCTCCACAGAGTAAGGTAACCTTTCCAGGAAGTGGTAGGGTGACCTCTTGCACAGGCCACAGTCTTTGGAACCAGGACCTATGGAAGAAGTCGCGAAACTCATATGTAAATGCAATCCACTGTCGAGTCTTCTCATGTGCCACGTTCTTTGCTGCTATCCAGGCTCGAGACTCGTCCGCTTCGCTTCCACAGGCCCGGCCAACCTCAAGGAAGAAGTCGCAAATCTCCTGGCTGTGCGCCTTGTGGTCTCCTAGCCAGGCAATTACATGTGTTGCCCTCTTGTATACTTCTCCCATGATTTGAATCTGCTGCGATCGCTCACCCAGAGCGTCTGTGTCGCTTCCTTGATCGATGCAGATAGCGTCCACCCACACATTGACGGCGTGCCATTTGCCGTATATTTCGCGTATTTGGCGCAGAGCTCGAGCACAGTTCGGTGTGACTGTCAAACAGCTTCCATTGCAAATGACCGACACTTTTCCCTCATGGGAGTCCCAAGCGTAGGATAAGGCGATGTAGTTTGGGGAATCATCTAGTGTTGCCTCTAAAATCTCGCATCGTATAGGGGATTCGAGTAAAGGTGATGGCATGATTCGTGCTATGCGAATGGAATTGACCTCGGCCAGGCGTTTGTATGAGAAGTCCTTTAGAGCGCTACCTTTTGTACCTGAGTCGAGGCTGGGATTCATAGAAGGTGTCGAGTCTAATGAACGTACCCTACTTTGTTCATTTATCGCATCCAGGTGCAGTAGGCAGAGGTGAGAGCATGCGCGCACATCAAACACCGGTAGGTATCCAGTATACCAGGCTACTGTAGATGCGATCTGATATACGATCGGATATATCCACCAAGTCTTCTTGGATTTGAAACCTGCTAGGCCAAGATAGTGGGGAAAAGTTGCAAATAGTGTCTGGTCGAGATATAACAACAAAAAGCCTGAAAGTAAGCCTAGTGATAGTCCCTCTACACGCGATCGTCCCTCTACCTTAATCGCAGCGAAGCGTTGCAGTTCGAAAGCCACGAAGATGTAGCCTGACAAGGCAATCCCGCAAAAGATCGCAGCAATGCCACCTTGCACGCCGAGCGAGCTAAGTCTCCAGAAACGGTCCATGGTGTCGGCCTTCACCCGTGTACGTGCGTTATGGGTATTTCAGTCGTTTTAGAAGCATCGGGAGGAAGGAGTTGGTATCGGTAGGAGGATATCGTATGTTTATGAAGGCGCGCACAGCCACCTCCAAAAGCCGCGCTAGGCAACCACAGCGCTTCATCGCAAAGATGATCCAATCAATAGCACTTACAAGCCTGCCTACTGATCGTGGCTTTTAAGCAGGCCAACGCTCGCGTCGGGTGTTATTTCCAAGTTAAGAGGGGATTCGGATGATAACACTGTTGGCATTTTGTTCAGCTGCTGTAGGCAGCAGCATTGCTTTTACGTAGCTGGAATTAGTTCTATAGTTCTGTTTTATATCGCGGTACCGTACCTAGCGTTTAGTGTATTATATAACTGTTTTTGCGATTTGTAGAGAGCTCTCCAAGCTTTATAACTTTCTATTTTCTCCCTACTCCTGGCATACCCCCGATTCGGTTAATCAATCTTGGCATATTACTTCTGCAAAATCTTACTCAGCTCAACCTCAGCTCAATCTTGCTAAGGCTCGCTTTTGATTATGACTATGTTGCCCTAGGCTACTCACGACTGCGTCATAACCTTTTTTCAACTCCAAGACCCCGAAAGCGACTAGTCAGTAGCAATAAACAACGGCAGATGACGCAGCTGAGCAGCCCAGTCCCAGAACTCAGACAGGGGGTCCCGAGCAAACTCTGCTCTCTGCTTGGTGTTCCGTCTTTTAACTTTGGTCCGCTCAACTTTTAAGGCGCGATCGTCCTCCAGGAGATAAAGCTTGGTTATGGAGCCAAAGTGCCGAACGCGGCTGTACCCGGGTATATATTAGTTAATCAATAGGACCGTACTAACAACTATGGTATCGCGGGGCTAGGGAAGTTTGAACTACTCATGTTTGAGCCGATCATATGCGATACATTGCTATGGCTAGGTAGTGGACCACGTGCTATTTTTTCACAAGCAGTGAATGGTCACTGCTATATTGATGGTATAACACAGTATCAGCAGTGGGCAGGTTGACTCGGCGGAGCGCTTCGGCAGTTGCAATAATATCGGCATGTAACGACAATACTCAAACCATGACCCATACGCTTATCAACAGCATCACTCCCGAGGTCGCAGTCGCACATCACGATTCATTCTCTTCTCAACACTCACGAGATACGGACTACGACCGACAATCCACGATGCTTTGGGTTACTTTTCTCGCCCTGACTGCACTCACCCAGGCATCTCCTTTTTCGGATGCACCAGCATGGCTCAGCAGCAAATTGAGCAAGAGACAAGGTGGCACGACCATGTTGAGATTTGGATGCGCGCAAGTCGTCATTGACCGCCTGGATCCCCTGGTCAACCCCGGCCAGGCCCCTTCTCCCCATCAGCATCAGATCGTCGGAGGAAATGGCTTCAACATGACAATGACTACTGGCGATGTTTCCAAGACTGCTTCCTGCACGACATGCGCCTTCTCCAAAGACCTCAGCAACTACTGGACAGCCAACATGTACTTCAAGTCGCCAAAGAACGGCACGTATAAGCGCGTGAGGCAACTAGGTGCCGCGTAAGGACCTCTGATTGTATTGCGTCCAAGATGAAGCTAATCTTTGCTGCCACAGACGACAATTCAATGATGACTTCAGCACCAAGATTGACGGCGGTATTCTTTTATACTACGTCTCAGCTCAGCCGGGCAAGGTCAAAGCCTTTCCTCAAGTACGTACCTCTAGCAAAAGTTTCGTTGTCATGGCTGACCAGGCACCCCAGGGTTTCCGTATGCTAGTGGGTGATCCGACGAACCGTAAAGTCGATCCCAAGATGAAGATGCAAAATTGTTTCCGCTGCTACACTGGACCCAACTTTGGGGGAGACAATGCCGCGCCATGCGCAGATAACAAGTTCGTCCCATCATAAATAGTGCAAGTTTCTCAACCCCCACAGCTAATCATGAGCGCAGACTCGACACTCAACAGATGCCTACTGCCCCTTGCAAGGGTGGCATTCGTTCGAACATTATTTTCCCCACGTATGCATCCACAAATCTTCTTTTCAAAAACCGTTCATCTAATTGATACTCCAGCTGCTGGGATGGTAAAAACCTCGACAGCCCAGACCACAAATCACACGTTGCCTATCCCACGTCCGGTCCTGCCAACTTTCTCAGCCTGGGTGGTTCTTGCCCCTCGACGCATCCTGTTCGCATCCCACAGCTCATGTACGAAGTCGTATGGGACACGACACCATTCAACAGCGAGTGGAAGTCTGGCGACCCTAACCCGTTCTACCTCAGCTACGGCGACAACACAGGACTCGGCCAGCATGCCGATTATGTGTTTGGATGGCAAGACGACGAGCTGCAGAAGGGTATGGATGCTACTAACTGCATGGGCGCCAAGTGCAAGGACTTGAAAAACCAGGTCATTGACACTGCTAAGCAATGTAATGTCAAGCGGGTTGTCCAAGACGATCTTGACAAATGTGAGTTGGATATCTAAATGGAGATGCAATTTTACTAACAGTATACAGGGCACGGGGATATTCCTCTGGTCTAGAAGCGCCCATGTATATGTACTAGACCTTGTGATATTCTACTTGGTTTTCCGAGAAGCAATAGTAGTTGGTAAATTGCGTAGAACAGATAGGCTTGGTGGTACCTTTTATAACTTAAATACACGCTCGTTTATATTAGATCTTTAACTATCAAAAACATTCTACTGTGCCTATGACTTCAGCAATGCAAGAGATACCAAACCCCGTCTCAAGCCACAACGCGAAAACTTCCCTTTCCACCCTACCCATTCAGTGAGGCTGCCAAAACTGTGACTATGGCCTTTACGTTGTAGAATCACGTCTTAACGATAAGTTTCGAACTGTAACTCGGTTGGCTTGAAGTAATTGTTGAGTGAGGGTTAGGAGTGTTTGTATCATGTTCTGCATTGCATGGCATAGCCTTACCGACAGCTACCTCTCTTAAAGGCCCGCCTTCATCTGCGTGCAAGTAGTAGCGCGACTGCGACACACTGTCCCGGTCTACATACTAATGAAGATATGATGATCTTCGACTCTGGAGTAGAGTAGGAAGCCTTTGAACTTGCGTCTAAAAGCATGCATGTTCAGCATAATCACTTTCCACTCCAGTACATGCAGATGTGTAAATGCTCCATTGGAAAAAATCCCTATGCTATATCAACCCCCATGCACCCTGGTATCCTATCCCTCGCATTGAATTGCATGTAATCCCAATCAAATCAAACCCCGAAAAAGGACCCCGCTAACGCTATCAAACAAGGAGACCTCTCAGGCCCATCCATGCTAAAACGAACTTGAAAACCAAATGTCCAAGAGAAAGAAAGGACGAGTTAAACCATGAACCTCCCTGGAACGCTCATCTAGCACGTGAAAAAGGGAAGAGAAGAGAAGAGAAGCCATCTTACACATGAACCAATAGCGAATGAATAAATGATGATGAGTACAACCGAACCCAAACGAAGATAGATAAATAAACAAGCCGCTTGAACAATAGGAGAGAGAGAGATGAATAAAACTCAAGAGTTAAAAATAGTTAACTGGCAATAACAGTCATCGTACAGAGACGACTTGATATGAAAACATGAAGATAAAAGAAGGATAACGCCATGATATTCAAACTTTTGGTCCTTGCGAACCCCTTTCTTGTTGTTGTTGTTGTTGTTGTGGCTGCGAGTGATAATAGTCGCTGGGATGCGAGTAGGAAATGGAGTGGGAGAGGTAATCGGAGAGGTCGTCAGATGCTCCTTCTGCCTCATCTCCTAGATCAGAGCTCGAGTAGGCGTGGAGATCGGAGGAGTGACGCTGTGGTGAATAATGATTGTAGGGGTCGTAATTGGGTATTGTACGTTCACGGGATGAACCAGTTACGGGCGTCGCGATAGGCGGACTCGACTTTGTGGACTCAACAGCTTCGGGGACCCCGTGATGGAAGTCGGGGATGAGGATGCTGGGCGGTCGGATGGTGGTGTTGGACACTTTCTCTTCCAGCGGTTTGTCTCGGACGTCAGCGACACGTAGAACGTTGTTTGGCCCTACGCTACGAGCTGTCGGTGGTGCCATTGAGGAGCTTGCTGCGTTTGTTGGCTTCGACGGTGATGCTGGGACCGCGAAAATGGGAATCGGCTCTGGCTTGATCTCAAGCTCAGTTCTGCGAACGCCCTCACCGAATAAGGCGCCATCCTTTTCATCCCACAGCCTCTCATGGATCCTGTCTTCCTCTTTCGACATCCTTAAATCCCTGATACTCTCATCCAGACTGTACCGTATACGTTCGCTTTCAAACGAGACCCGCTCTGGTTCAGCAAAGCCCGAATCTTGATGTAACGGCATATGATATCCTGCCGCCATCGAAAAGCCCGTTGAGACCCTTCCCGTGCGCTCTGGGCGGTCGAAGATAGAAAATCCGGTACCAACGCGAGATGGTGCGGCCGAGCTGCTCACAGAGGAGTCCATTGCGAGCTCGTGCTCGAGGCTGGCGAGTGTCGTGGAATCTGGAATCTGGGAATGGCGGCTATGGTATTGTGTGTCATCGGGTGTTGTATGCTGAGTCTGTGATTGTGCCAGCTGGTGTACGCGATCGCTAAAGGAGGCTTTGCTCCCAACGCCTCGATGATGCTTTCTGTCGTGCGGTTCTTGCAGACAGTTTTGTGTGGCCGGAGGTTCTATTGGTTGGAGTTCAGCAACTTGTGACAAGCTTAGCGGCGTATCGTCAGACGCTTTGCCTGCCAGAAACGAGTTCTCTAGTTCGCCTGGTGGGGTTGTGATGCAGACCTCTTTCGGTTCTTGGGTCGCAAAATCATGAACATCGATATCGACACAGCCTCGCTGGACTAGTTTCGTGTCGCCGTCTATGTACACCTGCTCCCATCTTGTCTCTCTGCTAGCTGGAAGGCTAGCCAGCTCATTCTCTAGCTCTGAATCATCGAGCGACATGACGGATCGATGACCGGGGTATGGCGAGCAGTCACTCCTTCTGTTCGTACTGCTGCTTCGCAAGGGACTGGGAGATCGCCCACGCTCAATATTGTTGTTCGGCATGATGTAGGAGCCGGATGACGCGGGGTATTCTGTGGGAGGCACATTGATGTTCTCAAACGATGACTTGTTCCTTGAATGCCGGCGATGATTGGAAATGTCCTCCAGGTCTACAGCGGTAGCCGGATCGATATACTCTTTGGCGCTCCTATGCGTTGAGACGCTTTCTCTTGATGCAACCTTGATCTTGGGCTCCTGTTGTTCCGGAAACCTCTTCAAAAGAGCGCTTGCGGCTGGTCGTCCACGAGGAGTTTCGTTCAAGCAGGCCCGGATGATGTCCCTGAAATATTCTGGAACATCCGTGTGTTGTCGATTGAGTGTCCGCGCCAGTGGTCGTTCCTGGCGCTCTGGCTCATCCTGTTGCTCCGCTAACGCCCATAGCACCATGCCTAGCTGGTAGAGATCTGACTTGACGCCAATGTAGATCGAGATGCGCTGCCCGCTCTCAATGAGCTTTGCAAGTTCAGGCGGCTCCCAACCAACAGGACACCCGCGGCGGTTGATGTCGATAATCTTCGCGTTATCATCGTGGTCGATGACAATATTTGACAATGTAAAGTCGCCCTGTACATAGCCGGCTTCGTGGATCTCGGAAAGACCCTCAATGATTTGACGCCCCCATCGCTCACGGCGTTCCCAATGCAGTTGGCCCGTTGGCTTGTAATCGTAGATCATATCCACAAGTGCGCCTTGCTCGGCGTAGCTGATCAGCAGCCCCTTGATGAGCTCATTCTGCTCGTCAACAATGATACCTTCGAACTTGATGACGGACTTGGAGTCTTGTAGGCTGGATAAGGCGTTGATCTCATAAAGGAACTCCTCGACAGCGTCTGGACCTGGAATCTCCTTCTTGATGTATACTTTGTTGTGAATGGAGACTTTGTAAACGAATCCAGAGATGTGCGAGTCGAAGGAGACGGCATTCTCTCTGAAGCGCTTGCACTCGAGGTGGTCGATAGCGGACGTGGGAGGGTATGGGATGATCTCATTGACGTCTTCGGTGACGTGAACATGTAGACGACCATCTGTGGTTTCGAGCTTGAGGTTCGTCACGGTGTCGTAGAACTGAATATCGGGCAGGGAGTCACGAATGGCTTCGTAGATGCGGGAGCTCTTGTCTCTCTGGTAATGTAGAGTCTTCAGGTCCGATTCGAGTGACTCGGGCTCTAGTTGGCGGTAATCGCAGGACACCGTCACGCGTCTCCACTTATTGGGCTCTTCGGCGTAGGTGATGAAGAACTTCTCACGGTCCGACATGTCTCGGAAGTGCATACTGAGGTTCAGAATCCACTTGGCCTCCAGCTCTTCCTGCAGCCGTGTATCATCGACGTCAGATGCGGACCGATGCGAGCCATGCTCCGAGTACGCATCAGCTAGCTGCACGGGCGGCGGTTCGTCTACAGCCATGTAGTCTTGGCTAGGCGCGTCGTCGTAGTCGACCTGTCTTGCGCCTGCGGGAATGTTCGAGTCTGGCCCTCCGCCTATTGTGGGCTCTGGCCGTGGCTTCTTTTGGCTGTCGCTCTCGCGCGGACTCAGGAGGTCGGGCGCAGACATGGAGGGTACGGACATGGGAGGTGGGGAGAGGGATCGCTTTGTGACTGTCGACTCCTTGCGATCGGCCGACGCAGCTCGTTTCGGCTCGGCTTCAAGAGGCACCTCCAATAGCTTGTCCCTCTTCTCGCTGTTCATCCTCTTGAACGTCAAGGGCCTAGGCAAGCCAGGGACCACCCTCCTACTGCCTCTCCTATGCAGCAGGCCTGCTGTTCGTGAAACAGGCTCTCCGCTCGAGTGTGGCCTCGCATTCTCCTTGTTCTGCTCATTGTTGGGGGCTCCAGCTTTTTCAGGTTGTTGTTGTGGTGGTGGTGGTGGCGGGGGTTCCTCCTCTTCCCTCTTCAGCCATGAGCCAATCTTCTGCAGACTCAGGCGGTCCCACATGCTGCGATGCTCTCCGACTTCTGTCCGCGCTCTCTGCCTACTTCTACTCCGACTTGACTCGCCATTGCTGGCAGACAGCAAGTGAGGCATCTTCTGCTATCGACTGTGGCACACCCACCGCTCTGCGCGGCGCGGCGTGGACTCTCAGCTCACACCCAGCCTTCTTATCCACCGTCTACCAGGCTGGGAGATGTAGCCCAAGTAGACTGCGGGGAACTTCCTGGTCGGCGTGCTCAGGCTCGTATCGGAAGGACTCGTGCTATCGTGTTGGCGCCGGCTGCATGCTGTGTCGTGTTGGGGTGTAACGGTGGCTTGCTGCATCCATGGACCTAGTTGATGTCTCGTGTCTCGACGCTGCGAAAGCGCATTTCCCCTCTCCACGTTGTTGAATTTTTCTCTTCAGTTGCTCAGAGCCTGATGCAGAGTCTGCGACTCAAGGAGATGAGGCTTTTTTATTATTGACGCCCAAGCGACATGACCGTGGATCGCGTTGGCGCCTAACCTCGAAACAGGCACCGGGCGAGGGCAGCAACGTGAGGCTCAACAGGGCGCAGAGGAGCAGGCTGACGGGGGGACTTTGGGGCTGGCGACGAGGACGAGAGGGCGAAGATGAGTCGGTCGAATGCGAGGTGAGATGGGATGCAGTATAGTGCAGTAGATGCGCAATAGCCAAAGAGGCTGGGTTGAGTCGCCAATCAGCGCGAAGCAACCACGACGCGGCTTACCAGCACCTGTGTATCCCGAGTCCCTGTCCAATGCAATGAAACAAATCAAATGGGAGCCGTCGACCGGGTGACACGAGTGGGAATAATCGGTAGTGGTCTCACAGAAGCGGGGAAGGAAAAGGAAAAAGGGAAAAGGAGAGAGAGGGACAAATTCAGCGTGCAGCAGCTCCATGTTTTGGTGCTTGCTGTGTGTGTGTGTGTGTGTGGTGCGTGGCGGTCAAGCACCCAGCACAGCATTGGACAGACGCCCTCTCACCCTGCAGCCTCCCAGCGCAAAAGACCAAAAGCAAACCGAGCCCGAGTCGAATCAGAAGCAAGATGCGCCTGGGTGTGGCAGCCACTCTGCCAACCTGCGGTGAGCGTCACACAATCTCACCCATGAAGATTCACCCTCAATGCTCCATTTGGTCCAACATGTCCAGCAGGAAAACACCTCTCCTCCCCAAGGCTGCCCCCTCGAATTCATCTCGAACATCGGCCTCTCCCCCTCTTTGGGCCTGCCTACATGCATTAGGCCAGACGTAGCGAGACTAATTCCTTCCGAGCTTTCTCACGGAACAGTACTTGCGGCCTTTAGTACCCTACCCGTACCATAGTGTAGTAGTGCCCACGAGCCCCACCGCTGCGTCGCACTAGGGGCCTTCTCGGGACGCTTCGAGTGCAGCAGCTACTGCAAGACGACTGTCGAGGAATTAAACTCGCTAATTGACGTCTCGAGCTGCAAGTATTTCCACGCGCTGATAGATTTGGACAATTCAGTCATAGGTGGTGATTGCCTTGTCCAACAGGGCCATCTCCATGTACACAAGAAGAAGTCGTAGACACCTCACCACCCCAGACATCCTACACCGTCTCTCACCTCACTACTCACTAGCAGCTTGCCAGCCGCCAGCATCACCGCCTCAAAAGTGAAGCTCCCCATATCCACAACGCACGTCGCCAAAACAGAGAAAGAAAGAAAGCCTCGCGACAAGACTGATGCCAACAACCACAACAAACCCAGCCCTCTTCCCAATTCCAAGCTCTGATTCGCTCCCTCCTGTTCGCATTCATCACCACGGTATGCGTGCGTTGTTGCGTTGTCCAACCCCCCCTTACATTGCGGCTGGCTTGACACGTCAATGGGGGTTCATGCGCAATGCAATGAATGTCTTACTTGGTTAGCACCTGCAACAGGTCAAATGGAGCTTTCCAACCGCGCCAGCCAGCCCGTTGGAACAAGATTGATTGCTACATCCAATCCAGTCAATTCCTTCAATTCGTTGCGCCAGAAGCGTTTGTCTTGTCCTGTCTTGTCTTGTATGTCTAACAAGCCTCATTCAAGTTTTCATTAGCTAGAGCACGGCTTGAACGATGAATTGATTGATTGATGGATTGATTGATTAAATTTGCCCCGCACTGCCGCCGACCCTTTTTCCTACCCTCGAGCTTTTAATATTCAACAGTTCTATAACCCCGCCCCGCCCCGCCCCACGCCAGGTAATGTACCACTCACCCACACGCGCGAAAAGCAACGTCGGAGCGAACGGCTGAGCTAAGAAACTAAAATACCGTTATGTCCTCTTCCCTTTTCTCTTTGCTTTTCTACCGCAAACGCCACAGTGCTACAACAGCACGAAAACGTTCCGCGTAGCCGCTGTCTCGAGAGGGGGGTCCAAAGTTGCACGCGTGGGTGGTTGGATCAGGCATAGCATAGCATCTCTTCTCCTATACGTTTGTCGTAAACGATACTGACAAGAGGAGCACGCGGGATCACGGCAGAGCGGCGACCGGTTGAATTAAGTTGCGCTGAGTCGAGTTATCTGCTGTGCCGTGTCCCAACCCGCGGAATCCCAAAGTACAGTAGCTCGCTCAACCGGACCGTCCCGCCGCCGCTATAGCCGTGGCGCGGCGTGGAACGAGAAGGGATGATGCTGGATTGAACAGACGCTTGCATATATGAGTCTCAGTATTATAAGCTTTCACTTTGCTATCTACAACGACAAGAAGCTATGTGTGGGCTCTAGAGAAGAGATCTTTTACCAGCCAGTATGCCATATATCGTCACGGCCGAGTGCCGGTACTATGCAATGCCAAACGCCCAAAATGCCTTGCTTTGACTCTTTCTCTCCTTCTTTCACATATCATACACATGTCTACTCAGATGGCTTGTCACGCTCAATCGTCGTCTTCACCAGACTCTTCCTCGTCCTCCTCTTTCCGCTTCTGCTCGCGCTTTTTCCGGTCCCCTTTCTTCGGCTTTAATTCCTTGTCCCATAGCTTGTTCACGTGGTCCTTCTCCAGATTTGGAAAGACAATGTCGAAGACTTCCTTGTACCAGGATACCGGGCGCCCGTCAATGCCTTCTTTGATGTTCTAGTCGTGGTTAGCATATATTCATCGCGCAAGTCTGAGAATATACATACTTCTGGGAGTTCGAGCCAGTCACTCATATTGTCGTGCGGGAAAATGACCGTTTTCGCGCCTGCACGCCTCGCAGCTACCGTCTTCTCCCTTAATCCTCCAATCCGTAATACCTTGCCAGTTAGCGTTAGCTCGCCCGTCATGGCAATATCATCGCTGATTTTCGTGTCCAATGCCAAACTCAGCATACTCGTGGCCATGGTAATGCCGGCACTGGGTCCATCCTTGGGTGTCGCACCCTCCGGGCAATGAAGATGTATCCTCGCATGTTCGAAGAACCGGTTCTTGGGATACTCGCGTGCAAGAATGCTTTTGGCGAAAGAGTATGCTACCCCCGTTGACTCCCTCATCACGTTTTTCAAAGATCCAGTGCGCTCGAGACCAGGATGTGAAGAAGCTGACAGCGAGTTCTGGATGATCGACTCAATGTACAATGCTGAGCCGCCCATCGAGGTCCATGCAAGGCCCATGGCTACACCAGGGGGTGTCAGGTCGTAGAGTCGGTCAGAAGTAAAGACTGGCGGGCCGACATAGTCTTTTAGGTTGTCCTTTGTGATAGACACGTGCACGCTATCCGGGACCTTTAGAGCAACACGGGGCTTCTCGGTCGTCTGCTTCTCGATGTCCTGCGGAGTCTCGGTCAAATCGCTCTTGTCCTTGTCCGACTCTTTTTGCGCAGCTTTTCCTTCTTCGGTGAGCGCTTCCGCCTCTGGCAGTGCCTCTTCGCCGACGTCTTGAACAATCTTCAGCGCAGACTTGCGGTACACCTTTTCGATATGCTTCTTCAAGTTACGAACACCAGACTCGCGGCAGTACTTGTTGATAAGTTCGACAATGGCATCGCTCTCGAGGACGACGTCCGCGTCCTTCAGACCGCTCGTTTCCTTCGCGGCAGGTGACAAATACTTTTCGGCGATAGCAATCTTCTCGTCCGATACATAGCCGGACAGCCGGATCACCTCCATGCGGTCAAGCAGTGGCTGTGGGATAGTATCGTCCATGTTGGCAGTGCAAACAAACAAGACCTTGGACAGATCAACAGGGACATCCAGGTAGTGGTCTAAGAAGCTGTTGTTCTGTTCCGGGTCCAGCAATTCTAGAAGGGCGGATGCCGGATCACCGTGATTGCTATTCCGGCCGATCTTGTCCACCTCATCGATCAAAACGAGCGGGTTCTCGGTTTGACACTTCTTGAGCGCCTGAATGATGCGGCCAGGCAGCGCACCAACGTAGGTTCTGCGATGGCCCTTGATCTCTGCCACGTCGTACATGCCACCCACGCTGAAGCGGTAGTATTGACGGTTCAAGGCCCGCGCAATTGACTTTCCGATTGAGGTTTTACCTACACCCGGGGGTCCGACTAAGCAGAGAATCTTGCCTTCGACGGTGCCGCGGAGTTTGCCTACCGCGATGAACTCCAAAATCCGGTCTTTGACATCTTTCAAGCCGTGGTGATCCTCGTCCAGCACCTCGCGCGCATGCTTGATACCAAAGTTCTCGGCGCTGCGTAGACCCCAGGGTAGCTGGGTAAGCCAGTCGAGGTAGTTTCGTGTGACGTTGAACTCTGACCCATTTGGCTCGAGACCCTGTAGCTTGCTCATCTCTTCTTCGAACACCTTCCTGACTGCCTCGGGCATGGCGAGCTTGCTGGCTTTCTCGTGGAACTTCTCGATTAGCTTATCTTTGCCGTCGGATTCGATGCCAAGTTCTCGTTTGATGCCCTTCATTTGCTCCATCAACATGTACTCGCGGTGTTTCTTGGTGACGCGTGCATTCACATCGTCGGAAACCTTCTTCTGCAGCTCTGCGCTGATCAGCTCCTTCTTGAGCACCTCCAGCGCTTTGCTCAACCGCTTTTCAATGTCCATCTCCTCGAGCGCGGATTGAAGCTCATGCGACTCGGCCTGTGCTACCGCAGCTGCAAAGTCGGCAAGCTTAACGGGATCTTCGCCAACGTTCATGGTTGTGTGGACCGAGAAGGTTGATACGTGGTCGCGGAAAAGAGGGTTCAGAAGCGCGACGCCCTTGAAGGTATTTACAATCTCGTTGACGAGCACTTGGATTGTCTTATTGGTCTTGACATCGAAAGGCTCCTCAACCATGTTCTCGACATTGGCGATACTGACCTGGCGGTCTTTGAGTATGGCCGGCACCTGGTCTTCCTGCGACGCCTTTGTCTCGTCACTGAGCTCTTCGAAGCTTGCCACAACATCGCCCTTGGACTGGCTTGCGGGTGTCTCAGTCGCAATAGGGTCATCCAGCGTGCTCTCCACCACCGAAGCCTCTTTCTCTGCCTTTGGTGCCGTCAGTCCTGTCATCTTGATCCGACGGTGGGGGTAGAGGACGCAGGTCATGGCGAAGTTGTCGTCAGCTCCCACGGGGAAGGCGCTTGTGACCTGGCAGAAAGTGCCCACGTCGTAGACCTCGCTGGGGTCGTGGATAACATCCTTGTCGGCAGCGTCATCCTTGAACATGAAGGCACCGATATAAGGCTGCCCCCGCTTGACCATGTCTGCAATGGCCTGGCCGACTTCCCTGTCCTTTATTGTGATGGCCTTGTAGAAGCCGGGAAACAGCGGGCGCTTGACAAGCGGGATGGCCATGACCTGTGGATAGACGTCTGGGATGGATGGCTTGACGAGCGATCTTTCAGCCGTCTTGCGCTTCTTGCCGCCGCCATCGCCTCCTGAGCCATCTGCTCCCGCAGCGCTGCCTCGCCCAGAGCCTGTTTTGGAGGCTACGGGTTCAGACGGACTGCTCTTGCCCTCCAGCTCCTCGGCGGGCTCCTGCTCCTTGACCTTCTTGGACTCTTCCGTCTCATCCACCTTGGCTGTCTCTGGTGTTTCTGGCGGCGTCTTGGGATCCTTTTCCTTGGGTCGACTTAGCGAGGTTGAGAAGCTGCGGGATGCGCATAGTGCGGCGGGCGGTGAAGGGCACCGGTGGAAGGGTCGCGGGACGAGTGCGGCGGTACACTGTGCGGGGAGGAAACGCGATGAGGCTCGGGAGGATGCAGCAGCCCTATAAGCTCCTGGACGTGCGTGTGAAGCCTGGCGGAAGGCAGCCCGCCACGGCAGGTTCTGGCCATGAAGCATGCTGAACCGAGGGTAGGTGCGTGAAAGCGAAAAGGAGGGAATGAACCTATTCGCAAGGTTCGCACACGCGTGAAAAGAGGGCGGACTCGGGGGCGGACGACGTTGCAATTGTGGCGTAATGAAGCTGCTTAACAATAAATCTCGACATCATCACACACATATCAGTCCAAGCTCCGTCCTATGTCGCTATGGCAGAACTTCGGCAGCACGCGACCCTTCCCTCAACCACCTCTCTTCTATTGCTCCCCTCGTTTCACAGTCGACTCGACTGGACTTGAGATCCTCTCGCACAGAATGCCCACAAGGCTACACAATGTCACCCGACGACTCTGTAGTCCCTATTCATATCCACTCGCAATCGCAGGCTGACTAAGGCCAACGCCCCCCTCTGCCTGCAAGACTCACGACTATAGCTCGATGCGGGACACGACTCCAATAACAACTTTATACGCACGTATACCAGGAACTGATGCACCCTCCAGCAGCATGGTGGAGTTGAGTTCCTAAACGACCGACCGAAAGTACTCGCGGTGAGGCGGACCTCCATGGTGGGTACAAATAATTTCAATACAATAAGACGAAGCCCCTCATCCATGCAAGCAGGCAACATGCAACCATGTGAGCAGAGCTTGCAGGTTAGGACTGCTCTAGTCTTCTTCTCCTCCTTCAACCGTCGTTCAATGTTACGTAGGACGCGACCTCGTCGAAAATGATATGCCGCTTGGAAGCGCGTCGTGCCCAAGACTTCAGCAACATCTCCAAGCCGACGCCACACCACATAGCCACCACATAACAACCACCACCAAATATCCGTTTGCGATTCGGCGTTACTTATGCTCAGCCAAGGAGTGATGTCACAGTATTCTTGCGGAGCACCATCGCACGTCCTACTCAGTCTGCGGGTCTCGCCGACATTGCGGCGAGCAGAGTCTTTAATCCGGCCCTTCCGAATTTGGCATTCTACGATAGTTGTCAACGAGAGAGGAGGAGTCTTCGGTCCATCTCGTCCATATGTAGCAAGATCTGTCTAGGAGAGCAAGCCATCAACGTGCTCTGCGGACTCTGGCATTCTACAGCCAGTCGGTCCACTTCTTCTCCTGTCATCCATGGCCTGTTACACGAGGAATGATGACTTGTTGATGTAAACCTCCTGCTAGCGTCCTGGGTTCCATTGAACCCAACGGCCGGGATGCACACGCTCGCTAACGTGCGATGAGATCACTGACGTTTGCAAGGCAAATGTTTTAACAATCTCTCAGCATCTCACCTACCTTTTACACCTGCCATGCGTGATTCATCTTGCACGACTCCAGTTCGCCAATAGCCTTTGCCTTGCCATCACAGCAACATGTCCGTCCCTCTTTCGGCGAACAAAGGTAGGACCTATCAACGCGTTCAAGCCCAGGCAAACTCTTCCAGCTGCTGATCACTTTACAGAGAATCGACCACCTCCAGATGCCTGGTCCTCCGTTTCCACTGCCGCGACACCAAGTCAACCTCAACAGCGATCCGACCTGTCCTCGCCAGATCACAAGCTAGAGACACGCATGAAGGACGGCAAAGAAGTTGAGCTCCACACCTGGAACGGGCAAGATGACCCTGATAATCCGTATGCATCCCCTACTTCTTTCGACCCTCTGGCTCACCATTCAAAGATTCAATTGGTCCTTCAAGTACAAATGGATACTCACCATTACTGTCTGCTTCATATCCATCCTAACTGGTCTGCCGGCCGGTTCTTATGGCGCCGGTAACGATCCCATGTCGACTCTCTTCTCTGTCAAAAACGAACCATTTCCGAACCTTTACTGGGCCACGTGCAGTTGGAATGTTGGCGCAGCACTATTCCCGCTTGTGTTCGTGCCTCTGACTGAGAATACTGGCCGCATGCCTGGCTACTTCGTGGGTACCATACGCGCAGCTTCAAGGCCTCACTAACCGGACTCAGGCTGCTTATATCATCTTTGAACTGTTCCTTTTCGGCTCGGCTTTCGCAGACAACTTTGCAACGCTAGTTGTAACAAGATTCTTCGGCGGTGGAGCGTCTTCCGTCTCCATCAACATTGTCGGTGGCAGCATTAGCGATGTGTGGAGGGGCGACAAGGCTCGCAGTCTTCCCATGTCCCTGTTCGGATTTACTAGCGTTGCTGGAATTGCGCTCGGTCCCTTCATCGGTAGTGCTATCGTCCAGATCCGCCGCCCTAACATTGGCCTGGATGCACCCTGGCGCTGGTATGTATTCCGTCTAGAACTAAACTATGTTGCTAACCTCACTGCAGGATCTACTACATCCAAATCATTTACAACGCTGCCCTGATCCCAGTCTTCTGGTTCATTCTCCAGGAAACCCGCGGCGACGTCATTCTCAGGAAGCGCGCAAGGAAGCTCCGCAAAGAGACCGGCCGAGAAATATACGCCGAATCAGAGCTCGTGAAGACATCGATCGCCATGCAGTTGAAGCTCTCCTTCATGCGACCCACTAAGATGTTGCTCACCGAACCCGTTGTTATCTTCTTTACGCTATGGATCAGCTTCGCCTGGGGCATTCTTTTCCTGTTTTTCTCGTCTGTCGTCCAGACCTTTAGCCAGAGCTACGGCTTCGGCATCTTCCAGACTGGTCTCATCCAGCTCGCCATTACAGCCGGAGCCGCCATTGGCACATTCATTAACCCGCTGCAAGATTGGCTATATCTCCGCACCGCGTCCAAGAATACCGAACGCCCCGGCAAGCCAATCCCTGAAGGCCGACTGTACACGAGCATTCCCGGCTCATTCCTCTTCACCGTGGGCTTATTCATGTATGGGTGGAGTTCAAGACCAGAGGTGCACTGGATCGTGCCCACCATCGGCGTGTGCATCGTCGGTATTGGAATCTACTCGATCTACATGGGCGTAGTCAACTACCTCACCGACGCATACGAGAAATACGCCGCCTCCGCACTCTCCGCCGCGTCACTTGGACGCAACACTTTCGGCGCCTTCCTACCCTTTGCTTCGTTCCAGCTCTTCAAGACGCTGGGCTTTGGCTGGGCCGGCAGCTTGCTTGGCTTCATCGGCCTGATCCTGAGCATCGTCCCCATTGTACTCCTGTTCAAGGGCCGGGAAATCCGCGCCAAGAGTCCATTTATGGCGGATTCGACCTTTGATGAGGAGGAGGCGACGTATCGGCGGAATAGCGTGACGCGGCCTCCTATGTCTAGGGGTGCGAGCGTTGTGTGAGGACCGCGCGGGGAAGTTCAGTTGATGCGGCCTGAAAAAAGTGTAGCGGATCTTTGGCGAGCATTTCGGCTGGGTTTCTTGTATGCACTGGGTCGGCGTTTACATCGTTTGCCTATTGGCTGGCTAGTCACTATTTAATCAAGCTTATAGATATTAACAGAAATATACATATAAGCTACTCGATCAGCCCTTGTCCCGTTCTATACTAAAATAGACTAGGCGTAGCCTCATGCTTCGTCGTCACTCGATGCATATCCCGTCAACAGCATCTTACTCTTCCTTCTCTCCTTCTTCACTTCTTCTGCCCGTCACAAATGCTCCTTCCCTGCCTTGCCAGCTCGCCTCCCTTCTCCTTCCACCTCATCTCCCGAGTCCCTCTCCTCCTGTTTCGGCCCGACACTCCCGCACTCCCCAACCATCTGCCCCGTTTCTTCCACTCCCACAGACGCATTCCCACGCTTGGAAATACTAAACCGCCCATTCACCTCGCTCCTTAATAGAGATGTCTTCCTCTGATGTACATTCCTGTCGCTGGGATATGTCTCGCGTCGATTCCCAGCCAATTTCTCTCCTTCGACGGATGGTTTGTACGAAACTGAACTCGCTCTTCTCATTAACTGTTTTCGTGGGACGAAATTCGCCATACTAACTGGGCCATCGGTGTAGGTGTTTGCTCTCTGCCTTGCTGGGGGGAGTTGGGGCCGATGCTTGATAGCTACTTGGGGGAAGTTGATGGGAATTGCGTTTATGGGTGACGATAGGGGCTCATCTTGTGTCTGGCGGTCGTTTCCATGGTTGGTCTTTTTGAGGGAAGAGTGCGAGGGTGATGGGACTTGTTGCTGCTCAACGGGCACCACCTCATCCACTTTCTCTCGCTCTAAGCTGTTCACAGAGGATCTTGAGCCCCCTTCAAACATCATAGTACTAGTGTGTCCGTCGTTGAAAGAGTTGGAGAATAAAGAAGCGCCGGGTCCACTCGAGGCAGGCTGCTCAACCTGCCGCCACTCTCCAGTATCTTCATGAGGGTCCTCCTCATCTTCCCACTCTCCTTCTCCGTCATCGTCTCTATTGTCCTGGGTAATTGGCTCCTGGTGGAACGTCCGCTTCCCATATCCACCCAGAGCTTCGCGCTTCTCGATGCGATCCCACGCGTCCCCAACTTGCATCTCTCGGGCATCGTAAGGACTATTAGGAAGGTAAGTATTTACAGTCGTCGCTACTAATCGCATAGGCCTAGGAGAAACCACATTCACTGTTCCGACTTCCCTGAACAGTGCCGGTCCGTGAAACTGCCCCATTTCATTGTTCAAGTGTGGATTTCCGTAGAGGTCGATTTCTTCAAATGGTCCGTCATTTAAATCACTCTTCTGACCATTCCAACGTATATCTTGATGCTCAGGAGGCCATGCAACCCCCCCACCTTCTATATGCTTTCCATGTACCCTTGGCAATGGTTTTGCGACCGGAGCAACATTCGCAGGTACGACACCAACGTCCCCATCATACTGAAAGATATTGTGTCTCTGAGGACGCGCAATGTGCTGCATCTGAATGCCTCTCTCGTCATTCTGTCGCGTGCGCTCAAAGTTTCTTGCTCGCTCGACGTCGTGAGGTGCGTGGCGGCGGCGCTTGTATGCCTCGTAGCCTGCGTATGCGAGACAGGAACTGACTACGATGGGAAGGGCGATGAGGGCTGCTATGAGGAGGGCGGGTGCCATGAGAAGTTGCAAAGTAAGGAAGTGTACTCCTGCGTTTAACAGGAGAGGTTTGTGTGAGGCGTTGTAAAATTTTGTTACATTGCCTGCGCTGAGACAATGGAGGTTAAGGTGTAGGACGTACATACCTCGTTATTCACCAGGTACTGGTGAAGAATAGAAGTGTCTTGTTTCAATGGTACAGCATTCTTGAAAGTGCTATTGAATGGCGTGAGACTACGGGATACGACAGGACATGGAGACAGTGAAGATTAGTATTATCAAGCATATAGCTATCAAGACGCCTTGACACGAGGATATGAATTACACATGCTTGCATTCAAATCTTAAGTATCGATATAATTCAACACCCCAATTACAAATCACCCTGCGCACTCTTCGCCTTCCCCCGTCCCCTTCCTCTCGCACTACCTCTTCCTCTACCCCTCCCTCTACCCCGCGCTGCACCCTTCTTCGGCGAATTCCTATCTGTCATATCCGTCAAATCTGTTTCGCCCTCACTATGGTTCGCAAAGAAATGGCTCTTAACCTGCGCGTCACTCTTGCGTGCAGCTTTACGTTTAGGCACAGCCCTTGTTGACGGACGGGGCTTCGGAGCGTCTGAGGCAATATCAGAGAGCGACGATTCTTCATCTGAGGAGCTGGTACACCTGGATTGGCGTCTGCGTGCGGACGGGATCGGTTTGCTGCGTGAGGACTGCGGGACTACGCTTCTTCGGCGGGTAGGGGTCGGCTTTGGGTCCTCTTCTTCGTCTTCATTGTCATCGGGGTCTTGAGACATGTCAACGTCCATTTCCTCATCATTAGTTGCGTGGTCACTAGTTTCGCCAGCAGGCTGCTGAAGGGCCGAAGTAAGTGATATAGGCGTCTGATACGCCGAGTTTGCCATAGGTGTACACGTCTCCTCCCTCTGGTCGCCGTGATCGATGGTAAGATCACCGTGCATTGGTTCATCCTGGCTTGCTGGGAAGAAACCGCCGCCCATATCCACATCATGAGTTGCTTGAGCTGGCGCGTCGCGGTTGAAGTTGCTATGGGATGGACCAACCTCATCGCGCAAGAAGCCGCCTTCGAAGTCTGTGTGCTCTTGAAAGACTTCCCACTCAGACATTCCCTGTTTCGAGTTTTCTTTTTGCGCCGGTGCGGGCTTCTTCGCGGGCAGCTCGACATCGTCGCCGTACTCGGCTTTCATGCGCTCAACGATACGCAAACCGGAGACAAACTTCCTCCAAAGACCGAGAACCAACTTCTCCCTCTTTTCAGCTTCTTTCTTAGCCTTCTCGGCTTCTGCTACTTCCCAAGCATCAATCAATAGATCCTCGTTTTCGGCTGCCACCACAACACCCGTAAGAACTGGTACAGCGCGTTGCTTCCCAAACTCGAAGCCGGTACATGCTTCTGCGTAGTCAATGTTGAGTTTCCTGCAGATGCGCGCTGTACCTCTGAGGGGAACATGCACAGCGCCTCTCGGTACCATAGTCGCAACATATACGTCAATATTGCCAAAGGCATTGCGCGGGATCCTACCATCAGTAATGGGGTCCGGTATAATCCAATCAGTCTGAGCTTTCGAGTACAAGCCTTGCTGGACTTTACCTCCTTCTACGCGTTCGCGTTCTTCGATCTCGCGTTTGCGAGTCACGGTGACTGCGCGCATAGCTACGAATTTCAACGGCTGCTCGCCCTTTTTGACTTCTCGCCCCTCTTTGTGCCATGACTCAACTGTCTTGCAGGTAACAATGTCCTTTCTCCGATATACAGGCTCCGACTTTTCATTGTCGCCTTTACCAGTAACGAAGTGTCGAACAACCTTCGCCCCAGATTTAAGAGCTTCTTCGCGTCTCAAATGCCTCTCAAGCACATACTCGGCTGAGGTTTTGTAGCCTTGTAGCGTTTCCTTTCCGCCTTCGTCATCCATATCTTTTTTCTTCTGTGGTGGTGCTGGGACAAGATCACCCTCATCTTCAATCTCATCCCAAGGCTGTCTTGCGTCGTGAGATCTTGCGTATGGACGCATGAGAGACTTGAACCAGTCCCATTCGTCCCATCTCTTGACCTTACCCCGCTTGTTGTGAATGGGTATCTTCTCAATCGGCATGCGAAAGCCTTTGGTTCGGCCCGGCCATTGGTGTTTGGGTAGGTATCGCGTTGTCACATCTTTGGCTGTACCATCCGAAGAAAAAGCGATTACATATGCCAAGATCTGTCTCGCCTTGTCGGCGGCTGCACCACGAGCATAAAACTCGATGAGCTTGTCTGGTGAAGCAGCGCTCGCAACCAATATGCGGGGAAGTGGTGAAACTGAGATAGGTGTGTAGGTTAGGTGTGAGATTGCTTCTGTCCAGTACGTCGGATGCGGCAGCTCTTCGCTGTAGTTGCGGGCTTTGGGGGATTTCTTCGTGGTTGGTTCTTCTTCAGAATCGGAGGATATAGATATCACACTACTAAGATCGCTACTTTCAGATGCGTCAGGGCCTCCTTTGCGCTTTGTTATTACACGCGACTTTGGTTTCCCCTTAGCTGGCGTAGGTTTGACCGGCATGTTGTGTTGAGTAGGCTTCGTGGCTTCTCTGAGTTTCTCAAGATTTTTTGGCTTGCCCTCCTCACTCTGACTCCAGCCGAAGCCTACAGGCTGCAGACTTGCAACCATACGAGCCTCGATTCCCAAACCTCGTAAAAGGGCTGTGAACAGCTGTTGCCCGACATCTCGACTGCCTTCACTTTTGCGCGCCAGTTCGCGGAAAGCTTCAAGGTTCTCTACTCGTTCACCGAATTCCAAATTGGATGGATCATCTCTCCAAGCATTGATCTCGCCTTCTAGTGTTGAAGGCGAAAGATAGCCGCGTTTTCGTAGGCCGGGTGCTGTAATGCGAAACTTGGCCTTCCAGTAGGCAGAAAGATATCGCATTAGCCGAAGCAAAGGGTCTCCAGCTGATAGATTCGGCGTGTTTGGCTCGAGTGGCTCAGACGTTGCACCCCAGTCGCGATTGCGAGCGTTCCTGTCAGCTTTGGGCATCTCTTTGTCCTTGTCTCTCGGTGTTTTACTCTCATCACCACGTCCAGTACGCCTACTTTGTGGGCTGTCATAGATCTGAACGCCTTTCTCACCAGTCTCCTTCCAGTTACCTTTTCTGCCCTTAGTCTCCTTGATGGGTTCTTTTTGCGCCTTGCGCGGTGTTGCCACAACGCGGTCAGGTCCATCCGAGATGCCCGCATCCCGCCAGTATTGTTCCATCTCGCGCCAGCAGCCTAACGACAAGTTCGCTACCAACGCCTTCTGCACCTCCTTGTCCTGTATCCAAGCATTGCGGACCAGGTTGTGATACATCAAATACTGCACATGCATGCAATGGGTGACATTTCGTATCTGGCGTTGGACCTTTGAAGGCCCTTTCTTGCCGTCAGGTTTCGAATCGAAGGCAGTCTTGGGCGCAGCAGACAGCGTCAGCGCAATGTCGCCCGAGATGACTGGCGCGGGGCCATGGTCAGGCTTGGTGTGATGGTGTGCACCAAGCGCATCCTCCCAGTCTTCATCTTGGCTCTCTTCACTGCTCGCGTCATCATGAGCCTTCCCTTTCCCGGCTGTCTTATTGGTATTGTTCAATGGCACATCCTCGAAGTCATCTTCACTGCTGCTCAGCTCAGACAAGTCACTCTCGTCATCTGCCTGCTCCAAGAAGGCCTTTGTCTGCGAAAGGGTACGCTTGATTTTCGGTGGAGCGTCCAGCGTCTGAAAGACCGACTGTGTGCTGCGGCGGGCGGGCGGATTGTTGGCGCGGGCTCGTTTCGGGGGTGGTTCTGGTCTCGGGGAGTCAGATCGCAGGCGCTTTCGTGGGAGGATGGGTGGCATTGCAGAGCCAGGAGCTTCGCCTCACTATCGTTTCATAGATCATGCGCGGAAAACTGTCGTAGAGGTGGACAGTCCAGGGAATATCGATGACGCCGTTCCCGGCTGCATTCCGATAGCGCGGAACCACCATCGTGCAGGGACCAAGTCGCGTGGCGCCCTTTCACGACATCACGAGCGCCGTCGATTCACTGCATGGCTCCCGGTTATTGAATCTCATACAAGATGCTACGCATGTCTACGGAATGCTATACGTCAAGGCTGCCCGTGAGCTGCTAGGGTCTCATGATAAGTTATGTGAGGGGAAATATCACGACAGTCAGCCTGGAGGCCGCTTGTAACAACATGGTACTCTTGTGATAGTGATTGGACGAAGGCTTTGGATATCCTTTGGCAACCATGACGTTAGCACAAACAGGTATTAGCCGCTGAGTCGAGAGGCCTCATATCCTTGGATACGAGCGATGGAAATAGTAACGGGCGCGGCTGAAACGGCTGCCTTGTGTAGTGATGACTCGAAGCGATAGTCCGTTGTGAGCGGACGGAAGAGGCATTTGGATGTATATGAGCGCCGTATCCCAGCCTCAGGGCCACTGTCGCTACATGCTTCATCCCTTTCTTGCTTATTGTGGCCTACTATCCTCATATCTCGATTCATGGCGTGTCCTGAATGCTTACGAGCTCGTCAACGCAGCAGCAGAGGGCGGCACCCATGTCACCCAGGTGAATTCTTGATCAGGAAAGAAGTCGAAGATGGCCGTTATCATTTCTGAGGAGGTTTTATATGTCGCAAGAAGTGCGGCTGGTGAAATGGTCCAGCTTCCAAACGCGTTGGCGCGTGAGCACGTGAGGTCTGCTGGTAAGAATGACGAGACGACAAACCTGGATCCAAGCAAAGGTACTACGACTGTCACATCTATTCTTCATTTCCCCCCATCTCATTCACTGTCTGATCGTCTACCCAGATTTACTGTCCAAGTCACGGGTGGACCGAGTCGCATTTCCCCTCATACACGTCTCGAAACGGCTTGGTCTGAATCGTCGAGGGTTGCGCCTGGGCGTCCCTTGATCGCTACGCGCCGCCGCCATGGCCTTGTCCCCTCGACACACCACCACAATTGCACACTTCGACAGCTGCGCAACTGCATCTTTATCACTGCTAACCCGCCAGACTGACCGAAATGCAGATACAGCGCCGACGATACCGATGCACTCTATGACACCTGCGTCATGAGCATAGCCACACCTGCTCGTGACCTGTGGCTTCCTCAGGCTGGCGGCCTCCGCGTCCTCCAGCATGCATCCGCGTTGCGACCCGCCGCCCTCTTCACCACTTTTTCTTACACACTTTCTAACCCGCCCTTCACGCCCCTTTACCCATATTGTTACCTTCTAGCCACCCCCCTCCTAGGCCTGTAGGCCTCCAGTACACGCAACCCTCGTCGTCGACCCCCGCATCGTCCTAGGCACCGAGATACACACGCCAAGAGCATGTACACGCTGCTTCTACTCGTAGTACTACTCGCTTTTCTCTTGGAGCCAGCAGCAGCATCAAGTCCGATCATGGACCACACACTGCCTGGCATGCCATTGGACCAATTATACTCAGATGCAGATCGCCTACTCAACCCCATCTGCCAGCTCTGCGCCATTCCCCTCTACCAGTGCATTCATGCCATGGTAATTATCCTCCGACTCTCTCCAGATTGTGAGCTAACATCACCAGCCTCAAACGCCATATGTCGCCCTGCGAATGCTCGACAATGAGCCGGAACCTTTTCACGCCCCGCTGCCAAACTTCGACCCGACGGAAGTAGACCTAGCACTTCTCCGCGAATACGTCACGGGGGAGAATAGGCACCCACTGATTAGCGAGTACATTTACGACATGGATGCGAATGGGACGACAGTCCAACCTACTACGATTATAGAGCATATCAAGGACATCTACACACCTGGCGATCGCCTACAGTCGCCGCGGTCAGGGTCACGTAAGGCATCGCATAAGCGGCAGGCACCGCGACTTGGGGGATACCCTTGCACATTTGAGGGTTGCGAGAAGATATTCGACCGTAATTGCGAGTTGAAGTAAGTCTTGCCGTCAGTTTTCGTGTCCGTGAGCCTAGATTGATCGTCATAGCCGTCACCAGAAGACCCACTTGGACCGTTCTGAGCGCCCTCACAAGTGCTTCACCTGCAACGAGGGCTTTCTATACCCGAAGGACCTCCACCGCCATGAGCGAAAACACATACAGCAACCGTCAGATCAAGTCACCTTCTTCTGCCATTATCCAGGTTGTGGCAACCTCGAGGGCTTTTCACGTCGCGACAATCTCTTGCGACATCAACGGAAGCAGCACGCCGCTATAGTTGCCGCCGCTCAGGCTTGAAATCATCATACTTCGTCGGCGTGGTGAGACATTGTTCGTCACCGCTGACGGGGAGCAGTGATTTCCATCAGTGCTCTCTCTGGCCGGTATGATTTAGCATTACACCTGGACAGCGCAATCTTCTTTGTCCCTGCCACAAAATTGGCTATTGGCAGTCATTGGCGTTTCATTGGATACACTGGTTCTTCTCTATGCGATGCCCTTTTTGGCTCGATCCCACGTTGGAGCAATCCCGTGATGACTTTGTTAGGTTTGGTTCCTTGATCGTTCTGTAATACCCCTCCCTTGGTGCCCATTGTGAGCAATGTTGTTGAATGTGTTGGCTTTCTGCCTGATTTCATGTCTCGTTGGTATTTCATTCCGTCGCCGTTACAAAAGTACGTGTAGTAGTTCGGTTCACTACTTACATACAGAAGACCACAGTAGTACAAGGCATAGTTCGTGCATTCATTATCGTTATTTTTGGGGTTAGGGATCTACTATAGCACTTTCCTACATGCTACTCTATATACGAGTTGAGCTTACTGGCCTGGAGCTTGGTGAGTGTGAAGAGGTCAGTTGGCTGGGACACTCTGGTCAGTGGTAGCTTCAAAATGGACACTCTCACGCATTTGAACTCTTGCACAAGTTATCATCTCGTGAGACTTCGTAACGAATGTTACCTTCTGCGTCGGCGCACTATGATTTATTGATTACTTGCTTCTCACGAATACCACCACGCCAGTGGCGGCCTCTCCAACCATCAGCATATTGTTGCCTCGCCCAATAAGCCTAAGAAACACTGTGATCCAATAAGACTCCATTGCTTCCATGGTGCGAAGATAGAAGCTATGTACCATGACGTCATTTCCTAGAATGCGTACATATTTAGAACATGCGTCGTCGATCCACCTGACGTCTCTCCTGTGAGATACAGGCACAAACGATAAGAGTCGTACAAAACGATGGATTGCGAAGTACCATGAGTTTATAAGCCGGGGGGAGCGAACCGTTGGACTGGCTAAATTGCTGATGGACGCACAACGCTACTGAGGCTGAAAGCTTACAGGTGCCATTGACAGCCCTTACTGCTATGACGGCGATAAAGCGAGTTGTATATATATACACATGCGTCCAGCTCGCAGGATCATCCGAATACAAATCCCAATACGACCTTACCAACTGGCTCAACTACTTCGTGCCATTCTTAACCCAGCTACGCCCACGCGCTGCTTTACACAACCCAGCCCAAAACTAAAATGCGTACCTCAACCACAATACTCACAGCAGCGCTCTGCTCGACAATCTCCGCACTCCCTTCACCGAACATGCTCCCCCGCGCAGGCGGTCCAGCAATCGTCCCCATCCCTTCGACCTGCACCATCTCCTTCCCGCTACCCACATCGCCAGCCACAACTACAACCTACCAACCCGCGCCCGCTACCACCGCCGATCTCTTATACAGCGCATACTACCCTGCCTTCTCCACGAACAAGACTGCAATGGCCGAGCAGTGTTTACAGCAATGCTACGGGTACGGATACCATGTTGAATGCAAGACGGCGTACTGGGCGGAGAATATCCTTGTGCCGGCTGGAGAGTATGGAGCGGGGGAGTTGAGCACGGCTTGTTTGCTGTTCAGTAGGGCTTTGGACGAGCGTGATTTTGTTGTTGCGAAGGAGGGGCAGGCGACGGGGGCATTTGCGGGGAGTATTGCTTGTTGAGTGAGTGGGTCTAGGTACCGTCAGGGGTGGTGGAAGGATAGGCTTTAGGAAGATGATTGTTCCCTTGTGTTTGTGCTCGTGCTTGTGCCCAAGAGAGGGGTCGAGTTACTGCGAGTGTTTCTTGGAATAGATGGGCGGGTATAGCACGGTCTAGGTAGATCCGGGGTAGTAGTCGCCGACCGCTTGCTGGATGCCTGGGTGGATAGGACTTTCTAAGCTTATGTTAGCGGTTTCCATGCTCTTTCTCGGCCCAGTACCGTTTGACAACTTTTTGTTTTGTTTCCATTTTTACCTCCAGCTAGTTTACCCCACTGTCCATGTTCTGAATTGCCTTGGTTCGTGCTAGTACGCGGTAGCAGCCGAGCTCGCTCTTGGCTTGGTAGGAAGATAGAATGAGGGCGTGATGTTGTATCTCATTGTTCCAAGCTTCTTTTAGTATCGTATTCTTTATATTGAGTCGTATATTCTCTCGGACGCGATCTTTCAGCAATGTTCTTCAAAGCTGTCCTGAGACCGGTCTTTCTCTATCGTTCAACGGGTACGCCGCTAACAAATCAAGTGCTCTTCCGAAAAGCTTGGTTCTATTTGAAGAACCCCAGTGCTTAGTTGGGTAATCAGATTAATTCTTTTGAGCGCGCAACATGTGATCAAGATTCTTCGAAACTGAACTCTCCATGTTCGCAACATACGTAGTGCTAACTCTATAGCCTTTACCGTCATTCAATAGTGCCGCAAGAGTGAGTTATTTCGAGACACGAGTGCGTCCGCTCTGCAGGAAGATAAGCGCATTCGTTTCGGTACCCCAACGTATGTGACTCTCGATCGCACATGCCGCCACGTGCCCACAACGGCAAGACACGCCATGCGGAAAACGTGCGCGCCATGCAGAAACGTGTCTGCCACCATGCCACCATCTGATATACTCGCTCCATTGCAGATTTGCCCAGTTATCCCGATTCTTAGCGAGGAGAAGTAATGCAAGATGCTGCACGATAGAGCTATTTTGGGCGACACGAACACGAACGAAGCCCGTGCACGGCGATGTCAAGCTTTTTCAGCCTCGACTTGCACAGAAACAGGATGGTAGGGCAGAAAAGGGTGTAAGCGAACCGTGGAGTGGAGTGGAGTGGAAGTATCTATTCTTGCGCTCTCGGTGTTTTCCCCGTTGTCTAGACATGGCGATTAAGTGTAGAAGGAGACTGACCGCAACATTGACAACCGAAACGGGCGTCGGGTAGCAGCAACGCCAGCAATACGCCAACCCAGTTATCGCTTGGTCGCACTGAGCTATGGATGGATACGAGGTCACGTTCGCTCGCGGCTGGCCATTTCCAAGTTTTCCCTGCATGCCTGTGGCCTGTTGACATCGCATGGTGGTCTATTACCTAATAAACGTTATTTCGATTCTTATCGTCAAAAGTTGCCAGCGTGTGGAATACACTAAAAGTATGATAGATGCGACTAATCGTGGTTTCGGCAGCATGGCATGATGGATAGCTAAGCGTTTTGAACCGTATGTAGGTAGGCACCTAGCCCTACCCGGTGTACGTGCACTAAGGACTGGTGCGGTTTCCTAAAGCATCCTAGAGAGGCGCACGGTGCGTGCATGCTTGCCTCGAATAACGGTGAAGAACATTATCACAGATTCCATGTGACAGTGGCAGGAGAGCGGCAGCGATGGCAATAGTGTCTTCTACCTAGAGTGTAGCGGGATGCAGGGGTCGGCGGAGGGCCCAAGTCCAGGATGAAGATCTCCACCCCCAATACAATGTGATGTTTTTCGTCCCCATACATGCGCAACGGCGCGTTCTATTAGAAGCTGGTTCGTAGAGAGCTTTGATGTTTGGCTGCGTCTCTGCCCCCACTCAAAGTCCGTCGAGTTGGTTCGATCCTCCAAGACGTGAATCACACATGTGTTATGTCGTGAGAATAGTGGCGCCCTCCAGGTGAGTCTTGTCCGGGGTAACTGCGGCAGTCATCCATTCTCCGCTATACTTCTAGATCGTAAACGGAAGATGAGCATTCTCCAACCGGAGCTTTGAGAGTGCCTATTGGTGGATTTGCGGGGGCTGGCTGATGCCTTCGATCCCTGAACCCACACCTTGGGAAATTGGGGGCTTTTTAGTACTGAGAGAGGTAAGTACATCGGAAAACTTAGTTAAGGACAATAGCATTCAACGAAGGGGCCAAAACAAGGAGAAAGCAGTGAAGACAGCGTGTTGTTTGGTGATCACTCAAAGTACCTTCACAGAACCAGCGATAGCTCAGCTAGGGCGTAGGCGCTTTGAAAATCCTCTTGATTGGTGATTGCTCGATTGGTATTAGGTCCTAGCTAACTACATATCGACAGAACTGTCTAAAGAGGCAGGTGGCCGTCTCTATAGTGGCCGTAATAGAAGAGGAGAGAAAACCCCCGAATTCAACCAGTCGTAATCTTCGTAGATCATATCCCAACGAGGGAACAGGTGCAAGTGTCTAAAAATATCCTCCGCGAGATATCACGAATGAGAAGTTACCGCCGATGAAACGCCAAAAGCCCTGGCTACGCCATATAGAACTTCAAACTCCGAATGGCTCAAGGGTATAGACAAGAAGGGAAATAAGCTGGCCAATTACCGCCTATGCAGTAATGCTCTGGCGCAGTACTCAGGTGCTCTCCGTCTTCACTGACATGACACCCTTGAACTCGCCATGTAATATCTCCAAGAGTTTGCGAAGAGTATCCGAGTTGCTATTCCTTCGGCGGATGGTCTTCCCATCTTCATCGTCACCCTCGGCATCGTCGTTCTGTGTGAGCAACTCGATTGTTTTCTGGAGCTTCTCGTATGCTGCGTTGAGTTCCGTATGCGATACCTCAAGCTTATTGTACTTGTCGTTCAGGACGGAGAGCTGCACCTCGAGGTCACGTGCATGTTTTTCCTTGCGCTCGCGGAATGCGCGTTGAGCGGCGCGGTTCTGAGCTCGTCGGCGCTGATAATTCGTCAGATCCCTATCCCCCCAAAATGGGTGCATGCCAAACTTACTCCCGAGGTTGTGTGGCTCCTCTCGGCTGATGTAGAGCTGTGGACAGAAGTGAAGACTGGCTCAGCATGTGGTGGTGGTCGAGGACTACAGTATGGGCTGTCGTGGTCGGAGCCAAAATCTGATGGGGTCATTGGCATGGGATATGATCCGAACGACATTGGTTCGTCGACAATGCGAGGATAGTAGGCCTGCTGCTGTATCGGTGCGGGGAACTGGTCATATGTGGAGGAGACCTTCATGCGATTAGAACAAAAGCAGTGGAGATGGCATAGCCTGTACATACTGGAGATCCGCTCAGGCTGGGTACTTTAGCAAGATCCGGGGGCATTTCAAACACTGTGGTCTGATGACGCGGGGGAGCAATGTAACTGCCTTGGGCCATCCAATAGTCGAATGATTGGGAATCCATTATATCACGCGTATCTGGGTTCGCAGTGCTGGAGAGGGTGGGCGATGTCTCGCACTCACTGTGGGGCTAGTGATGATAGGTTGAAGTGAGGCTTTTGTTGGTGGCTCTATTGTTATAATGGTAGTAATATAGAGCGGAGTGGTTGTGCAGATGACGTGCGGGTACAGAAGAATTTGAGGTTGAAAGCTTATGTTGAGGATAGGCTTACACAACAGTGGGCATGCTGTGATCTTATACACCGGGCGGACAACGCGCAGCCTGGTCGGACGCAACGCTCGAGTTCGGTGGAGGCGGCTGGCCGTGAGCAGGGGTGTCACCCAAATGTACCCGCGTCAACGGCCACAACGAACCCTGGGAATGTGGCTTTCTGCGAAAATGCATGCACAAGGCCGCTGGAGGTGCGTGGTGGTCCAACCGTAGTTTTGGCCCGCTGTCCGGAGCACGGTCCAGCAGAGCCGGCAAGCATCTTCAGGTGTTGTTATTCTCGTCCTCGAGTGGCTCCCGAAGTTGCACCACCGACGGCCGGGGAGCAGGGGTCGGCATGAAGGAATACGCTACACCACATCAGGTCTCTGATAAAATAATGCCGTCGCCGCGCAGCTAAACCGGAACCAAAGTTGATAAGCTGGCGTGCAGCATGCAAGTTAGTCAGTCGTCGTGTCCTTAGTCACAGATGGAAATGCCTGACGCTGCCTTCTAGAAGATATACCCCACCCAAAGAATTGCCTATTCTGTGGAAGTTGCTCGGTAGGGCTGGATCTGCTGGGCTGTGCCAACTATCGACTAGGAAGTTGTGCAGGCGATGAGTGAGTGCACTAAAGTTATGCTCCCCAAGGACATGCACGGCTTCATATTGTTCGAGCCCGAAAAATATGCGATGGAAGAGCAATATGGGCGGCCTACGACGTCAGAGGGACTAACTAGGTTACTCTGGTTGAGCGTGTAGGGCGACTAATCAGGAGTATCCAGCTCATGTTACTGCTGAGAGAACTGAAGGCCGAGTTTCGGTCGTAGTGAGGAGTTACTTGCGCTAACTGGGTTGGGCAGGGAGTGCATACTGTAGAAGTGGGCAGAAGGTAACTTCCATCACTGACTTCCTAATTGCAAGTATGTCAAGGCTGAAATGAACCTGACTATTCACTACAGCAATTACTATATTTAAGCGATCAACAGGGCGTGGTCGAACAACAACAGCTCCTTCAACTAACAACTACATGAGAGATCGACTGCGTGCGTCGCGGAAGCAAACCGCGGAACTGACGGAGGTCTTGGATCACCGAGTGGGCCCGCCTTTTTTGCGTCTTTTACTGCCGGAAATAAGATAACAAAGGAGGCTCGCAGATGTATCCTCGTAGAATTGTCGTATGAAGATGATTTTCCGGGAGCGTAAACGGTTCATGGAACGTAGCGATTCCATCATCGCAATCTATTGAAGGGTGCGTGGTCAGCGAAGTCAGCTGATATTGTCATCTATTACATGTCAGCCGCAGCCAGCATTACTCATCAGTAGTCTCGTCTACTTATGAACCCTACAGTCCCATCTCACACAGCTAGGCACGGTGTAGGCTCATATGCGTCTCAACAACATGTCTGGTGAGTGATATGTCTCGTTGACATGTATCTTCCAATGTATAACAGCATACTTATTTTTCTGGGCATATAGTGTCACGTTGTTCTTACAATGCAAGCCTATGTTGGCCTTTTGTCGACATGCTTGACACTTGTGCCTCATACTCTGTGGAACGCGAAGACGACGCACGTCTATGGATTGATCTCGACCATATCCCCAAGGCTCCAGTTCTACAAGATTTGCATACTGCATATTGGCATCCATTATATGGTATACCAGACAGGAGCAATTCCACCACCCCCTAAACCTTCACCGGTCTATGTTAGTGAGACGACACTAGCCATATTGAGCTGCATCTGCCGACCCATTCGCATAGGTGTCTTGGTACACCCTTTCATATCCAATGCCATCTCCCATCCACATGATAGCGGGGTACAGTGCCGCGAGCCTGCCGTTCGGCGCGTCTTTGATTCGCTGTCTCTTGGTCGATAACAACACTACATCGCTACCCCACTGCTGACACAGGAAGCGCTCTGCAACGTAAACACAACCTCTCTAGCCGAAGATTACAGGGTGTTTATGGTGCTCATCCGGCTAATATGATCGGCATAGATATAGGAAACGAACATGTGGATGCGAGCACGCAATGTTCATCTCCACCAGCCTTGCCTTATCGTACACCCCGCTCCGGGGGCCTCGACAACTAGCCCAAATTCGACTAATGTTAAATGTTCGCTAGGCAGGGTCTATACAGGACATTCCTCCTGAGATGCACAACGTGTATAGCTTCGCTTATCTATTCAAACTTCCCAAGGCGGTCTGATGACAGACAATCCTCCGCATGCTTGCACCCGCAGTGTCCCCGAGATGACATCCGCACTCCAATCGCGCGTTTACGCCAACCCGCCATGCGTGTTATCACGATCCCAAATTGCGATAGCGTCACACAGCGAACCCCAGGGTCCAGAGGCAAAGCAACTTAGTAGATCCCTCCGGACACTAACGACACTTACAGCCCTAAATCAGCACTACATGGTTATCATCTCCGTTTCAACCCTGGTTAGCGGAACGCCCAATTCCGCCCTGCGATATGGGTATGAAAAGTAATCCCAAGCCTCGAAGAGTGCAGATTTGTAAGAAGTCAAACTGGACTTCATGGGCAGGAAGGGTTCTCGGCACCAAGCAAAGCATCTGAATTTAGCCGTTGACAACATGAGCCGTGACAAGGCAAATGCAGGATATTCATCATACACACACATACGGCATCCCTTGACATGACGAGCATTATTTAATTCGAGCCGATACTTCGGTGACTGTTATTGATATGGCGTCTTCCTCCTTGAATAGGTAAGCTTGTCAGCTTTCAATGGGCTTTTATGGTAGAGGTACTGTTATGCAAGCAAGTAGCTTAGCGACGTGGTGGTCGGTTACTCCAGCAGCGCAGGGCCGTACTTGTGCAGTCCAAACTGTAGGTTCGAATCGTTGCTTGAATAAGGCGCATAAGGTGCAACCCTTATCTATGGCTGCCAGAAAGAAGATCTTTAATGCATACCAGGCCTACATTCTGGACGACTTGAATGGAACGGAAGGAAACCAAATCCCTACTGAAGAGAACAAAATACAGCACGGCCCAAGCCCCCTTAACGAAAACATGCCTCGATTGAAGCACCAATCCCTAATACAATGGCTCTAATACAAAGGCGCCGCAGGTCGCCACATAGCAAGCAATGAACCTACGACGACTATGACATACCACCGTGTCCAGTTCCACGCAGGTAAACATCGGCGCTGAATTACTTACATACATCTCATGGCGTTTGAGGACATTGTTCTGGAGCAGCATTGCACCCACCCCAGAGGCTAGCTATCTCACTACTAACAAGGCAACACATGTGTTATCAAACACCACCAAGGTCCAATAATGGGTTAGCAGAAGGCACTGCCAAGTGCCCCGTTATCGACTTAATTCCTTCTGAATAACTATACGTATGTCCTTTGTTGTCGTACTTTCGCGTCCACTGTATTGCTTCTTTTGTTTTTTGGTTTGGGCAATGACCTGAATCGGAGAATGATTTCGACCCGTATGGAGACTCCGATTAGGTGCAATGAGCTCTGTATTTTCGTTATTCGAGCTTCGGTTGTGTATACAAGCCCGCTTTTAGCGTCTTAGTACGAATCATTTCTCTATCAGAGAATTTCTTTCAATTGGTTCACCTTTAGAATTTAAGGATCTTGAACTCCTGCATCCGCTCGAAAGATTCGTTCAAGTTGCGCATAGTGAGTTGGCCTTGGAGGAAGATTAGAACCGCCCAGGCAGCTATTCGATGAGAATATGACAATACTATACACTACGAAACCCATGTGTCATGCCAGTTTACTGTATCAAGCTTCTATACCTCGAAAAGGCTAATACACTGCAGCGTGCAACGAGTGAACGTAATTTCATTGAGTGCGATGAGTAAGAGTTGGGTTCGTCCGCACCTAAAAATACAGTGGTGAGAAGGATCCTCAAAGCATGAGCTATTAGCGGGGAGTGTGCAATGAATTTAGCACTACATAGACTATGAATGGAGCGATGTGCTAACTGCTGCAGTGACACCGTCTTAGAGGTACTCGGTATGCAAGAGAAAATTCCAGGGCTTTCAAAACGAAGCTCATGTTCGGAGAACTGATCTAGTCCGACGCAGCTTGTTGCGTAGCTGCAGCTTTCCACCACTCTCAAATAAGCATAATACCATCACCACTGCACTCAAACATCCCATGACCAAAGACATGATCGGCCAGCCATATGTAACTCTTAGAAAGCCAGCGCATACTGGCCCTACCAACGCCCCTCCCGCAAATGCTGCATTTGTCAACCCATAAGCTTGAGAATACGCCCCATATGGGCCAAATATCCCCGGATGTTTTTCCTCCTGCTCTTCCATGGCGTATGTAACCTCCGTCATCATCGGAGGCAAGGCTAGGCTGACACCAACTCCTACAAAAAAAAGCACCACCACCAGGGATACCAGGTCGTGGACTGTGTTATGTACCACCGGTCCCAAGCACAGTAGACTGGGAATGCACACTCCGAATCCGATAACTGCTGGCCATTTTACTCCAAACTGATCCACTAACTTGCCAGTTAAAGGCGCGAGCAGCATCGGAATCGTGAGGGAAAGAAACAACAGTGCGGCTTGCATCGAGTTGACGTGAAATAGTTCTTTGACGTACACGGGTAAGACACCTTCAAAAGCTGTTGTAAAACTGTTGATTGTGAACAGACCTATCATGGCAATGATCAGACGTGGAGAAGAAAGCAGGACCAAAATACTGGATTGGTGTGGTCGATGCTCCGTTGTTGGCCTCGGTAAGTGGAGCTTGGTACTTCTCTCTATGTCCTTGCGGCAATTGCCGTTTAGTGGACCTGATCTGTGCTGTGTGGGCAATGCGTCTTGATCGACTGTTCCATAGGACACTGGTGGACGTTGCTCATCAACCAGTCTTTCTTCGTCCAGCAGTCGTGATTCATTTGTATACCTGTCCTCCTCCACCAAAAGGAAGCGGAGCAAGATCTCCAGGCCAATGAGACAAAAGGCGGGGATGAAGACTGCAAAGTATCCCCCATATCTGTAGATTATACCGCCGACGAGAGGACCGCTGAACAATCCTAGAAACATGCTCATGCTAGTGTAACCCATGGCCTCGCCGATTTGTTCTCTTCCGATCTTATCAACCAGTAGAGCAAATCCGACTGTAAACACTATGGCGGTTGATGCTCCTTGAAGAATCCTGGCTATGATGAGAACGGTCAAGGAGGTTCCCGCCGCAAAAAGAGCTGTAGCGCCGCCGAGGACGAGTAGACCGAACACGAACGGACTCTGTCTGCTTCGCATGCGATCGCCGATATAACCGAAGAGCACTGGTTTCACAGAAGAAGTCAGCATATGTTTTGCCCAGGGTTCATTGCCTGTGGTAAACGAGGTAACGCGGAGAAAGGGGGTGCCTACAAGAGCCCAATAATATAGCAGCGCCGTAGATGCCAAGGAGAATAGAGTTCCATCTCTGGATCATATCGTCTGGCAGGCCAAGCCTCTCGGAGAGAGCAAAAGGCAGCACGGGAACGATAAGGCCATAGAGGAAGATGTCCGTAAATGTCGCCATGCAGACCACGATCTTCACGAACGCTTTGGATGATCGAAACTGCTGACCAAACATGCTTGCGTCCTAGTAGGTTGTCGGCTTGAGTGTACAGATGGTCAAAAGAAAGGAGGCTCTGGATTTGCGGTCTACAGAACTGAAGTCACCCGATTACATAGAAGAAGCATCTCCACAATGCTAATCTGATTACTGATTGCGTCCTGTGACACACATTACAGCTCAGCCGCGAGAGTCTATGATGAAAGAGCTGCTCAGAGTTTGAATGCTGCCGAATCAGCGTTGTCAGCTAGGGCAACTTCATAGTGTGGCAAACAAATAGTTTCCATTTTGAGATTTGAGCTAGCCTAGTATGCATTCACCGCCTCTCCTTCCACGAGTGACCACTCAGCGCTAGGTGAATAGGCTGCCACACTGACTGCTAGATGATGTATGTACGACAACAGAGGCCTTTGATAGGGTATAAAGTGCTCTCCGTCAGACGTGACGTACACACAATTGCTGGACAAACGGAAAGAGCGGCACTGGCATGAAAAGGCGTGACAGTATCAGTAGTGGATCTTGAATGCAATGAAACATTGAAGCATATTAGCTTCGGAGGAAGCAGATACGCATTATTACATCACTTTGGATTCCTTCTTATGCAGATAGGTTACGAAATCACTGCATTTTTATGCATCATGAGAACCATCTTATGTTTCGAGCCCTCCTTGAGGTCAATTGGAACTGTTGGCGGCCTCCACTATCGATCTAGCTCCGAAGCCACCGATGATCTATAATCCATATGAAAGTTCATCAGTAAAGGTGTAGATGGAGATTTCCGATACTCGGTAGGAGCAACCGAATGTAGACTGGTAGCCTTACCTTGACTGGCTGAATGGACTCCTCACCGACTAGAAGCTGCTCTGTAGATAGGAGATTGTGATGGATGGCAAGCCAGTCTCGCTTAGAATGCTTCTCAAGAGCCGATTCATTGGTCCATCTGCATGGATCAGAGCATACTCTTAAGATTTGACTGTGACAAAATTACCTTTCTAGGAGATAGAACGAAGTTTTGGGCATCCCATCCGGTGTACGATTGCTCTCGATGACTTGATACTCCAAACACTCTGATTCAACCTCCTTAACCGTCTTTGCAAGGTCTAGTAAAGCCTCGCGCAGCTGCTGTAATGTAAGACAGAGTACCATCGGTTACTCGGATGATCGATACTAACGTTGTCTTCCTTTCCCAAACAAGGAACCAGAATGCACCACAAGGTTACGTGCTCAGCTGAATCTGCCATTCTCGAGGCGAAAAACAGAAATCCAGAATCAAGATGCTACGGTGAAGTATGTACGTACAGTATGCGAAACGGCTTTGCGGGGTTCAAATACGAATGTGGTTTATTAAGCGCGCAAGCCCCGTTCCGATACTTCACGCACGTGGTCTACTAAGCGATCGCCGATTTCATCGTCATAATCACCACGTGTAGAAAATTAGATAAGCAAACGGAAGCTGCATATGTTTTTGCAAGAACTACGTTCGGGACGATCCATATGCACCAACATCTCAACGATACAATGTCCACAGAGAAGCAGATCTTGTTACTTACGCCGCCGCACTGTCAACAGACGACAAATCATGAACACCCCTTTGCATTTGAGGAAGGACAAGGCCGTGGCGCTTTGCAGATCTCTCCCTACAAGTTCTAACCTCGTAATTGTGATCTAAGAAGGGTGACTACTATTCAAAGCACACAGCTGAAGAGTCTGAAAAGATTCATACAATTGTTTAGCTGCAGTCAACGTGGCAGCCTTGACTTTTCATCCAGCCGATATGGCTTACGTGTAAGGTGTCTCGTGGTATTACAGCATTATTGAAAAGTTCAGCTGCGTTTCCGAACACCTCGGCGAGAGAGACCGATCTAAGAGTTTCATCTTCGTTCGGCTTGAGATGCGCCAATCGAGACCCCAATGGATACAAGGCTATGATCACAAGAAGCCACTGTAAGCAGGACCAGCATAACACAAAGGTACCTCAATGATGGGGAAATCAAGTTATGGGGTGTCACCAAACGAAAAACGACCTACCACAGCATCTCCAAGACTACTTGATGCGCTTGTGGAGACCGTTTTTGTGCATACTTTAGTCCACTTGGCGAGAACCAGGCGATGGAATTCATGCACTTCCCTTGTAATCAGAGCTTGAGCCCATCAAACAGATCCACGTTCTCGTCTCCGCGGTATGGATGAGAGTATCCTGGGTAGTGGGACGGTCAAAGCGCTGCAGATATGCATGTCTGTGAAAGCAATTGTTTGGGACGGGTCGACTTGAGGCGATCTGTCCCGTGTCTGGAATCTACATACAAAACCTTCTTTTTGCAAGAGGAAATCGCTATAGTTGGTATGAGTTTGTATGCGTAACTATACGCTCAAGGTAGGCCAACCTCAACTCAGTATCCTCTGCTTACAAGATAAGTCCAAGTTGATATAACAGCTCAGGAGGTGACTATTCGAGCGCACTTGCACTTCTTCATCGGATATGAAATTACGCGCGCATGCACCTTTTTAACCTGTATATAGTGCGGGGGATCTGTGCTGCCATATTGGTATCGGTGGCAGATCGCAAATCTGGATCTTGTAAGGGCATATGTTTCACTGCCGTGCCGTCCAGCCCGTTAAACTTAGGTCTGCAGGAAGCTGGTGGTTGATCCTGTATGTGCGCGCAGGTAGGACAACCGGTCAAAACGTACAATGTGACATGCGTTGGTTTATGCCAGTAAGAAACAGGTAACGGTCTGCTTCTACTGTATCTAAGGCGTGCATGCAGTGGACAGGGTGCTAGTAGGCCGAGCAACTCCGCTAGTACGAGTCGCCCTCGTCTACGTGTGACATGACACAAAGCGGGTGGACACCAGCAACCCGCCGACGCCATTTCCTGTGCACTGGTCAACGCTTCGAACAGCACTTCACTTGACACAAATAAATTGGAAAGACACGTGACATAGTAGCGTTGCGCACAAACGGCATCTCAGCTAAGAATATTCAAAATTTCGGATTCAGTGATCTGGCGTCGAGAACTACATGCCACCAGAAAATTAGGTGAATCATTTGCTCAGAAATCGCGCGCATCATCCCAGAAATTCTCATAGTCATACTCGCCACTGATATCCACCAACCGAGTACAATTCCTCGTCGCAATTTTTTGAACTGCGTTGAATGCCTCCTCCGTCAATGTAGGGATTTGAAAGTTGTCCGCGATTCTTTTTGGTGTGAATGACTTGGGTAGAACAACATATCCGCGTTTCAATCCCCACGCAAGCAGCAGCTGGCTGAGTTTATGCCCACTGGTCTCCGCAATTCTTTTTAGTTCTTCATTTTCGAGTACAAGCCCACATGGTCTTGAAGCTCTCACTTGGGATCCGAGGGGTGAATATGCCTGGGGCAAGACGCCATGGTTATGGCAGTAGGTAACAAGATTCCTGTTGGGAAAGAAAGGGTGAATCTCGATTTGGTTGACGGCAGGCCTGATTTCTGCAGAGGTCAAAAGTTGCTCGAGACGATTGATCGACCAGTTGGACACCCCGATAGCCTTTGTCTTTCCTTGCTGTACAAGAGCTTCCATCGCTCGCCAGGTTGGCTCCGGGTGTTCTGTCAACATCCTGTTCACAACGTACTACATTTTATCAGCATATGTATATGCTTTCGAAATGATAAGATGAAATTACCTTGCCATGCTTGTCTTTTTTCTGTTGGTACTGTCCATCTTTCTCCGTAGCAACAGGATAGTGAAGAAGATACAGGTCGACGTAGTCGAGTCCCAGTTTTCGAAGTGACTCGCCTAAGCTCCATTGCACATCTTCGGGGCTATGAAGGTGATTCCATACCTTCGTAGTGATGAAGAGGTCACTTCGTCGTACTCTATCTGGATTGGAGTGCAAGAACTCGAAAATGGCGCGTCCTACGAGCTCTTCGTTGTTGTAGAGCGAAGCGCAGTCGAGATGGCGATAACCAGCCTCCAAGGCATACTTCGTTGCAGCATATGCGCCTTCGGGGTTATCCGGATCCCAGGTGCCAAAACCGATTGCTGGAATTGGTTCACCGTTATTCAGAACATAGGATTGAGGATCTGCCATTGTGATCAAGTAACAAACAATGAACAGCGCGATACTTCTCTGGATAGACTCTTGTCGATGGGAGGTGTAAATTGTGAAACAGACAACACGCTGATATGAACTTTATGCCACTCACTCAAAATGGGTAACTACTGATGTGGATGTATGCTTCATGTTTTACAACATTTCATAAAACACTGATTACTAATTTTTGCCCGCAGCTTGTCTAGTGCAAGTGGCCGAATGTAGTAACATTGCATTCTCGTATCGCAGTAAAATTCATGCAAGCCCGTCTCCTGCTCAGCACTACAGTTTGGAACATGCATTCTGCGGCCCCATGCATATGCAAGATATCTGACGGTACTTGGTTACAGCGGGTCTGCCGATGGACGCTCGGGTAGGTACGTATCTATGTAAACCTATCAATCTAGGCAGTTTGTTCGCGGCAAGGATATCGGGTACGGCCGGTTGGCCGCTTAGTCGATGATTTCATAGTGTACTCTCCTCGTCACTACACTCTATCACAACTCGCTTGATTTATTTCCAACCAAGAACTCTAGCTTTGAATACTGTAGTCGACTTATGGACGAATCATGAACGCCGACCAGAACCCTGTGCCCAATGTAGCAGATTCCAGATGGCGATCGAAAAAGCGAAAGAGTCTCACGGTTGCAGATAGGAATCAGATCTATCAGTTTCATGAGGACAATCCTCTTGTTACCCATGGAAGTATCGCAGGTAGTCTTTTCTATCGCAGCCATCTCAACTCGGGCTAACGGTGACCAGCAATATTTGGCGTTGAGAGGAGGTACGCTACTACTGTCATTCCCTGACCAAAGGAGCAATCAACGTTAAATGCAGACGTAAGACTGACAACGATATCCCAGTACTGTGTCCAAGATTGTACAGAAATCCTATCATGGACCACAACCGACAGTGGCAATGAGTGGTCATGCGTCGAGAGTCGAGATCAAGCTTTTGGAGTGGACACATGATTGTCGTAAGAAGGGTATCAAAGTTACACGCGATATGATACGAACGCAAGCTACAGTCCTCGCGAATCCAGCACTGTCTGAATCTATACAACCGCTCCCTAGTACCAGTCCCCCGCAAACGCATTTACCCACGTCCATGTCGAGTCTCAGACCATCAGACACACTAGACCCTTTCCTGGGTCAAGTATCTACGGCAGAATCGCATCTCAGTAATCTAGACCTCGGCCTCCTCTCCCGAACCTGCGCCCTGACGACTGTTCAGGAGGACGAACCCTCGTGCGCAGCCTCCGACTCGATCGGCCCTTTTTGCCAGACCATACAGAACGATTTACCCCACAACATCCTCGACCAGTCTAGCATGTACGATCCAGTGCTCAGTCTTGATACCATGCCTTCATCGCCTCAGACCTACGATAGTTGTGCCTATCCAAGCTCTACATATGCCGAGGTATATGATACAACAGTGGGTGGGGTATGCTCAAGAGATGCTCGGCATGCTTTTGACACTGTTGAGAGCTATGTTTCCAGTTCTTCGGCGATGAGCGCATTGGACCAGCTCTGTTTGAATCATGTGAAGGCCTGTTTATATAGGTGTTAATTTAATGTACGTTATTTTCATGTACAAACAGCTAATTCGAGCGAAGGATCGTGAATATCGTACATTAGGAGTTTCCTGTGAACTGCTTCATGATCAAAAAAACTTTGCACGTCAGGAATAAGCATTGCTAATGAACTACTATTATAACCGAACCTTGCCACCGAATCTCCATCATAACGCATGAGCCATCTGAAGTAAAACTAAAATGTCTTGGCACATCAAATGTCTATCGTCCTACGTGGTGCCGCTACTGTTACCGATATTCGAAAGATCGTCTTCCACACTTTCGCCGAAAAACTCATACACCGCATTCAATACAAGCCCAACCTCCTCGTCCGTCATCTTGTAGAACAACGGCAGACGCGTCAAGCGTGAGCTCTCCTGGGATGTGTATCGATCCTCTCCGTAGAAGCGACAGCCAAGCTTCGTGCTGATCGCGGGCTTATGCAATGGAGTGAAGTGAGTTGTTGTGCTGATGCCCTTCTCCTTCATAAACTTACCAAATGCACCCCGTTTCTCAGAATTGATCAACTTCAACCAGAAAATGTGCGCATTGTGTACGCTCTCTGGGGGCTGCTTCATAACCTCAATCTTTCCGCCCTGTACCAAAGGTTGCAGATAGTTGTGGTATGCATTCCAAATCTGCAGGCGACGGTGCACAATCTTGGTTGCTTGATCAATCTGCGCCCAAAGGTATGCGGCCTGGACCTCACATAGAGCAAAGTTGCTCCCCAAAGACTTCCACTCATAGCCGTTGCTAGTTTCTCCGCGGAAAAACGCCTGGCGATTCGTACCATTGTCGTAAACGATCTCAGCTTGCGCAACGAGCGACGGATCATTGATGAAAACGGCTCCACCTTGGCCACCAGCGGTAATGTTCTTAGTCCCGTGGAAAGACATGCACCCGATGTGTCCGAATGAACCAAGTTGTTTTCCCTTCCACGTGGCATTCGGGCACTGGGCTGCGTCTTCCACAACTAGGAGTTTGTGTCGGTTGGCAATATCCATGACAGTATCCATGTCGCAACCAATGCCGCCATAATGCATTGGAACAATGACTTTGGTTCGGTTGGTGACTGCAGCTTCGATGAGGCGAGTGTCGATATTCATGGTTGTCTTGTCAATGTCGACGAATACGATGCGGGCTCCGCGCAGAAGGAATGCGTTGATCGTTGAGACGAAAGTGTAACTTGGGGCAATGACCTCGTCACCAGGTTCAAGGTCGCAAATAAGAGCTGCCATCTCGAGTGCGCGCGTACAAGAATTGGTCAGGAAAACGGTGCTATTTTCGGTCTGACTCTCGAGAAGCTGAACGACGCGGTCTGTGAACTCGCCACCTCCAGGAAGCGTTGCACCATTGAAAGCTGCACGCCGAACATTGCTAAGTTCCATTCCAACGATGGCTGGCAGATGATAGGGAATGTTGGGCTTGGTGACGACTGGAACATTTGGCGGCTTGATTGCCTCTTTGCCATCGGAAACGAAGCTCTCAAGTCTCGTTGTAGTAAAGGTCGGCCTGAAAGGCTCTGAAGCTACTGAAGGAGACATATGGATCAAACTTTAAGATTGAAGTAGTTGCAGCGAGGTATTGGATAATATTGGATAACGATAAGACGTGATGCTGGATGTTAGGAAATCTGGACATGGAATAAACTCAAATATCAGAACAACCTTTTTATTTTCACCGAGCGTTTCCTGGACGAAATTTCTGATGACCTTATCGCAAATCTCGGAGTTCAAGGTTGACGTAGGTGGAGAGTGGGGAGGAGCACAGGATCCTCTCTCGGTACGATTCCCAAAGCACACCACTGCCGATATTACAATCACCAATTAGTTGGTGATATAATGCATGTGATGTTTAACACGAGTCGGGCTTCCGATTTGTTGCCTGGTAGTTTGAATTCCGAGATCTTAGGCAACTGCAAGGTGGTGGGCATGTAGTGATCAGGCATATCACAACTCAGTGATATCGAGACATGTACACTAATGCAGTGAATATTTGAGCCAATCGGATGCGTTAAGTGACAGAGCTATAAGCAACCCGTTTATCCCGATGTCACTATCTAGTGACATCAAAGGACTAATCCTGAAATCATATCGTACATGGAATCCGGTCCGATTGTACACCAATTTGCCTCTTGTAGTGCTGGATTCCCAACTTACACACTGCAACAAAATATTCACAACATACTAGCCAATTCATCCAATGGCACGAGGAATGAGCGACAATGTCAGTCACGACGCACCCTTCTCTGCGAAAGAGATGGAGAGCGCAAGTTGGAATCTCACCGACGTGGATCGCATGCTCCTCGAACAGACTGATGAGGAGTACGAGCCCCACGAATGGGAAGAATTGAAGACGATAGTCGGTATGATTGCCATCTAGTATCAACGATAGTACAACACTAAACTGCTCCTATAAAAGCCGAGAATAAGCTCGATCTCTTCAAACGTGTTCCGTCACACCTACGCCGCTACCTGCGCTGGTCTATGGCCATCAAACGTCAATACAATGGCATACTCCCATTCATCTGCAAAGAGAGACTCCATTGGGACTACAGCGAATCGGGTATTACCTTCAACAACCCGACTCCCTTTAGTAACACATCTGACTACTGTATCCGCCTTAACGACTGGCCATACGGCGTTGCCCCCGGAATTCATCATCTGGTGGTTTGGTTGAAGACACCCTTTCCTGTTGGTAAAGACGGAGAACTGACTCCCGAGTCTCGCGCTCGGATTGAGACTTTTGTCAGCGCCACGTTCGTGCAGCGCATGGCGGGAGACGGGCATCGCAATGCGGCCGAGGATCGGGTGCTCTGGTTCAAGAATTGGACAGCGCTGCAAAGTGTCTCTGCACTAGAGCATTTTCATGTCATGGTGCGGGATGTACGCGAAGATTTGCTGGAGAGTTGGGTTGGGAAGGACCATATGGAAACCATTGCCCAAGGTGCCTACAAATGTTTTTAGAGATAGAATAGTAATGCATCAAATTATTATTGAAGCTCGTTCACGCAAGGCTCCGTATGTATGACGTAATTAATGAAGCTACTCGTAGGGGAAGTGCCGAGTGGTCAGGACATGCATAATGGATTTGGTCTCTCTAATTCAATGAATAAAGGACGATAAGTGTGCTACAGTCTGATGCAATGAAAGATTATGAAGTAAGCAGGTAATGTTGTCCAGGAGTGAAAACCACCATGCAACACAAGAAATCGCAACACCGACCGGAAATATCCTTGAAAGTCACGGCCGACTTATATCACCAGTTAGTGATATCCTCTACCACCTCCACTGATATCATTTTCCAGTATCACCCTGTTGAACCATCTCTTAACGCACGAGCCTGTAATGATATCATTGTAAGTGAGTGCAAGACTATACAAGAGAAGGCTTCGAGTGCTGATGTCAATATATTATCAATCCAACAACTTCACACTCAACCCTTACTAGTCGCTAATAGACTCCATCACCATAAACTTCAAGTCACACTCTCAAACATGCTTATTGACGACCAACTCACTAAAGTGCCGGTACCAACGAGCGGCGCCAAAGGAATGACCGTTTTCGAAGCGCAAGACGGCCTTTGCAACATCCTGATCACAGGCGGTGGAGGATTCATGTACGTCTTTGAACAGCTACAATATGGTTCGAATCGACTCTGATGTGCAACACAGCGGTTCCCAGCTTGCATATGACCTCGCCGAAACATATCCTGACTATCGAGTGGTCGTGTTTGATCTTTTCAACTACAAGGGCTCACTCAACAACCTCAATAGCCACGTGCACAACCTGAGCATCTTCAAGGGTGACATTTTCAACGACGAGGACCTCAGCACGGCGCTCATGGCGTACAGCATCGATGCCGTCATACACCTCTCAGCGCAGACTTCGGTCGACGCGTCGCTCGCCACGCCGTACGAGAGTGCCAGGGCCAACGTTGTAGGCACCAACGTCGTCCTGGAGAACTGCCTCAAACATGGCGTCAAGAAATTCGTGCACATGAGCAGTGCAGAGGTGTATGGCAAGGCCGACGTTGGAGAAGAAGGGGTGTTCCGCGAGGACGTGTCGCCACGCCCCGTGAATCCATACGGGGCAAGCAAGGCAGCTAGTGAGATGATTGTCCACGGATACCAGAATAGGGGTATCGATACGTTCATCGTGCGGGCTTCGAACGTGTATGGGCCCAAGCAGTTCCCGGATAGTAGGTTCATCCATCGGCCCGAAAAACGTCGTGTAGCGCTAACCGTGTGAGAACTTATCCCCAGGTCTGTCACGCTGCTGCAACATGGCGAGAAGGTCACGATCCACGGCACCGGAGAGGACGTGAAGCATTGGCTCTACATTAGCGATGTGAGCAACGCTTTCAATGTCATCTTGCATCGTGGCGTGCCTGGCGAGGTGTACAATTTGGGTTCTCACTATGCCTCTACTAATTACAACCTCTGCTCGAGTATAATCAAAGCCATTACAGGAGCACCAGACATCGAGCAGTGGATGAACAAGGTGCCTGGACGAGCCGTGGTGGGCAAACCGGTTGGCTTGGGGTTCAGCAAGTTGGAGGGAATTGGCTGGACCCAGAAGGTTGCTCTAGAGGAAGGCGTGGAAGAAACGGTGAAGTGGTATCGTGACAATGCCGAGAAGTGGTGGGGGAACCTTCCGGGCATCCTCGGCATCCCCCCACGGAAGTCTTGTTGATCAGATCCAATTCTAAATTGGGATGCGCAACTTGTTCGTGCATGGTGTCACTCCTTCTACTAGCCATTTTGCCAACATTGTACTATTCGGGAGTTTCGATTACTGTCAAACCCACCGTGACATGCAACCCCTTGTATGATACTCGACCCCCGCACAGCCAACTCAGCACTAGTGATACATGCCACTTATCACCGCATATAGCTAGAATTGGACCGATCCCGAGCATCATCACTTGTTGGTGATAATGCGGCGTCACCTTTTGTTCCGCAACTGAAGGATGCGGATGCCTTGGATTTGGATCGACGTCTAGACGCAGCCAGGTTTCTGATCAACTTCCGACTCATTCCTAGAGGTCCGCTCGATCCACGTTACCTTTGTTGATCTATTTCTCGCCGATCCTCTTATACCCGCTAGTGTTCTGGTACCATAAGAGTTGTTGAGAACTGTATCGTCACACGGTCCCCAATGTTCTGCGAACTGCCATGCATCTGATCGGAACCGAGCTAGGACCGACTGCACTCGACTCTCGTAAGCAAACTGATGCCAATCTAGTTGCAAGCTATGTACCCTAACGTCAATTTCATGCAAGCACTTCCTCTAGAGACACGGAGTACGGTTGCAACATTGCCATTCAGCTTCTGCGCCGCTATTCTAGAAGCTGACCTCCGGCCCCACACGGGAACCTCACTTCTCGCTACCGCAGGCGTGGCGATCTAATTCAATGCTAAGCTCATCGGAAAAGCTTGCATGCTGCTAGTCTTTTATTGTATATGCGCCGTATTGCGCTTTTTCACAAGATTTCTACGTCATTCATTCTGAAGCTCGTCCGCGATGGTTGCGGGTTTGCTCGTACCACATCTCGGACACTTGGAATCTTCCAAGAGAGAACTGCAGCCTCGCTTCAGTGTGTAAAGTACAGCCTCCATCCGGTGGCCAAGGAGATGAGTTACTGACAAGCATGAGCTTAAGGTCGAAGACGCCCGCCTTACGACATTGATAGCTCAATACAACCGATCTTTATACGGGTATTGTACAAACAATAGAGAAGATAGACGATAGTTGGTGGAAGAGTCGGCATCGCAGTATTTACTAAACATAATAAGATACGACTGATGTGTTGTATGTTACATGTACTTCCAAACCCAACCTTAGTCCAGGTTGACTTTCCGTGTAAATCATTGAAGTACACTATTCTAGCCTTCGACATAAAACCCAGCAGCTACCCCCATAACTGCTATTTTAGTAGATATCTATGGAATGTATCAACATACTATGTTCATAGCACAGAGTAATTCACAGTGATCGGTAGTTTTGTTAGTCTGCTAATCGTATGCTTCACGAGAGATAGGAGTGCAGTGTTGACAGAACCAAATCGATGCGTCTGCCCGAGCTTTGCGAATCGAACAAAGCACTGGGGAGACGGCATGGATGAGGAGGATTTTCACGAAGGATATGCTCGAGTTACATGGGCGGCGGGTCGTAAAAGGGATGCGATGGTTGTCTTTGGGATCTGGGCTGGTCGGGCTGGCTGGCTGGCTGCATGGGATCCACGGGATTCATCTGTGTTGGGAGCCTGTATACGGCAAGGGCAACGGGTCTTGGGTCGGTATATGGAGTCTCCGTCGCTGTAAGGCGGTTGCTGCAGAGGAGGGAATAGGTCGACTTTCGCTTCGGTGGGCTGCAAGGGGTGGACCGCACGACGCACTGGGGCTTACCTTCACGTTTCACCTTGACACCACGTATCCGATAAGCAGTGCCATGATCGATCGATGAACATCATAGTGCTCAAATACTAAAGATAATTAGCTCGCAATACCCAGTCCTTCTATTGCGGGTTTCCAAACGCCATATCGCTATGCAAGAAGAGGAGGGGTATACTCTATAGCGTCCACAGACCGCTACGGCGTTTTCCCATGGGGTAGACGAGTAAAGCTGCCATGAAGAGACCAACGGTTATACCGATGGCGATCTGGATCATGGAAGCCGCGACGTTGAAGACGATGGCGTTGAGACTATCGGTAGTAGTCTATGATCCGTTAGTACGTGTGCATACAAAACAATGAGAGTGCTTACATCTGCCGTGGCATTGGAGCCTTTGATTAAGGCGGATGCCGTATGAAGTGCAGAGTTGATGCTTCCACTGGAGGCTAGACTACCGGGAACTTGAACATATACGGCCGGTAAGAGTACGGCGGCTGCAACTCCGTGACGCAGTCGGCTATATAGATTGGCAAGGACGCCGATGGTAAAAGCTCCGAATGTATACGCGATGGGCGCACTGGAAGAGAATTTCTTATTGGCGTAAAAGTTGACCACGTAGCCTGCGAATGCAATGATGATCATGACCGGCATTTGTTTGTACTTGGCCTGTACAGTGAAGGTTGTAAAGAAGACATATAGGGGAACAAAAAGAAAGTTCCAGTATGGGTTCAATGGGTTTTGGCACTGCGTTGCGTTTGTGGCATTTGAGTCGATGGCTCCATAGATGGCAGTGCCGACAGTGATGCCATAACCAAGGAAAAGGGAGTAGATGATGGCGAAGACGAGTCGAACAGAGCCTGGTACGATGGCGCGGGATTGGAGCTCGAGGGCAGCGCTTAGGACGAGCTGTGAGGGTTAGCAAGGTGGATGAATATGAGGTAAGGAGCAGAAAACCTACCCATCCAGGGAGTATCATGGCGATGGCGCTTTGTGCTATGGCGGAGAAGCAGAAGATGGTGCCATTGTTAATACTTCCAAAGGCACGCGCAAGGAAGCTCATCAAAATAGTTGCAGTGATTTCAAAGACAGTGCTGTACGTCTTGGACAGAGGCGCAATGACCAACTGAAGTACACCAAGGACGCATCCAAGGGCAAGGATGATGGGCATGTCGATCCAGCGAGCCTTGAAGAAGACGGAGACGGCTGCAGAGGCAAGGCCATACATGATGACCGTCAGCCATAACGGGTGGCAGTCCTTGGCATTTATGACCGTGTCCAGTCGAGAGAGTGCTTCGTCCAGGCTAATGACGTCGTGCAAGACCTCTTTGTATATCTCGTGCGTGTCCTTGAGCTTGCCGAGGTTAACGCCCTGAACAGTGCGGACAATCTTGACTTCGGCTGTGTGCGTGAGAGCGTCATCAAATGAAATAATCATACAGCCGGGGATATAGAGAAACTGGCTGTTGATCTCAAGTACCTTGGCTGTAGTGGCGAGATATTCCTCCAAACGATGAGTCGGGGCGCCGAAGAGCATGAGGGCACGGCACATGCGGATAATGTACTGTTGGCGCTTGAGGATGTCGGCAACGTGGACTTTGATCCTCGCGTCGTGATCGTCCTTTCCTTTCAACACCTTGGCGAGGAGGCCGGCGCTGCTGGTACGCTTGTGATGGTGTGGACGCATGGCGGCATCCTGCCTGTCGTTGTTGGGATTGGCCAGCTTGGCCGAAGCGCCAACGAGGGTAGCCAGCGTCTCTTGCGATTGCGCCGCCTTCTCTGTCTGGTACCACTTCTTCTTAGACGGCGTCGCAGTGCCTGATGAAGTATCAGGTCGTATCGCGGGCGAGTCAGTACTGGGAGTCGACATCGCGTCGGTAAAGCCACCAACGGGCGTCTTGTAGGCCTGGAGCAATTGGTAAAAGACGCCGCCATTGGTGTTTCCCGTGACAGCATAGCTCTCGTCGGCGTCTGTCTCGCTCGAGGGCAGCGCATAAGAAGACCTTTCTGTCGCGCCATGGCCCTCGTTGTGTGCCTTCCATTCTGGTAGGTCATATTCGCCATAGTGTGCCTTCCATAGCTCTTCGGCGTCGGCTGTGTGCCGGTCGTGCTGCTCTTGGTTGTGGTGAAGAGAGTCGGAATCGCTGAGCCTACCGTAGGTGCTACGGTGCTCGATGGGAGGGATATGGGCGTTTGCGGAGCTGTTGAAGCGGACTCTGGTCCTGCCCGTCGAATGCTCGGCTGGTATTAACGGCGACGGGTATGCGGGCGAGAAGGGTTGGAGCTCGTGCGATTCGGGGTGGGTTTCATCTGGCAAGTGGGTCGAAGGGGGTTCCATTGTAGGGCTATGGAAGTGGGAGCTGTACGCTTGCTATTGCTATACAGGATGCAGACCACTATAAAGAGATGCAGCGGATTGGTGCGGAAACCCTCTTGGGGAGCCCATAGGTTTTATGGCGGCCAGTGGCGGCACCAAACATTGGCGTTAGTCATTGCGTTGGGTTGCGATGTGGATCCGACCAAAAATATACTCTCTCGTACCGACGTGTCTCGAGGAGAGTGACAGGAGGCGCCGGAAGGGGGAAAAACTACGGCGGATGCAGAGCCGCAACGCGTGGCTCTGGTCTAGCCATGACGCCATTCAAATTCTTGTCGACTGGAATGTCATGGGAGTGAATAATTGTACTAATATAACACAATGGGGAAAGGTGTGGTGGGTCACGGCATCCTATGCGATTGGCTTACCTAGGAAACGGCCGACACACTACGGCGCGTTAAGCTTCCCCCACATTTGCATGAAATGCCTATGCGAGTCCATGGTGGGTGCTCAGATGTGGCACGTACTCTTATTTTATTTCTTCCTCTTCGTCTCCTTTCTTCCCCGTCAGACGGTTACCGCGAGGCCTGGTCTGGCCAGAAAAAGAAGACATGTATCGCCAAGTCGCCGCGAGATGGTCGTCATCGCAGATTCACCGTTATTGCGGTCCTATAATTCGTCCGTAGCCTGCGGGGTTTGCATACTCTTGCGGCAGGAGCATGCTTCACATGCCCCCTCTGTCCAATAGACGCCTTTCGACTTGACAGACCTTCCTCAACGAGCGCGGGAGGATGCTTTCTTTTTCACGGACAATTTATCTGATCATCTTATCTACTGATCGCTGATCTCCGATTAACAGCCGGTACTGCGGCAATCTGATAAAATGCGGCGGCCTGCCCTGGGCTGTTTCTACCCATCTTGAAACACTTTTTTAACTCTCAGCCTGCTAGGTTGAAGCCTCGAGGAGAGCACCATGTACTCGGCAATCGCCTTTCTGGCTGCCATCGCCGCATCCATCGTATTCCTCACCCGGCGGTATAATGCTCTCTCACATCTATCTACAGTAAGTTCTGAGACGATGGATGGTGCGACCATGCTCCTTATCCTAGGCTAGGCATACCTTCATCTTAGATACCCTATCAAGTCCGCAGACGGTAAAGAAGGTCTGCCAACATTGCCATTCAACTGGCCGAACGGCCAAGGCAACATTGAGAAGTACCTGCGCGGTCGCGAGAACAGTACGAAATGGGGGTCCCAATACGGCTCCATCTATCGGATATGGTCTGGATTCCATGGCGAAATGTGAGAAACCGTGGCATCCCAATACATAGAGCTCACACTGATGACTTCACAGCATCCTGACCACACCCAATGATATTGAGACCGTCTTCCGCGACTCGCACACCCATCTCAAAGCCAACGCAAACGACAGCGGCCACTACATGTACCAGCTTCTGGGCATATGCCTCGGGCTCGTCAGTGGTCAAGAGTGGAGGTCCTTGCGAAAAGCGACTGAAGCACCGTTTACACGAACCGCAACAACAACCTACGTTGAAGGCATGATGAACCATGCAAAGCTACATATCGCTTCTCTTTGCGAGACCAAGCCTGAAAAGTGGCAGCTCCGGCCTTATGCTGATCTGAGAATCTACCCTTTCCTTGCTCTCGCCGACATTCTCTATGGTACAATATCATCTGAGCTGAAAGCGCGGCTCCTGGAGATCATCCCTGGACGAGACTCTGTTTTTGCACACATGATGATGGGCGGCGTAACACGCTACCCTTGGGCGAAGTACCTGCCACTCAAAGCCAACCGCGAGATGCGCCAATTCAAGCAAGCATGGGCACGCTGGAATGACGATGCCCACGCCGAAGCCATGAACAAGGTTGAAAAAGGAGAATGCGCTCCGATCATAGTCATGTACCAAGCCGTCGCCAACGGAAGCATATCGCGCGAAGCACTCCTGCAAACCCTCGATGAAATGCTCTTTGCCAATCTCGACGTGTCCATCGGCGCACTAGCATGGTCCTTCGTCTTCATCGCCGCATACCCCCACGTCCAAGCGCGCCTTCTCTCCGAGCTCAAGACCGCCTTGGTAGACCCTGAGAGCACTGAGACTTATCTAATGTCCCAATCAAATTACCTGCACCATATACTCCTCGAAGGCAGCCGTCTCCGCCCTGTCGCCGCTTTCTCTGTTGCCCAAGCCTGCCCCACTCAACGACAAGTTGGCACCTACAATCTTCCCGCTGGCTCTAAATTCGTCGTTGACGCGCACGCACTGAACGTCCGAGACCCGTTGTGGGGCCCTGATAACACTACCTTCCGGCCTGAAAGGTGGGCTGAGGGTGGCGTCAAGCGGGCCAAGGATGTGCGGTATTGCTACTGGCGATTTGGGTTTGGGCCACGAGTGTGCTTGGGCAAGTATGTTGTGGATTTGATGATGAAGGCGTTGATTGTGCAGGTGGTGAGGGGGTGGGAGGTCAAGTTGGAGGATGAGAAGGGTGGGGCGTGGGTGTGGGAAGAGGATACGTGGGCGTTGCCGCCAGAGTTGAGGATTGCGTGTGAAAAGAGACGGGAGCGATGATCAATTTTGATGATTATCAAGAGGTAGAGCGGCACGGATTGGATTCGTGCGAGGGCTGAGAATAACTGTGAGTGATTGAGATGAGATTAGATTGATTACCGAACGAACTTTGCAGCCTAGAGATTATCCGTCTTCTAAGGTCATTACACGTTCACGGTTGGGTTCTTATCATCTCTACGATTGGTTGAGAGACCTTATGAGCTCTGAACCCTCTTTTCTTCTCTCTCTTCTTTCTCACTGCACCTTTCCCCCTTCCCTTTGCGCCGTGGACTTCAAGCCCAACAAGACTATACCAGACTAGACCAGACTAGACCAGACTCATTACAACCAGCTCTCTTTTCTATAGAGAAGCCGGTTGAGGATCGTCCGGGTTCGCTACGTAGCTAATTCTGCCCGCAGGGAGGAAGAAAAGCGAGACAAGACGGCCGCCGCGAAACTGCGGATAGCTATGAATACAGTCAGTCACTGAAAAGAGAAAAACTAATCTCAGCAGCACACACTGATGCGTCCCCGGGACCGGACTAGTCCACCCCGCGCCCTGCTACCCCTGCATACCCTTCAACTCAGCCCCGTCGTCAATCTGCACCACACAGTTGATCTCACCATAAGGATGTGAGTGATGCTGGCCCGAGAACTCCTCTCGCGAGTCTACATAAACGGCTGTAATGCTGAAGAAGCGCGTCGCTTCTGTTGGTCTAGAGATTCTTGATCATCGATAGTGAGGTCCGTCGATTTCAATGGTAGCAGCCCAGCCTTCCTCTATACCCTGCCGCGTCAGTGAGCCTAGGTCCTCATAGATAGGGTGGCCAGGCCCGTAGTTTGTGTTGAGGTAGGCTTCGAGGTGCTTTCCTGGCGTTCTGGTATTATCAGCTAAGAGCTGAGTAGAGCTGAGTAGGAGCATACAGGTTTTCTACTACAGCGAGGAAGTCTTGACATCGTTGAAGGAGTTTTAGTGCGGTTGGATGTTGTGCGAAATCTACCTCTACAACTGGCGCATTATTTGATGTCTCTTGTTGCATGGCTGGTGGAGTGCAGCAGTTACAGTTCAAGAGTGCGGGGAGAGTGCAAGGTTGTTTGAGCACAGGGTAGTTCTAGATAATGGATCTAGCTGAGAATATTCAGATACGTCATTTCCACTCATCTTCGCATGAGCTGCTCCACAAAGGTTCTCTTGAGCGCAGGCGTTAAACTTTAGTATAGTAAAACCTAAAAGTATTTTAAGAACGGTTTACTGCAGCCTAGCGTAGTAATAACAGCAAGGGACACGAATTAGGCGGTTTACTAGCAAGCTAAACCCCCTTCAAGTGAGAGGAATTTGGCTATAATGGAGTTTCCCGACGCAAGGGAAACTGCGACATGGTAGCGACTGAAACAACTGACGCGTGAAAGTAAACAACGTGCGAGATAGCTCCTGCGTTATCCAAAGACGGCAAGATGCATCTCTCTATATTTGCTTGCTTGGCATGGTCCACAGTTGTCATTACATCACTCGTTCCTCCACTTGGTTACGACCGAAGAGTATTGCGGGCCGCGTTTGACAGACGCGAATTCGTTGGAACGCTTTCCTGTTTAACCGAAGCTGCAAATACAACAACAGCACCCAAGAGAAACCCATGGGCACCTTTGACTCCGAAGGAGAACCTCGCGGTCTGGAATCTACTACATGAAGCTGCGTCCGGTCTCAATCTGACCCATCCCACCGAAGCAAAACTTACCGACAACTACGTGTACGTTGTGCTTCATGATAATTGTGCTTCACTAATGCGTACTAGGTTCTGGGTGGATGTTCTGCCTACCAACAAGAGCGCCGTCTTGCCATACCTGGACAAAGGTGCAGCAATCCCAGCTAAATATGCCCGAGCAATCATCTTCCAAGGCGGAAAAGCCAAACCTGATTCCCAAGAGTACATGATTGGCCCTCTTCCAGTGTCTGCAAAGACCACTGTTGAGAAGCTGGACTATATATATAATGGTCCTTCTGGTGGGTCGGTCCCCTACAACGCTAGATACTTTGATGCGCAGAGATCAGACGCAACTGATCCTCTCATTGCTTCGATCATGTCGAACATCTCGGACATTACACAAGCTCTCTTCCAAGGAGCGTACTTCGGGTCGAGAGATTTGAGGACTAATATTGCATTGACCTCTGGAACACCAGAATCCTTTGATGGCACTGGCGCATTTCGCAATATTATGTTTCGGCTTCGAGGTTCAGCAACCTACATGACGCCGCTGGACTTCTACCTTTTGATTGACTGCACAGGAACCGATGCTTCTCTCTACTCCCTAAAAGGCTTCGTGACCAACGAGAAGTTCTTTCCCACCGTTTCCGATCTTCGACGTGCTTTCAAAGCGGGAGAGCTGGCCATGGAGTTTAACCAGACTCTAGACGGAGACTGGGCCTCGCCCGACTACAAACTTGAAATGGGGTTGCGTGACTTGGAAACACATCTTGCGCCGAGCACGCTTGAGCTTGGTGGCAAGCGATACAAGTTCGACAAGGATAACCAGTATGTTGAATACATGGGCTGGTCTTTCTACCTATCCTTTTCCCGAACCCTTGGAATTATGTTCTACGATATCAAGTTCAAAGGCGAACGTATTCTTTATGAGCTGTCAATGCAGGAGGCTACCGCTCAGTATAGTAAGTGCATCAAAATCTTGAATATGCGATATTCGGAGTAACCTATCATTAGCTGGAAACCAACCTAAAGCTGCAAGCACGGTCTACCACGACACTCACTACGAGCTTGGTACCGAAATGGGTACCTTGGTTGAGGGCTTCGATTGTCCATGGGGTTCAACATTCTGGAACATCAGCTATCCATCTTACAACACGACGCAAGTTAACCCGAACTCAATCTGCATTTTTGAGACCGAGTTGAATTTTCCGCTCTCGCGCCATCGCACGGGTTTCTCCAACGATTATGGGTCCAGTTACGTCGTCAAGGGCGCTGCACTTATCGTCCGGGCCATCGCTACTGTCGGCAACTACGACTATATGTTTGACTACTCGTTCCACATAGATGGCTCGCTTGAGGTCATCGTAAGAGCTTCTGGCTATTTGCAGGCGAGCTACTACTACCCGGCTCAGGGGAAGTATGGACCTAGAATTCAGCAAGCTACTCAGGGTTCACTCCATGACCACATTATCACGTACAAAGCCGATTTCGATATCCTTGGAACCTCCAACTCGCTTCAGGTCTCGGAGCTCAAAGCAGTGAACCAGTCTCAGCCGTAAGTTAGCAAGCTTCGTTGGTGACCGTCAGAGAACTCGATGCTAACGCAGTCTTCCCAGTTGGTTCCCAGAGCTCGGTACGTTCGAGCAAATGGAAATGCACATCCACAACATGAAAAAAGAGAAGCAATTCAATTATGCCCCCAACAATCAAGCGATGTACGTTGTTGTCAGCCCAAACGCTACCAATGTTTGGGGCGAATTGCGCGGCTACCGCATCGTGCCGGGGCACTCCAACATCCACTTATCAACCCTCCATTCTCCTTGGTCCCTCCGGAATTCCGAATTTGCAAAATCGCATCTCGCCGTCACACGCCAACATGACAACGAACCCTTCGCCAATAGTGTTCAGAACGTTAACCTCCCCCTACGACCGCAACAAGACTTTAGCAAGTTCTTCGATGGTGAGTCCGTGGAGGACGAAGACCTGGTGGTCTGGTTCAATCTAGGCATGCATCATTTTACAAGAAGTGAGGACGTGCCGCTCACCCTGTACACTGAGGCTTATTCGAGCATCGTGTTTGCGCCGCAAAACTTCTTCGACAGGGCGCAGGATGGGGATCTGCTGAACCGGGTTCAGGTGGATAAGGGAGTGGATTCCATGTCTAAGACTTACGGTGTGCAATTGGACACCTGCCCAGTCGTCTTTAAGGAGCGAACGGAACTCTCAGGGGAGGACAGTGATATATCGACAGGAGCAGAAGTATGAGCTGTGGGTAGACTAGGGCAGTAGCTACTTGCTTTGTAAGCAACTAGCTTATCGATAACACGCCACGCACTCACATGGCTCCTAGGGATGCACTGCATGTAACCAGGACCCCGAAATCCGTCTTTCTTCACAGCCTTCGTGTAATCAAGCACAGCCAGTGCATGTATGCAGTTACGTCGTTTCTATGCTCGCCTCTCTCTTGCCTACTGTCCGTAGTCGTGCGCCCGTGCACCATCCCTTGTTCAAGGCGTCTCCTGATGGGATGCACAGGGATCGCGATGACTTGCAATCCGCCTCATCAAAGCTTTACGCCATGTCTTGGTGCGAGTGTGAGCCTTTGGCGGTCGTATTGCCCCCTGATAGTCTGCTAAATCGCCGGTCGAGCTTCAACATACCTCAGTTCAGCTTCATCGAGATTATCCAAACGGCAGCTACATGAGAAACGATTCTTTGTCTGGCAAGATGTCAACATCCCGAGCCGGCACGTGTATTCAGATCGTCCTATTCAACCACGGCCCCATATTAGGATTTGCAAAAATACTGCGTCCAATTATCGTTTTCCAAACTCCGCCTCGATATTCTTGATCTGCGCTAGTACCCATCGATGCCTGTCCCACCCGCGCCCACGTGGCTCAGGCAACGAGGCAATTGGCTACACATTTATATAGAGTACCGTTCATCTACAGCCGCCCCTCCTGTTCGGATCAACTCTAGCCTTGCATCCCAAGGTTTCTGTTTGACCCTAGACCTTGACATCTCTGAGGGTACACTCCGGACGCGATAGCCAAGATGCAACAGATACAGCAGAAAGAAGAGGAACGGTACACAGACGGATTTGCGGAGTACGGGAGTTTCTATGGGGGGCCAGCCTTCAACTATCTTGCGCCATCTAAAGCAGCTACGTCCACGATTCAAGAGCTGCCTGCTCAGCCAGTTCACAACAGAATCCGGCCAACGTCTACACACGCGAACGCCAACTTCTATGGAGTGGCTACGAACGCGCCTCTAATAAACAATGCAGCAGAAGGTCTCCGGTTGGCCACTCCGCACTCCAGCTATAGCCCACCACCACCCTATGCCAAAGGCCTCATCGTCAACCCTCGATATAGAAAGTCCAACCTGGTCTGTTCGATACCTCCTCCACTAACACCGCTCAACTATGTACACAAGGCTTCAGGTGATGATCCTCATCTTTACCAGTTCCCTCAAACACCAAGCAGCCCGGATTTTCAACAACAATTACCGCAGCCTTATCAATCCCCCCAGCCGCTGGGTGACCCATACTTTCAACCGCAGCCTACTCAGCCTTTACCACCAACGCCCCTGCGGTTTCCTAAGCGATCATCAACGCTCCCTCCAACTCCAACCATGTCTTTTGGAAGCAGCACTAGCAACGAAGATGGCTTTCCTGAAAGAATGCAATCTCTCTATGTCTCCGACCAATACCCAGAATTTTTCAGGTCCACTGCCGAGCCACCAATGTTTGCCCCTGGTACCCTAGCACGCATGAACACTATGGGTAGTATGAGCAGTGGTCGCAATTCTACGCACGTTTCGTCACCTGCTCAGAGCATGCTAGCCAGCCCCTTTGGTGGTCAACAGAGAATTTCGGTTGCACCTTCCACTATGAGTCAAGACAGCGAAACCCCTGAGATGAGTGCGAACGATGCGCAAGCTGAAGTGTTGCGTCGACTTGGTAGTAAAGAGGACACGTCAACCGGGAAAGGACCCACCAGCTCAACGAAGAAGGGTTTTACACTCAGACGAACAAATACGACCCCGAAGACAGCTAGTGGTCCCTCTCAAGATGCCTTGACAGATTTACTGGAGGAGGTTGCGCTCGAAGGTAGTCTTTCGCTTGTCAAGGCTGTCATCGCACTTGGCGCGGATCCCATATATCGATCGACTGGGAAACTGAAGAAAGTCAAGCACGAAGCACTGCAAAAAGCAACCATTAATGGACGTTCCAAGGTAGTCGATTTTCTGCTTCAAAAGGGGGCTTCATACGGCGAAGCCGCAAAGAAAAGTATATATACTCCCCTTGACCGGGCGCTCTTGGCAGCTGTATACAAGGGCCATGCAGAACTCGCCGCCTGTCTCATCACCTCTCATGGCGCAAACCCGATGGTCGAGCAATGGCCCAGAGAGATGTACGACACACAGCACTATTGGGCGGAAAGCCAGGTACGGCTCTCGAAGACAAGTGTGCTTGACGGCATATCCAAATGGAGGAACGTAGACCGCGGCATGAACCTTCTCAAGGTCATAATGCAGCACCCCAAATTCAATCCTACAGCGCTTGTTTCATGCGTATTCGATACCAAGAGCGAGTTGCAGACCGCCGAATTCAACTACAGACCATGGCAAACAACATATGAATATTCTGCTTTGGCTTGCTTTGTGAGATCTGGTTGGGCAGACGCAGTCGAGGAAATGTTAAGCATGAAAGGCGAGCCCAAGGACTACGAGAAAGAAGATGAGGTCTTGCAGTATCAAGACAAAGTGGCACGCCACATATCCCCAGTCAACGCCCTTACCAAAGATACATGGGAAAAGAGACCAGAAGACGCAATCCGCATCCTAAGGTTCCTTCTCGACAGAAACTTCGACGTTAGCCTCGCCCAGCGTACAGCCTCCGACATGGGCCAACGAACCGCACTCGGTCGTGCCCTTTCAGCAGATGCAGCACAGGGTGTCGAGCTCATTCTGCAGAGCAAACCTGGTTTAGTAAGAGAAGAGATCTCGTTCCGCAGAGACAAGCAAGAGACGAAGGGTCTCCCCCTCACTGCCGCCCTCTGTCTAGACCGTCTAGAGACCGCCCGTGTTCTACTCCGCGCCGGAGCGCACCCACGCGACCCAGCACTTGAAGATATGAACGTCCTCCAATTCGCTGTGCATCAAGGCGGGGAAACAAACACATCTATACTCGCGGAGATGATTGGATTATCGCCGGAATTGACATATGATGCGCTCGGTATAGCTATCAAGCGGATAAACAAAGACGCGGTTCGCGTTTTGCTGGATTTTATATCGGCGGCCGCGCTGCGCGGACAGATTGCTGCACTGCCGCCTTTGTACGACATGCTACTTCAATGCGAGGACTTTGACAAAGACGATGTGACGAAAGAGAATTATTTGGCACTTATCAGTATGGTGGTAGCGTGGGATGCATACCGTGCACTGGAACGACCTCAACTTTCTGCAATCTTGTCGGCGATCCGGAAAGACAATTATGTGGGCATGGAGAAGTTGCTGGATTTAAAGGTCGTAGATGGGAAGAGCTTGGTGCTAAATAGTAAGGCACAGCCGCATGGAGAGCAAGGGTTGTGGACGATGCTGGAGTGTTGTGAGTTAACTAATAGGAGTAATGAGTGGTTGGGGCTGCTGAGGCACTATGGTGCACCGCTGTATCAATGATTGTAGACGAAGTGAGAGATATGTACAGATTCTTCTTTGTAATTTGGTTTGGAATGTGGGATTTTACCGGGCGTTTTTTGGCGAGATACCATAGAGGCGATCAATCCACCGGTTTTGGGTCTCCACTAGGTGTGTGACTTGAAGGCAACACATCTACTGGCTTCCGACTCCATTTCCCCTTAAACTTACCCCCTTGCTGCTTGATCCTCTCCTTCTTCTCTTCAGCCATCCATTCCCCTCGAAATCTTTGCCTTGGTCTCTCGGCCCGCTCTTTAGCCATTCTCGTTTTCGTATGTTCATCTCTACCATTAATATGACCATCTCTCAACGGATTCGCCTCAACCCATCTCTCAAGCTGTGGTCTAAGTCTGCCTCCCCACACATCTTCGCCCGCTTCAAGATCAGTGTAACTAATTGCAGATATGAGATCCAGTGACTCGGGTGGCTTCTGGATCGTAAAGGTTGCTTGTCGAGTGCGAAGTAACGATGACATGTGAGACCGCGACTGGCAAGCAAGACCGAGGTCGTGCGCGAAGCTGCGCACGTAGAAACCGGAGGATACGGTGAGTCTGATGCGCGCTGCGGGCGCTGGAGCAGGCGAGTTCTCGCCGGGCCAGGCGATATTATGCTGCCCAGCTTCGTTCCATTCCAAGAGTGTACACTCATCAACTTGCATCTCCCTACTTTCCAATTCCCGTGGTAGCTCTTTCCCCTGGCGCACGTACTCACATGCCTTGATACCATTGATCTTCAACGCAGAATACACAGGCGGCTGTTGTTGGATCGTCCCTCGGAATTGTGCTAGTTTCTCCTCGACCATCTCTTTCGAAACATGACTGTACTCCGCTAGCTCAGTGGTGACTCCAGTGCAGTCATAAGTGTCAGTGCTTGCGCCAAATATGACCACTGTCTCGTAGGTCTTGCTGCAAGCTAGATATTGCTGGAGGTGCTTTGTGCCTCTACCAATTCCCACGATCAGGACGCCGGCAGCCAGCGGGTCCAGCGTTCCGCCGTGACCCAGCTTGAAGACTTGGTGGTCATCTTTGCTAGGTCGTTTGGGTTGGTGGTTAAGAAGTGGTGCGAAGAGTTGGGACGGAGCAAAGGTAGCCTGCAGTTTTTCGAGTACATCTGCAGATGAGACGTGGGCGGGTTTGGTCACAGCTGAACGACGTTGAGCATTAATTCATATAGACGGGATTATATGGCATACCGAAGACTCCCTCGAGAACCTTTTCAGCGATTTGTTCCATCGATTGTGCATGGTGACGAACCGAAGCTGCCGCACGCTAGACATGTTCTCCGTTCTGATGTGGAAGCGACCAAGCTACAAGCGCTCTAGCTGGTCCACTTTTCTCCAGGGCACGCCTTACGCCCTACACCTGGGCATCGCGTGCGCCTATCTCGTACCTAGACATACTGTAGTTGAAAGAGGCTGTACCATAGTTTATCACAGCGCTTACGTCAGTCTGGCGGTCACGCTGAGATACACATTTTGGTTGTCGCGACTGCAGGTTCCAACTTGCCTTACGCCCTACCCTACATCTTCCCACTTTAGCATCAGTAACAGTCCACAACCATGGATGAGCAACAAGCAGACAGCTGGCAAGCGCCGCACTGGAGCGACGAGACGATTGACCCTAGTTGGTTGTCCAATTTTGATTCTCTCGATTTCGATTTCAATACACTCGATCTTGCACAGGAGTCGGCGCCCATCCAACCTTCGATGTCCAGCATTAACAACCCGGCCATGATGGAGAATCTTGGAATCGATATCTTCTCACCACCAACTAGTGCACTCCCGCCTACGGGGTGTACGCTAGACGCTGCTTCCTGCCAGGCAATGGCACAGTACGAGCGTTCACTGGAGCAGCGTCAGAATTCACTCCCTCGCAGGCGTAGTAAGTATCAGCTGCGGAGGTCAGGAAGCGGAACAAAGACCGTTCCTATCGCGATTCCTAGAGCCAGCCCACAACTTAGGGATGTGCAGTCTCTCGCTATGCAACGATGGCAAAACTCACCACCCGAAGACGAAGCAGCTTCTCTGTCCGCCATTTACAATGCCCTGGAAAGTGGGCCCTCGAGCATCTCAGCAAACGCCAACCACACTCAACGTAAAGATGCGTTTTATAAGCATCGCGGTCATTCCTCTACCACAAGTATCGACAGTGGGGCGAGTGAATCCTCTCTACGGTCATGGAATTCAAGTCACTCCGCTGCCTCGAAGACGAGTCCCCGCAGCCATACTCCGAGGACACGCCGCAGTGGCAAGGGGAAATCAAGGAACATGAATGCAGCAGATCGCAAATTCAAATGCACATTCTGCTGCGATACATTCAAGCACAAATACGACTGGACACGGCACGAGAAGTCGCTCCATCTAAATATGGAGGAGTGGATTTGCGCGCCTCATGGAGCTTCAGTTGTACTGCCTCTGACTGGTAGAAACCACTGCGCATACTGTAGCGCCCTCGACCCCACACACGAGCACCTGCAACAGCACAACCATTTTGCCTGTCTCGAGAATCGCTCTAACCCCGCCGTCTTTCGCCGCAAGGACCATCTAGTCCAACATCTTCGTCTCGTCCATAAACTGGATACACTTCCGCTAATCGACGATTGGAAGATCGAGCTCATACCAATTGCTTCCCGCTGTGGATTTTGCAGTAGGACAATGAACAGCTGGGACGAGCGCATAGATCACTTAACTACCCATTTTCACGACGGAAAGACGATGGCCGACTGGAAGGGCGACCATGGTTTTAATTCTGCTGTTACCGCTCGAATCACCAACGCCTTCCCACCCTATCTGATCGCCGCTCAGTCGACCACGCTGGTTCCCTTCTCGGCGACAGATCCAGCATCCTTAGACCACACGAAACAACTCCTATCACAGATGACTCTCGGAGTAGCATCCCCGCCAACTCTACCAACCCTACCAGAGCCGACTCCCCATGTCCAAGGCTTTTCATTCTCAGAACCCGGGACCTTGCCATCCCATCAAGAACTAGACACGTCTCTAGTCTTGGATGTTTTGACACGCCATCTCAGCCAATTCGCAAGACAGCAGATGCTCGCGGGAATTCTCCCCACTGATGAGATGTTCCAGCGGGAGTCGCGGCGCGTGCTGTATCAGTGTGAAGATGACGAGTGGAATCAGACGGTGGCTGACGATCCGAATTGGCTAGAGCAATTTAGACTTCAGACCGGTTTTAGTGGGGGTTCCAGCGCGTGAAGACGATATGTTCACAAGGGTAGTAACAGATTTCAACGGCATCCATTCACTCATTTTCCAACTTGCACACACGATGTCCAATAACCACGTACTCAATGTGCCTCTACACTGACACTACTGCGAAACAGCCTGCGATATAGAGGCTTCAGAAAGTCATTCCGACCGGAAAGGGGCTCATCAATCTTTCTCCCTAGACACCTTTGACGATCTGATGGATAGTGAAATTCCACTGAAGAGTATGAAGCTGCTCTAGCACACCCGACCCCAACAAAGATCTGAGTATGCATACCGCTGCACTTTACCAACGTCAGCAAGCATACGTCTATAGTCAGGGCGACTTTGACGTGACTCAAGTTACCAAGCCATGCTCGCAATCCTTCTTCGTCCACCGGCAATTTTAGAGGGTGTGTGATCATAGCACACAAAACCACTTTGTTGGGCCATGACAGATGCTACTTATCCTCGACCTGGTATACACATATACCGCCTTGCTGTTTGGTCTAGCACTTCAGCCCTTCAACTGTCATGTCAAGCAGCGACGCTGCTTGGATAAGATCTGCGACTTTAAACTATTTAGTTGGACTCTAGAGAGTTGGTACTGTATAGTTGAATGATCTGACTGAACGTGGTATGCCATGGGTTCTCATAAATGGGGGATTGAAAGCGCTGTTATAGGACATTGGTAAAAATCGAAACACGTAGTGTTGTCGCTACTTCCCCGACGGAGGAGTGTTTTATGCGACTCCCTCATTGGGAAGAACTTTCGTTCTTGTGTGCTCACATTTCTTTGCGACAGGCAAGACTCATAGAATACATTTAATTATATTCATTAACTCTCTCGGTATTCACCCAATCCGTCGCTAATAGTATAGGGGGCGGCTCCGAGCGCTTCGAAGGCCCTATTATTCCCCGTCCTGTACGCCAGCTTGACATAGTGTCCCAGAAGTTCAAGGTGAACGTCCATGTCTCCACAGTGTGCGGCATGTCTGGATAAGTGTCGATAAACTTCAGTCCCATGCCTGGTATACCAAACGCCCCGCTTCAAGTCAAACTACGTATTGTATGCTCTTCTTCTCACTCGTAATCTCTCCCGCACACATGGCGGAGAGCCTCACGCTAGGCAGAGGTAGGTCTCTCAGTTGTTGTGGGGCATGCCCCTTATCGTCGGGTGCCCTCGGATTTAGTTCGATGTAGTGGCTTCATTATAGAGCCAGTCTCTCGCGGTTGTGGATGGCTCAGTCGTCCTTGAAATTGCGGCAGCGAAGACCGTGTATCCTGGTTCCCCAGCCGATGCTGGCCAGGTTGTTCACGCCATCGGCTATGAGCAGGTATTGGTCCACGTCGCCTTTGCAGTCATAGTTGCTGTCAAGATCAGCATGGCGCGCAATTAAGAACAGATCCAAGCGACGTACTCGTAGAAGCGACAGGCCCAGTAGTCATCCCGCTGTAGCACCGTAGCGACATCGTGGCCGCCGACCAGGATGGATTGCACTCGCCCGTCAATTCTGGGCGATGTTAGTAGAGGCAGAAGGCCCACGAGAGGGCTTATGCGTACAGATTGTTGTCGAGCGAGAGGCACTGGTTGTTGTAGGCGTCGACGGAAACCTCGGAAAGAAACGAAGGCGTCGCAAACAACTGCACCTTGATGCGCTGTTTCATTACCGTGTCGTCGGCTGTCGCGAGATGGGCCCACGCCAGCAGGAAAGTCGTCAAGGGAAGGCTGCGCATCGTAGCGAATGCATGAAGCCTTTACGGTCGTCGGTCGGGGGTGGAAGGTATGGGGCGAGGTTGGCCGGCAGTCAGGGAGAGAAGTGAGTCCATGACGGCGGTTGGAGTGGGACCTGGGCGCCCGGGTTACTGTCCGCTACGGCCGCCGGGTGGCTGCACATGCACTGCACTGCCTCGCCAACTTACCGCCTCAGGCATAGCACCGTGGAGAAGACCGGGACATCCACACTTACCTACCAGCACCACAGTTTATGCAAGAAATAATGGAGCGCGAAGAACGACGACTAGTTTCGCTGGGGTTGGCATCGCGACGCACTATATAGAGCCGGTGGCGTGGGCCGGGGCGTTCCCGAGGCGCTCGAGAGTGCAATATCAACGTACATGAATATCTTGAGCAGCGCCTATTACCACCAACATGGCTATACGAGGACTCATTGCCTCAAGCACAAGCACCAGCTTGGCATTATACATGCAGTTGCCAGACGGCCGCCGCACGGCCTCATCATGAAGGACATATCGCTGAACAATCCTCCCAGATTGTTTCGACACCTTCGAACTAATTGCCAGACCACTATGCAGACAGCCTTTCGAGAGGACCAACCGAGATATCCCTCTAAGCACTTCGTGTTGCGCTGCCCTCTGCTCCTAGGTTTTCATCTACTTGCTTCCTGGTCGCAGCCTTCTGGTGAAAACCCCGAATATCTCAGGTGCAAATACGACCAAGCTTCTTCCACGGTGTTGTGCGGGTTGCATTATGGGCCTTATAGGTATTATAGTCATTCCATTGCTAGGGCTCCGAAGCTAGTCAGTTGTTGAGGGCGTTGTGCGATGGTGACCGAACAAGTACCTTGAGATTAGAGCCGTCCTTCTTAGTTGCCGCTGTGATATGGAGCAGAGGATAAGGTGGACAAAGCCTTTTCTCTGTATAGATGATATGTCGAGCTGTGCTCAAGTCCACGTCCCTTTGATGATGGCAAGGAGACTAGGAAGTTGAAGCTGTTCGTAAAAGCCCTAACGCTCAAGGGTATATTGCAGCGCCACTTCAAATGCTATGATATGCGTCGATGGTTGTACTTGCGCACTTCATGCACGCTCATAGATCAATCAAATCGGGCTCGCCATCTCCCACCCCTCGAAGTAACACTATCATATTCCCAGTAGTACACGACTCCCCAATCTTCTCGGCAAACTTCAGTAACCGTCCACCCTCGACATGGAATACGCGTAGTTTCTCTTCCTCGCCTCCACCGCGGTTGTTGACGTTCTGGACCTGCAAACTCTTGGCCGCCATATCTAGCACCCGTCCCACCGTCCACTCTTTATTGTAGAAGAATTTACCGGTTGGGAATTTCGCCTTGGTTGTGTCGGCGGAAGCTTCGACGTGCAGGTATATTCGCTTCTCTTGCGGTACGCTTGCCTCGCCTTTCGCTGTGCGTTTCAACATATTGAGCTCGGATTGTGCCGAGGCCGCAGCACTCGAGTTCTTGCCCAGTCCAAGGAAACCGCCTGACTTCTTCGGTGTACTTCTCCGCTTCGCATCCTCATTCCTCTTGTTCTCTGCCCATAGTTTCAGCTTCGATAGGGCGCTCATCGTCTGCTGTCTTGCACTTGGGGCAGTCGCGCCGCGCCGCGGTACGTTTTTGCAGTCATGATCTTCGGGCATGCGATGCTTGAGGCAGTAGGAGCGGTTACATGACGAGCACTGGTTCGCTGGCATGCGCGGTGTGTTGATGAGCGTCTTGCACGACTTGTCGTAGCATTGCTGGTCGTGGGTATACAGTGAGGGCTTCGAAGGTACGGACGATGTCCTAGCCTGTTCTGTTCGTGCTCTAGCCCAGGCGCCTTCGTTGATGCACTTGTGTGCATATTCGCTCCGGTGGTCGAGACAGAAGGTTCTGGTCTGGTCAGTACTGCTTGCTGCGTCGATATAATAGCATACAAGACACTCACCCCTTGCAGCTCTGGCATTTGAACGGCAGGAAGTCAAGGACATGGCAGTATTCTAGTTGGCAGTGTGCGCCAATAGCTTCAACTTCGCCTTGCGGCATCTCGACGTATGATTGCGGTTGGGAGGGGTTTGTGTTCGCCATGGTTGCGCGTTGTGGTGCGAGATAGTAGAGCGTAGAGGTAAGTAATCGCGGCGAAGATTGCTAATACCTAAGGGAAGGCTTTAGAGGCTCGGACAGCCCCAGAAAGCTCGAGAAGGTGTGCTAAGCCTCCACTGTGCCATGAGCTTACCTTTCATGTCACTCATCCTCGGTCGGAACGGCCTTCCGAGAGTGGCAAGCCCAGCCGATTACTAACCTCACTAGCGCAAGGGTCCATCTTCTCCCAGTAGGGCCCAAATGTTCAAACATATTCACAGAAGCTGATCTTGGAGATAACGTAACTACGTGGCTTGATAATAAGAACTTCGAGCTTGTTACTTTGGTATGACTCCCAAGCTCATTTCATTACTAACAACAACGGCGCCCACTCATTGTATGACATGATGCCATGCCCTATGGAAACGTGAACCTACTATATAAAGACCAGTATCTCAGCGCCAACGCCACGGACACTACCTCTCGCCCACATCCTCCGCGATCCTCTTGATCAAGCCCTTCATCTTAGGCCACAGTTCTGGTATTCTGAACGGCTTCGAAATCGCGTCGTCCATACCTGCCGCAAGAGCATGCTCAACCTACAAATTGGGACATTAAGTCAGTAATGGCTTTCGCGTCCTTTGCTCTTTCGATCCCTTACCTGCTCAATTCTTGCATTGGCGCTCACCGCTAGAATTGGGAGCCCAGCGCCTTGTTCCTTGATCGGTCCTAAGGAAGCGCTAGGCTCGTGGGACGAAGAGATGGGTGACAGAGAGGACGTGGAGAGCTGTCGAGTCGGTCTGGATGGCGGAGGAGGAGGAGGCGCGAGGAACCCTTGTGCTTCGTAATCACGAATCAAGCGGGCGCAAGTCAGGCCGTCCATGATTGGCATTTCGATGTCCATGAGAATGATGTCGAGTTCGTGTTTTCTCTTAGCCGGTTTGTTTTTTGTAGGTGTTCCTACATTCGTACCATTTTCATCTCTTTTCCCGTCGCCTACTCGCCAGTAAATACTCCCTTTCAGCCACTCCAGCGCTTCTTCCCCATTACCTGCAACGCTGATGGTCCAACCAAACTTCTGCAGTTGCCTTTGAAGGACCTTCTGGTTCACTACATTATCTTCCACGATGAGCACATTGAGCTTCACCTTCCTCATTGCATCCTCGGCAGACGCCATTCTTTGCAGCCCTGGACGGGGCCTGCCGGCAGGACCTACTAGCTGGCTAGCTGGTGGATTTGCGAGTCGCGCGCTGACGTAGAAAGCGAAAGCGGAACCGACATTCTTTTCAGAATGAACGCCTATGGCGCCACCCTGAAGAGCTGAGAGCGATTTGGATATGAAAAGACCAAGACCAGAGCCGCCGTATTGTACATGCGTACGAGGGGTAGCCTGAGAGAATCGGCTAAACAGTTTCTTCTGTTCTTCCTCGCTCATCCCACATCCGGTATCTGTTACTTTGAGCCACAGATGACATTGCCGCCCCTTACCCCATTCCATCTTGTCAAGGAGGTCCTGTGCAGGCCTGTCACCGTTCGTAAAGGTGATATCTGGCCAAATCCTTGTAGGCCGATGCCACGACCCGCCAAGAGTGACCAAGATCTCTCTCGTAGCGCGATCTTTTGTGAACTTGATGGCATTGGTACTGAGAAATGTCAGCACGACGCATACCAAGGCAGGAATACCACGTACAGGAGGTTGATAAGGATCTGTAGCAGACGTGACGGATCCAGCATCACCCAATCCATGCCCTCGAAACTCTCGTCTTCCCTAAGCTCGAGGCTGATGTCTGCTTGGCTGCACTCAACGTCAAACATTTTCAGAGCGTCCGATACTATTAGGGCCGGCTGTACCCTCACAGGCGTGATAAGGATCAAGTTAGAATCCAGCTTCGACAGTGTAAGCACATCGTCGATGACTCGCTTCTGATGCAGAGAGCAGGAAACGATGGTTTGTAGCGAGTCGATGCATATTCCCAATTCCGCTTGCGTTTTATTAATGTCAGCGTCTAGCTGCGATCCAGCCAGCTGTTGAAATGGCATTTGTTGAAGAGATGCAATGACCGAATCCGCGCATTGTACCACAGCAGATAATGGATTACGCAGCTCGTGAGAAGTCATATCGATGAAACTATCATAGTAAGTGATTGACGCAACGCAAACGGGCTAGAGTTGTATACTTCTCTTGTTGCCGTTTCGCTTCTAGGGCCTCCTCTATTCTTCGGCGTTGCACACTCTCTGCCCATTTGAACTGCGATATATCGAAAAGCGTTCCCATGATACCTACAGGATATATGTCAGCATTTGGCCAATAAACAAGGTAAGACATCATACTCATCACTTTTCCGCTTCCGTTCAGCTCTGGATAGCTTGAGCTCTGTACCCAAATATTTGAGCGAATCCCGTCCTGGTTAATCCATTGCTTTTTCAAGCGAAATTGAATTCCATCAGATTTTTTACCTTCCAGCATATTAGCCCAGTCTTCCTCTACCCGACCTATGTCTTCGTCCGCTATTGCTTCGAACCATTTAGACTGATCAATCGGTGCGTGTGGACAGCCAGTAAGCTCAAAGAATTGATCGTTAACAAACGTCATTCCTACATTACATGTTAGTGCATACGGCGATGTCAGGTACCCTTACCTACCACTCTGTGGAACAAAGATATAGATTGCGGTAGGTGAGAGCTGTGCGAATCTGGCAAACTTCAGTTCTGACAGTCTTGCCTGTTCAAGAGCTTCTACTCGCGCTTGAGCTGCTTCTTGCGTTCTTTTCTGTGCGTTGATGTCGATTGTGTTGCCAGCAATGCTGATCAAATTTCCTTCATCGTCGATGACTGGGACGCAGGCTGATAATACCCATTGTGCGATGTCGTCGGTACCGGCTCGTGGCTTCCACCGCATTTCAAATGTTACTGGGTGGCCTTGGGTGAGTGTGTTCCACATCAACATGACGGTAGCCCGGTCCTCTGGGTACACAAGGTCCATGAAAGAATAGTCGACGTGAGCAGGTAAATCCTTAGGGTGAGAACTGAGAACTATTAGTGCCATGATAGGAACTGAGCTTTCGTAGGAATGCACATACCTCAATCTATACCATGCCTCATTCGCATGTAGCAACTTCCCCTCAGCGTTGTACTCGAAGACTCCAACGTCGCTCATCTCCATCATAGTCTGAATGCCTTCCCAGCGTGCGCTCAGATTAGTCCGTGGTATGCTTCGAAGCAAAACCGGTCTGTCTAGCTCAACGTCTTCCATGAATTCTTGTGTAGAGCGCCTGTAGCTGGGACTTAATCCTAACATCGCAGAAGCATCCTCCAATCCTGCTCTCTTTATGCATTCATTAGTTCCGAAGTCCTGATGTTTCGAGACAACCTCTATCATCCTGATCAATTTCCAGCCACCAGTGGCTCCTGCAACCTCCGCAAACCATATGCTACATAAAAATTCATATCGTGGTTTGAAGTTCCCCAACGCCTGCGCCCACGATCGAAATAAAAGCGCCGACCTGTCCTCGGCCTGTACGGACATCGGGAAATTATTGGTTCGAAAAGCTGCGTTGCAGAACACAATATCGAAATCGAGCGCTTTTGAACCTGTTTTGATGATAAAAATTGGCATGAAATCAGCTTCTAGAATTGCCAGATCCAGTCTGAGTGAGTGGATAGGTTCCTCAGGCGATACCATTCCGAGATTTTGATGATAATCCTCCAGCCCATGCTCATCAGAAGATATAAGTTGAACCCAAGGCCAAGAACCAGGGCGCGTATTTGAGCTGTATGGGCCTAGCGATCAACTTCGGCAACGAGATGCGACTGCGGAGTCTGGTAGAGGTGGTGCCACGTTGTTCCTTGCAAAATTGCTATTGGAGTTGCCCCCGAAACTGATTCAGACCTATGAGTCAAGGCTCATACTGTAGACTAGGTAACTATGGGGCCAATCCAAAAGAATACAAGCCGAAAAGAAGCCCTACATACCTATGATGAAGCTCTTTATGGCAGCTTAAGCCCATAACTTTGGAAGCCAGCCGGTGGCCGAGCATTGTCTTGCATATGTATATGCTGTGGATCAGGGTCCGAGACAAGACGCCGTTTTCATAGTTTGCCATACACACAATGGCCGGCTGCGTACAAGTCATCGTCATCTTAATGGAACAATGCAAACACAGAGCCTCGGAATAGGCTCTAGACTAATATCCGTCGCCAGATAAATCCGTCTTTCACTTGGTCGCGAAAAGAGCAAAAAAAAATGCAAAAGCAAAGACTTATCATACCAGGTTGTTCGCTAGGGGTCACCCACCTAGGTACTAATCCACCAGATTCACTGCTGAGGGCCGTTTGATGGGCCACTTCAGACTGGTCTACAGTGTCTGTTTTGTATGATGATAGTTTTCCCAATTTAGCAATATATAAACAAGAATCATTTGCGCATCTTCCTCTTCATGCGCCCGCAGCTATTGCTCCGGCTAGTTCATTCTGGGCCTCTCAAGGCCACGATCGTCTAAGCAGCGTATCACATGTTAGTACAAAGAGTGAAGTCTCACAATGAATCGGCCACGTGATATCGCGGGTCGTCTTAGCGCGACGCGTTGAGAAGTCGCGACCCCACATCAGCACCTCACGGCACTAGACTCCACGCACTCTCAAAACTATCTGGCAGCGCTCGGAGTCGTAACCGATGATCCCTTTGGACGATGAGTGATACTGATTTCGATCTTCCCTCCGAGGACGAAGAAGCGCTCGCAGCGGCTACAGCTGACGTCGTGACCGGAAAGCGCAGCTTTGAAAGGGACAACGACCATACAACGAATCCTTCTAAACGATCGAAAATTGGGGAGACGCCAAATACAACGCCATCGCCTAATAGGATACTGGCCAACAAGATTCTCAAGGAACGTTTCGGGCTCAATGGCTTTCGGCTTGAGCAGGAGGCCGCGATTACACACCTACTCAACGGTGATAGTGCAGTAGTCGTCTTTCCTACTGGTGGCGGCAAGAGTCTTTGCTATCAAGTGAGTAACCTTCGCAGATATTTTCCAGTTTGCTAATCTTTCGAGGTCCCTGCTGTGGCATTTAGGTATCAAGATCAGGAACTAGGTCGCCGGTCGTCGGGACAGAGCGGCGTTACCCTTGTCATCTCGCCTCTCATCGCGTTGATGAAAGACCAAGTCGATGCCCTTTTGCGCCGTGGCATCAACGCCGCAGTGCTAAATTCCTCGGTTACGAGAGATCAGTATCTTGCCGCCCAAGATGATCTGAGGAATGGCCGCTTAGATTTGATCTATTGCGCCCCGGAGCGTCTGAACAGCGAGGGCTTCATTGCATCCCTCAAAGACATTCCTGGTGGTATTCGTCTGCTTGCTGTCGATGAGGCCCATTGTATCTCCGAATGGGGCCACTCTTTTCGCCCCGACTACCTGAAGATCGCTCGGTTTGCAAAAGAGGCCAAGGTTGAGAGAATCGTGTGCTTGACGGCTACGGCTACGTTAAAAGTCGCTGAAGACATCCGGAATGCCTTTTCGATACCCAAGAACGGCTTGTTCAGAACCACAATGTATCGGCCTAACCTACGTCTACTTGCCGAGGCAAATTCGAATGACACCGATTACAAGGCTAAGCTTGTTGCCCATGTCAGAAAGTATCCTGGTCCTACGATTGTCTACGTCACACTCCAAAAGGGCGCAGAGATCTTGGCTGCAGACCTCAAGAGCCGAGGATTCCATGCGAAACCATACCATGCAGGCATGACTCCGCAGGTCCGTACGAAGACGCAAGATGAGTTCCTAGCTAGCCGCGATATGATTGTCGTCGCCACTATCGCATTCGGTATGGGGATTGACAAACCAGACATCAGGAGTATCGTTCATTTCGACATCCCAGATAGTATTGAATCTTACAGCCAGCAAATTGGCAGAGCTGGTCGTGACGGGAAGCCAAGTGTCTGCATGTTCTATCTTGCGACCAAAGATTTCTATCTGCGGAACATCTTCACCTACGGTGATCGACCGTCGCTGTGCTCGCTTAGGTTACTACTGAAGGACCTATGTTCGCCAGATCGCGCGCGACTCCAAGCTGGCGATACATTCACGCTATCCCTATACACTCAATCTCGTGAGGTCGACATAAAACCCACTGTTTTAGGCATCATCTACGCTCAAATGGAACTACACTTCGGGCTTTTCCGCGCTGCTGGCGCAATGTACAACAAGTACAAGTATATCATCAAAGATCCGAACATTGTACTGAACGACGCTTCCCCGGCGGCATCGTCGATCCTCAAGGCCTCTGTGAAAAGTAGCAAGTGGACTCACATTGCGCTTGACGAGCTTGCAAACTCTTCAGGCATTGCTCGATCAGACCTGGTGCGTAAAGTGGACGAATGGAACGAGCGCGATGCGATTCAGCTTGAGAAAGAGGGAGTTCAGAACATCTTTCGCCTCGAACGACCTTTACCCTCATCACCCCAAGAAGTCGAGGATATCATCAGGCAGGTTGATGAGAGCATGGAAGCCACAGAACATCAGAACCTGGCACGCACTAGGGCGCTTCTCAATCTCATCACAGACAGCAAGTGCTTTGCAAGTGCGATCGGCGCCTATTTTGGCGACTCCTCAGACAGCTTATCAGAAGAGTGTGGGCATTGCAGCTGGTGCGAGACGCACAAAAAGGTCGTTCTACCAGACGAACCACCGCAGCCGCCGGACCCTACCAAGGTCAAGAGAATCTTGGATAAGATCACCGTACGCGACGATCCTAGATTTCTTGCTAAAATAGCATTTGGCATCAAGAGTCCCCGGATTACGGCACTAAAAGTTGTCCAGACCGGCGTGTTCGAGTCTATGAACGTCTGCGATTTTGTAGAGCTGCTGAAAGTCTTCACTGTGGCCTGTGACACGGACAATGCGAAGGCTTGAGCCTGCTTTCTTAGGATGAGGTGGGAAAGACGATTTGTCTCATTGTTCTTGTTGACGGACACCCTTATTAAATCCACGGAAACAATGTGAGTATCTTTCTTGATAAGCTATTACCTTCGTCGTTGACATTGTCCTCTCCAGAGCCTCATATCTAGTTGATATCTCGACGGCAACTTTGGTCACCCACGGCCCCTTTGACCACCAGGAAGCAGAGTACTCATGCCACTCTGGGATATCACAAATTCAACGCTTGTCCATAAACCAGTAGGCAGACAGTTCCAAAGTCTAGGACTATTGGTTCTCATATTGGCGCAGGGAAGATACAGTGTATAGATGCAGCTCGGTATAACGTTCTTTTTGAATCGAGGCAGGTTGTGCCTGGAAGAGATGATAACACATACAACTATTATTGAGCGGATCGCTTACTTTGCGGTATAGTATACAAATATTAGCTTGAACGATGTTCAGGCAATACTGATCTCATCGCGCCTGAGGAGCAATGAACTTCCTCCAGAGTAAAATCTCTTATAGCTCCTTCTGGTGACCCGACTGACTCTCTTCTCTCCTTAATTCCTTCGCGCCTGTAACTGGTCGTCCCTCCACGGCCTTTTCCCCACCAAACATCTTGAATGCGTTATAGAAGATGTATTCCGTTGCATGCTCGACCGGCTCATCAAACATGTACGGCAAGAAAGGAACGGCTGCGAGACCGAGCTGTCTGATGTTAGCATACAAGCCATACACAGGCTACACTGCTGTCACTCACCCCAATGGGACCCCACGTCCGTAAAGTCCTGTTCTTCGCATCCTTCAACGCCCGTCCAGAATATCTGACAATGCTGTGAATTGTGAAAGCGGGCAAGCCCATGGATGCGACTGCTTGGAAAATGGCTCGTTGCGCCATGACAGACCGATAGTCTTCAATCGCAGGTACTTTCCCAGGCGCAATCTGCCCTCCAGTCAGTGCGCCCCCCGCACTCCCATACTTTACACCATCCGTACTCGTCACATTCTTAGCCACCTCTTGTACTTTGTTTAGAATACCAGTACTTCGTCCAGTAGCTGACGTGTCCTTGTCGTCCTTCTTCTCTGTTTCATCGACTAGGTACTGCTCGGGATGTAGTGTTCGTTGGTTTCGGCAGTATGCCTTGTATCCTTCATTAGAAACGTCACCGATGAGGTATAGCCACGATACTCCGTATGCGCCCTTGACAAGGTATGGATGTGCGATGGGACGGAAGGATTCGCCTATGTCGGATGTGTATGCGACGTAGCGGTGGGCGGAGAGCATGATTGTGCGTATTCGGCTTGCGTACGCGGCATATCGAATCGATGTGTCTGTGGTATCTTCGGCTCTGTACAAGACCTTAGCATTCACACTGAGAGAGTAGGTATCGGTCCAGCGCATAAGATGAAATGCGCCGAGTTGTTAGACAGAAGGTGTACTTACTTTCCCTCGTACATGACTTCCCAGAGCTTCTCCTCATCGTTCAATGTATCTTGAAGTTCTTTTGGCAATTGTTTCCTCGGCGGCAGTACTGAGAAGTCAGGTCGAGTGCCCTGCCGCTCCTGCGGTACGCCATTGACCTCTTCTACGCGTTTGTCGTCTTTCGCCATATCGAATGTCGTTTGATTCTTCTCTTCTCTAATTGTACAATACAAAGGAAAAGGAAGAAAAAGTCTGTTAGCACGCGGGAGTAGTCGAAGAATGCAAGCTCGAATGCAAGCTCGAATGCTGATACCCGCTGCCTAATTAAGCCCTCGGCTTATTCGAACGTCATGAATGTGGCTGGAGCCACCTTCCGCCTTCGTTCGCTGCACCAGCCACACCTTAGGTAAGCACCTTCCACCCTCCCGAACAGAGCTCCGAACAGAAACACTACCGTCACCTACGCTTCCCAATACCATCCATTGCCGCTCCATCTCCCAAACTACCGGTCGGAAATCCTTCAATACCGCCAAGATGGTTGCCATGTACACTATTGCCGGCCGCCAGGTCGGATCGCACGTCGTACGTTACTCTTCACCAACCCGGGAGGAAAAGCTCGATTACAACGCTGAGAAGCCATCTACAACCGCACCGAATGTACGAGGCTGATTGAAATGCTGTGTAGCTTGCGATCGCAACCCTAGTCACAACCATTGGCGGCGCCGTCATCGCTACGAGCGGCAAGAAGACCGAGGAGAAGAGCCAACCCCCGATCAACGCGAAGAGCCCAGCGGAGGAAAGCTTCGTAAAGTACGGATTACCCCACACATGTTCCATTCAGCACCCTCCGTCGATTTCCGCAAAGCAGTAGGACAGCGTAGGCTCAAGGACCGAGCATGTTTGATGGACTGCTGCGATTGCGCGAAATTGACATGGGACACGGCCGGAAAACTAGCTCCACAACAGGGCGTTTGGCTAACGATAACCAGGGAATACGTGAAGAAGGCCGCCGAGAAGGTACAGGGACATTAAGACTGTGATTGGAGTCATCGAAGCTACAGTGAACGAGGCAGGGTGAACGAGGACAAAATGGATACCCCTCGGCCACATAGATGCATGATGAATGAGAAGAGTTGTAGATACGCCACTTGTACCAACAGCAAATAAGCATTGGAATGACCACCGCAAGAAAGACTTGAAAGCCATGAGAGATACAGTGCGGGACGCATGTGAGATGTGCTGGGTATTTGATAACGTCAGAAACAAACTACATATTGACAAAAGCCATGCCCAAACACCAGGTATCAGGTATCAATCCATCATAACACGTTTGAAAGCAGAAGAACACAGCCACCAGGTCCCTAGCCGAAGCTGCAGACTAGATTCCCAACGCCCTTCCATGACGCAAATTCCAAAAGCAGCCTATTCGTCCTCTAGAACAATCCTCTTACTCATGCTATCAACAACCTTGCAGTAGAACTTGGCCGCCTGTCCCCTTGGGAAATATATCTCCTCTGTAAGGTAATCCGGTAATAGGTCTAGGAGCTCTTTGTCGCGCTGCTCGTTGAGTAGGGGCTGATAGATGAACTCGGTGTCTTCGTAAGAGTCGCTGCCGGACACTACCGTAAGGTGGAAATGTAATGCTGGGAGAAGAGTAGTTAGCATCGTACATTTGAAGATTAATCAGGCGAGAGAGTGCTTACTTCCATTCCGACCTGTTTGTAAACAGTCGTAAACATCCTCCTCGTGCTCATTTCTCTTCATACCCAGCACAACAAGATTCGTCAGATCGCTGTACAAGTCAATTTTTTGCTTTGCTAGCTGAGCTTCCTTTGCTGTCTCCGCCGCGCCGGGAAGCACAACACCATTTGATCGGTTCTTGATTGCGCTGCCTGGTACGTTTTTGGGCTCTGGTGGGGCTGCGCGGGCTGCTGCAAGCTTGTTGGAGAGAGTCTTGCTCTCGCCTTGTGCAGCGGCTAGCGAATCTGCAAGTTTCTTATTTTCAGTATTGAGGCGCGCGTTTTCTTTCGAGAGTTGAGCGAGTTCCTTCTTTACGGCGGCGAGGTCGGATGTGCGTGATTGGAGTTCTGAATTTTGTTGCTTAAGAGCTTTGATGACTGCGTCTTGGTCTGGTGGGAACGTCAGTAGTTGAACCGCCACTTGTATGAGTCAAGAGGCTTACCCTTCGCAATCTGCTCTGTGCTCTTCCTTAGCTGCTCAAAGTTCGATTCCTTCCCTAACGAGGCAGTCTCCTTGAGCGTATCATACTTGAGCGTCATGGCGTCGAGCTTCCTGGTAAGATCGCCTACTTTCCGCCGTAGCACTGGATCTCGCTCGGAGTCTGATACGCTTCCTGTCCGCCTGATCCCGTTTGACATCTGCCGAGCTCCCCTGGCTGGTACTTGCGCTCGCCGTGCGGATGGTCGCGGTGGCGGTGGCATGCTTTCGGGTATCTCCTCTTCCATCTCTATCGACTCTTCGATGTCCATTGGGTCTTCATCCAACTCCGGTTGGGTCTCAGGAATCGTCATATGCTCCGGCTCAGCTTCTGGCTGGGGTTCTAGCTCGACTGCGCGCTTCGTAGCCTTTGATTTCGCCACAGCCTTTGTCTTAGTTTCTTTCTTCGCCGCAGGTTGCTTTGCTGCTGCTTTGCGCCTCCTCTTTGCCGGTGCAGGTGCTTCTGCTGGCTCCTCATCTTGTGTCTTCTTTGCTGATGGCCTCCCCCGCTTCGTTGGCTTCGTCTGTACTGCGGGCTCTGGCTCGTCAAACTCATCCACTTCTTCAGTATCGCTTCCGTTCGCATGCTTGCGCTCAGCAAGTGCCTTGCGACCGCCCGTAACAGCAGTGCGCTTCTTAACGGTTGCATTGTCCTTCTTCACTTCGAGCGCACTATTACCGCTGACCCGACGCGTCGCTGGCCTGCCTCTAGCAGTCGCCTTGGTAGCTGGTGCAGGTTTCTCGGTTTGCGCAGCTGTTCTACGCGCTTTGCGCGTCGGCGCCTTGTTTTCGGTATTAGAGTCGGGTGTTGGGAGCGCATTGAGCTCGTCGTGTGTCATTTCGTCCTCCGAGGCCGAGTCGACCGTAAAGGAGATGTTTGCAAGCGCACTACGGGGCGCCATCTTGGCCGTATGGAGTGTTGCGCAGAGAATGGGTGCTGAAATCGTTACTCGTTGCTCGTTGCGCGCTGTGATAAAGTGGGATGTAAACAATGCGGCACGTGGCCCGAGTTCCTTCCCTATGCGGAGCAGTCACTTCTCCGAACATTTGATCGCGCAAGGAACCCTGAGGAAGTCCCTTCTTTTCGTGGGACACAGTTGATTGCGTGTGTTCAAATAATCCATATCAGATTGCATCCTACCCTCGAAATCTGCAGGGCTCAGTATACCTACAGTATGTCTGCTCCATCGACGCCCAGTACGTCAAACCATGTACAGTTAGTTAGTATCTTCAGCTCGAATCTGATAAAGTTAGGAACCAGCCCCAGGGCGCTAGATAAGCTCAATGACTTGGAGGCATTCATTCCGTTCCGGTTCCAAGGGCACTAAGTTTCTCGACCATCCAACTCTACCTATCTGTGAAAGTCAATGATCATGGCATGACTACTGGCAAAGCCCCTATAATCTTCAGTATTCAATCTATGACGACGGAGCCTTAAAAATTAGGGCTCTCACAGTACCAAAGACCTAGAGAGATTATTCCGTGATTCGGTCCATGGGCAACTTCTCGGCAACTGGCGGGTTCAGAAGTCAGGAATCGAAGGCCGTTCGGGTATTCCCCCGTACTTTACGAAGCCCTGACAAAGCGTCCCACCTTTTTTCCAAACTTAGTCCTTAGCTAATAATCCGAAACTCCCATCAAGATGCGAATCACAGCAACTGAATTCCAATCGGTGCGTCATCCGAGCCCGGAGTAGCTTGGCGTGTTGTGGGGTAAGTTGAGTCTTGCGCGCGTCGCGTCAACGGGCCTTTACAGGAGGTGGGCTGCCGAGATGTATTGCCGTGCACATGCCATGATGATCAAGTATGATCATGAGAACTAGCACGGAAATATTCCCCCCGGGGGGGATATATGTCTGATATGGCCCGCATGCTAGTTGAACCACCTTTTGGATTCCACCTTCCTCGAACTCTGCGCGGGGTAGCTTTTATAGCTTTGAGCAAAGATAGCACTAAGCTCCAGGATGGTAGTCTCAGATACATCAGAGTCGAAATGCGACGTGTCAGTCCGTTAGAAAAATCACTTTCTACTAAATAATAATCATGTCACAGTCTCGTTGTCGGAGCCGGGCCTGCGGGCCTAATGATGGCAGCGTGGATGGCTAGATGCGGTATCAGCGCTCGAGTCGTCGACAAACGCGGCACGAAGATCTACGCGGGTCAAGCAGATGGCCTACAAATACGTAGTCTGGAGATTTTCGATAGCTTTGGGTTCGCTGATCGGGCGTGGAAAGAGGCGAATCATATGATAGAGGTACGTGGTTACCGTCTAGGCTTGCATATTCTCTGGGACCTGGAAATCCATTTGAGCAAAAGATTGGGCATCGGGATCATCCAGGCTGCACTTTATGGATTACTTTGTGAGTGCCTTGACTAACCAATAACCAGATGTGCATGTGGGTATGGCGTCCCACTCCACCCTCACGACCTAACCCTAACATACCCAGAACCCGGGCGACGATGGCACAATTCGACGGTCAGACCGCGTCCCCGATGTACCGATTGGCCTCTCTCGCTTCCAACAAATCGTCCTGCACCAAGGCCGTATAGAACGCTTCTTTCTTGACCACATTAAGAAGCACTCTAAGGACACGCTCCACGTTGAACGTGCTGTACTCCCCGAAACGTTCCACATTGCCGAAGATAAGTTAGACGACCATTCTCCAGACAATTATCCGATTACAGTTCAGCTGAGGCATTTGACGGAAGAGGAAGCTGCACCTGCTCAGAGTACTGGGTCAACAGTCAGTGATGGGCTGTTTAGGAGCAATCTGGCCGAGGATGATACCAACGAGCTTATTGCGAGGAGCAGAGAAAAGGCCGGCAGCACCGAGACAGTGAGGGCGAAATACATGGTAGGATGTGATGGAGCGCATAGCTGGACCCGGAATCAGCTGGGCTTTCAGCTCGAGGGTGAGCCTACAGACTTTATCTGGGGTGTGCTCGATGTGATACCCATCACCGACTTCCCTGATATTCGGATGCGCTGCGCTGTTCACAGTGCGTCATCTGGATCGCTCATGGTCATCCCTCGCGAGAACAAGCTTGTACGGCTCTACATCCAGCTCACCGAGATCAAGCCAGACGCAAGTGGGCGCGCCGATCGATCGAAGATAAATCCTGACACCATCATCAAAGCCGCGCAGAAGATCATTGCACCGTATACTTTGACATACGAGTACTGCGACTGGTGGACAGCATACCAAATCGGTCAAAGAGTCGGCACGAATTTTGATTATAGAACAAGGGTGTTCTTGGCTGGTGATGCTGTACATACGCACTCGCCAAAGGCCGGGCAGGGTATGAACGTGAGCATGCAAGATTCATTCAATCTGGGCTGGAAACTTGGGTTGGTTGTAAAAGGAATCGCCCAACCTTCGATACTGAAGACGTACCAGTCGGAGAGGCGAAGAATTGCGCAGGACCTTATTGATTTTGACCACAAATTCTCCCGACTGTTCTCTGGCCGTCCAGCGAAAGATGTCATGGATGAGGAAGGCGTGAATATGGAAGACTTCAAGCAAGCGTTCCTCAAAGGTTTGCAGGCTCTTGAGCTCTTGACATTTAGGTGTCATGAAAATTCCAAGAGTATTTGATGCTGACTGAGGATAGGCAATCTGTTCGCGTCAGGTCTCTCGGTCGAGTACGGGACGAGCATGTTAGTCGCGAAACCAGGAAATGCGGTGGATCAGGGCGATGGAACTGACGTGTCCTCCAACCTGGCTAACAAGGTCATCGGACGGCAAGAGCTGGCTTCTGACATCAAGCTGGGCATGCGTTTCCCCAGTTACAAGGTGCTGAACCAGGCTGATGCCCGACCGTGGGAGTTTCAACAGCGGCTGAGAAGCGATGGACGGTTCCGAATCATCGTGTTTGCGGGCAATATTGTCAATTCGCTGCAGAGTGCCCGCCTGCAAGCCTTCTGTCAGCATTTGGCGGCGTCGTCTCTCTTGGCTCCCCATTTGTACCAGCACATCGATGTTCTCACGCTCCACTCGTCCAGGCGCACCGATGTCGAGCTGCTACGGGATTTACCTGATGTACTGCATCCGTTCGACGCAAAGACAGGATGGGATTACGAGTCGGTGTACGTGGACGATGTGAGTTATCACGAGGGATATGGGGATGCGTACAAGGGGTATGGGGTCAACAGAGAGACGGGATGTGTAGTAGTTACACGGCCAGATCAGTATGTGGGGCATATTGACTCTGTGGACGAGGAGGGGTTTGCAGGGGTAGAAGCGTACTTTACGGGCATTTTCGTATCGTAGTCGGGGGCGTAATTTAGTTACTTTAGTAAGAGCGGCTAATAATAAACAATTATCTGGGCTCTTCGTCGTCGTAACACAATGCAAGCGAACCCGGGGCCGCCCCATGGGTTTCCCTGGTTGGCCCTCTGTGGTTGCTACGACAACGCCCGAGAACGACACAAGGGCCGGGCGTCCCGCGCCCCATGATGGTCTGGAGAACAGCAATTGCACCCGTGTTTACCAGGACATTCATATCGCGTTTTCGCGTCTCCATCGTTATTCCAGTAGGACAAGAAGATTACTCAAACGCCACGGACGCGAATTATCCTCCTTCACGCGACACAAACAAACAAATACAGGCCCACTTGTCGCAATGGACCCGTCCACAACACCGGGCGGCGGGCATCATCGACGGCCACCTGCATATGATGACGAGGATGGCCTCTCACCACACATGCAAGGAGGCTCAACAATGCGCTTGTTGACAAACGTGGACGAGAGCCAGAGCTACATGCCGTGAGTATCACTCTCCCTTGTTTTCTCGACTTTCACTCGTCCCATTCCACACACCCCATTTCTCATTCCTCTTGTACAGAAGACGCTCGCTCGAGTCGCCTTCTTTCATGTCGAGCGCAAGAAGCAATACCGCAGCGCTAGGCGAGCGCATGACGCCGTCTGAGGTTGGCCAGCAGAAGGCGGCCGAGGCGGGCATTGTTGACTTCCTGCGCGAAGCGGGGGATGCGCTCAAGTCGAGCTCCTCCAACGCTGCGCCTGCGCCTACGTCGCATTTGCATTCGCATTCTCATTCTCACTCGCACATGCCGCGACGGAAGACGATCAAGTCAATGTTGGTGGACCGCATGTCTCCTACAAAGTCGAATATGACGCGCGATCCAGGCTTACCGTTGCAACCCATTCACAGACCCCCATCGCCAGTGTCACGAACATACCACCGTCGCGCAGCCTCGTCAGTATCGGGGCTGTCGCGCACCCCGTCAGTGCTCGATACTGCGCCCAACATGCCCCCGCCGGGGGACGACTCGCCTTCCTACATACCCTACCGTCGACCCATCTCGCCGGATCGTCCAGCTCCAGGGCGGCCCTACTCGCCTACACGCACATCAGTCGACTACTCGCGACCGCCCGCGTCCGTCAATTCATACGAACCTGTAGATATAAACGGCAGTCCGCGGCCAGGCAGTCCTAAGCGGGTCTTGCCTCCTGCGCCATTGTTTGCTGGCGGCGCCCGACCAGTCTCTCGCGACTCAGAGCTAACTATGGATATGACGGACATGACATCGATCCCTATAGACCCCGACGATCCCTTCACCGAGCACATGGATGACGACCGCCCTGACCTGCAGTCGCGCAACTCGTACATGACCGACGACACCTACACAGACGTAGACGATGCTACAATCGACGAAAAGGCAGAGCACTATGGGCCGGCTCCCGATGGTGCACAGGCACGGCGTGGAGTCCGCGATGCAGTCATGACAAAGAAGGAGGTCCGTCTGATCAACGGTGAACTCATCCTGGAATGCAAGATCCCGACCATCCTATACAGTTTCCTTCCGCGACGCGATGATATCGAGTTCACTCACATGCGCTACACAGCCGTAACTTGCGATCCGGACGACTTCGTTGATCGAGGTTACCAACTGCGTCAAAATATTGGCACTGAACGCGAGACAGAGCTCTTCATCTGTATCACCATGTACAACGAGAACGAGCTCGACTTTACGCGGACCATGCACGGTGTTATGCAGAACATCAGCCACTTTTGTTCCCGAATGAAGTCACGTACCTGGGGCAAGGACGGATGGCAAAAGATTGTTGTGTGCATCATCGCTGATGGCCGTGGAAAAGTCCATCCTCGAACGCTAGATGCGATCGCCGCCATGGGATGCTTCCAGGAGGGCATTGCGAAGAATCACGTCAATCAGCGAGAGGTCACAGCCCACGTTTACGAGTACACGACACAGGTCTCTCTCGATTCCGACCTCAAATTCAAAGGTGCAGAGAAGGGCATTGTACCTTGTCAAATGATCTTCTGCCTAAAGGAGCGAAATTCGAAGAAGCTCAACTCACATCGTTGGTTCTTCAATGCCTTTGGCAGAGCGCTGAACCCCAACATCTGCATTCTTCTGGACGTCGGAACCAAGCCAGGGCCCAAAGCACTCTATCATCTCTGGAAAGCATTCGATACGGATTCATCAGTTGCCGGAGCGGCAGGAGAAATCAAGGCCGGAAAAGGCAAGGCCTGGCTCGGTCTGCTCAATCCACTGGTCGCGTCGCAGAACTTCGAGTACAAGATGTCCAACATCCTTGACAAGCCGTTGGAATCTGTCTTTGGCTACATTACTGTGTTGCCAGGCGCTCTTTCAGCGTATCGATACCATGCGCTGCAAAACGATCACACAGGCCACGGTCCTTTGAGCCAGTACTTCAAAGGAGAAACATTGCATGGTCAAGATGCCGATGTCTTTACTGCGAATATGTACTTGGCCGAGGATCGTATCTTGTGTTGGGAGCTTGTAGCGAAGCGCAGCGAACAATGGGTGCTGAAGTATGTCAAAGCTGCGACTGGTGAGACAGATGTGCCAGGTAAGATCAGCCCTAATCTCTGCACACAGTACTGTCACTAACACACCATAGACACCGTTCCTGAATTCATCTCACAGCGTCGACGCTGGCTCAACGGAGCTTTCTTTGCTGCCGTATACTCGCTCTTGCACTTCAAACAGGTATGGCAAACCGACCACACCATCTGGCGCAAGATTCTTCTCCATATCGAGTTCGTCTACCAGTTTGTGCAACTATTGTTCACATTTTTCTCGCTCGCCAACTTTTACCTCACATTCTACTTCGTCGCCGGTTCACTCGCAGATAAGCAACTCGATCCCTTTGGCCACAACATCGGAAAATACATCTTCTACATTTTGAAGTACACTTGTACGCTACTCATCTGCATGCAATTCATCTTGTCGATGGGAAACCGACCTCAGGGTGCGAAAAAGATGTTCCTCTGGAGCATGGTCATGTATGGTGTTATCATGGCGTACACGACATTCGCGTCTGTCTACATCGTCTTCCGCCAACTAAAAGACCCAGAGGAAGAAAAGAAGATTGGGAACAACGTCTTCACTAACCTCATCGTCTCGGCGTCAGCAACCATGGGTCTCTACTTCCTAATGTCTTTCATGTATCTGGATCCTTGGCACATGTTTACCTCTAGCGCGCAGTACTTTGCTCTCTTGCCAAGTTACATCGCAACACTACAGGTCTACGCATTCTGCAACACACACGACATCACCTGGGGTACCAAGGGCGACAATATCGCCAAAACGGATCTAGGAGACGCGAGAGGGAAAACCAAGAACGTGGTCGAACTCGAGATGCCAAGCGAGCAACTGGACATCGACTCTGGCTACGATGAAGCGCTTCGTAATCTGAGAGATCGTGTCGACGTTCCCCCTCCACCGCTATCCGAGACACAGGCACAGGAGGATTATTATAGAGCAGTACGAACCTACATGGTCATTGTGTGGCTCGTCAGCAACGCCATCCTCGCCATGACCGTCAGCGAAGTCTACTCGGACCGCTCCATCAAGAAAAACCACTACCTCAGCTTCCTTTTATGGGCCGTCGCAGGCCTCGCCCTCTTCCGCGCCATTGGCTCCACGACTTTCCTTGTCATCAACAGCATTCATGCGGTCATGGAGACGAAGCTCAAGTGGGAGGATAAAATGGAGGATAAGAAGAATAGCACAGGGTTGGGCGGGGGGCGGAGGAAGTTTGGTGGTAGATTCGGTGGCCGATGGGGTGGTGTAGGCGGTAGTTGGTTCAGTGGGAGTGCAATTTCTAGTAAGCTGAGTAGTATGACGCCTAGTAGTTGGAGTGGAAGTAGTAGAGGATGAACCACCTGCGTTGAAAGAGGCTGGTGTGTCACGACTATCATGATTTGGATTTTTTGGCGTTTCGGGCGGGCTTTGGACAGATGATACCTACGCCGGGCTTTGGATTGAAGCTGGTTCTTGTTCGAATAGGTAGCTGTGTGGATAATGATGAGAATAGATGACTGTCTTTGTTTTTAATCTTTGCCTTGAAATGAAATATCTGATGCTCGTTTCCCCAGCTTTTCAAACCATTCCTCTTTCCCAAGATGACAACCCACTAATAGTCAAGTCAGCCTACAAGCTTTGGCGAAGAAGGCTATGTTCGCGAGACGAACTGCAGTTGTTAATCTACCATCTGCATGGAAGGCCAAGTCTAGAGATAGGTGCAATGAGGGCTGAAGTTTTATTATGTATTTTTGATATTCTTATTTTGAGCAGCGTGGATAAAGGTTTCGATACCTGCCGAAGAAGGTTCCAATATTATTTCGAATTCTGGTCATCTACGAGTAAATGGGTATAATGCAAATGTCATACAAGAACGCCCGAACTGAAGCGTCATCGCAAGTGGCCAAACGTAGCAATGCGAGGTTAAGAAGCACGCAACCTCTCCAGCTGTTGGGCTAGCTCTCTGAGCTTGATATCAATGCTAGAGAACGTGGTAGCATGTCCCTGGGCGCCGTTTGCTACTGCACGCTCAAAGAAGCTCTTGGCTTTTTGTACCTCTCGATGGCAACTCGAAAGTCGGGTGAGCTTTTCCATGGCCGATTCTAGATTGTCGTCCCTGTTTCTGATGTCTGGATCAATATCCCAGTCCTCGTCTGTCGCTTGAGTTCCGAAACTGAGATCGCTAATCCAGAGGCTGATGTTCCCACGAAGTTCGAACAAGCTGGCGTCCTTGTCAAATGGCGGTGAGAGAATGAGCTGGTCAAGCCGGTCGGCGATTTCAATAGCTCGAGTGAGCTCCTCAACCTGAAGCGTTTCTTCCTCTGCGCGAAGGAATTCGTTTGCATCATCGCCCAAGAAACTGTCGGCCGACGCATTGCTCGAGGAACGCGCCCGCGGTGCTTCATCTTGGGCCTTCTTCCTTGCTCGCCTGCTCTTCTCGCAGACCTCGAAGATCCAAAGCGAGAACATGGCTGGATAGAAGGTTCTTTCGTCGACGGCATGCGGGTGGACCTTCCGATTGGGGTGCTGTACAATTAATCGCTCATAGTACTCTTTGGCCAGCTCAAAACCTTGGTCGGAGAAGGCGTTGGTCGCAGTGCTTTGCTCGTGCTGATCAGTGGCACTTGGATGTTTGCGATGAAGCAATATCTCGGCTCCAATGCCCCAGCGCCCCTGGTTCCGTGGATCGACAGGGCCTCCCGCGACCTGGGTTCGCAAGATCATGCCCCACGCTCTACCTGCGCGCTCGTAATCTCCCTCGAGTAAACAGCGATGCATGATAGTCGATAGGACGTTGAGATGGGTCTGTTTCAACGCGTTTGTATTTTGTCGACCATGGATTGAATCACCCTTCACCGCAGCATTGACAGCGTACAGGCGCGAGGGCGACTTGGCCATCTCTTCTTCCACTCTAGCCGAGCTATGATAGCTTTTAGACAAGCTTTCGGGTGCATGAGGGAATGGTGCTGGAGGAACTTGGTATTCCTCATCGGGCAGGAGACCTGCGACACGCAGCTGGGCTGTTTCCGACGAAGTAAATGCGGCGTGCGAATGAATCCTGGAGCTGGACCGAGTCTTCACCTCATCACCATCTTCTTCTTCCTCGTCCTCGTCCTCTTCCTCGTCGCGCCTGGCCCTTCTCTTTTTCCTATACTGGTTCGCTCGCAGCGAATGTTCGGCCGCTTGCTCGCTACGCGACTGAGAGGTGAAGTATTGCATGGCTCGGTTCGGTCTAGAACCGCACAAATCATGCGCCCATCAAGCTGTAACCGCCCCTTCTAGCTAGCCTGCATGATATTGTGAGGCCTATAGGTACAGGTGCAATAGCGGCGGGGGGGTTAGACAGCAGGTGAGAGAAGCAGAGGGAAAAATAAGTTGGGGTAGGTAGGAAAAGCAATCAACGGTTACAGGCTGGATAGGGCTAGCGTCGTTACTAATTGGGCAGGCTCGGCTGGGGCCATCCATACCTACATCACCGCCTGCCGCCGCCAACCTCAGCACTCTGACCGGCAGCCCTGGAGCCTTCCACGCTCCAACAAGCTGTACGTCTTCCTCTCCCACCGCTATTCCTCCCGCGGCGCGCCTCTCTTGCCCGGACGCCCTCGCAACCATGGGCCAGGCAAACTCGACAGGCGGCGCTGAACGGCCTCCGCGTCGCCGGGCTCGGCCATTATCATGGGCGCCTTCACTGATGGGCCGCCCGTCGCAGCCCGACAGCGACGGTGACAGCGACACGGTACCAGAGCTGCTGCAAAGAGTACACGACACCTCGAGGCCGCTATCCCAGAGCACCAGGAACCCGTTCCACCGCCTTTCCTCACACTTCGCGCGGCCAGACGCCGCCTCATCCGCATCCGACGACGCTCCCAATACCCAAAGCCGCCCACGCTCGCGGCTAACCCGGGCGCGCTCCTCTCTGAGTTCCCTCACCGGCCTGCTACACAGCCGCCCAGCGCTACCTGCTCGCAACACCGAGCCCACGTACAACCTCGCCGCCTTCTCCGCAACCGACCGCGCCGCTTTCCCTCGCTCAGCGCCAGGACACTCGGCCAGTGACTGGGGCCCAGTCCTCCCACAACCAGAGATTCCCACACCAGACCTCGGTATCGACTTTGGCCAGCTTCTTAGAAGTCACTCCCATAGCAACCGTCCAGACACACATAGACCGCGGCCGCTGGTGCCTCTGAGCCCGCTGAGACGAGATGGGCGGGCACTCTCTATGCTCCCCACGCAGCGGCGCCTTCGCAACATGATAGGCCCTTCGCGCAGAAGACGCTCACTATGGCACGACGAAGACCACTTGGAGAACATCGAACGGCTGAGAAGGGGCGAGGACCAGGCCGATGTGTTGTCACGGCTGCTCTCACTCGCCGCTGCAGCGACTGCGGCTTCCCTCGTGGGTGAAGACCACCAAGCAGCAACGCGAGACGGCACGTTCGATACATTTCTCCAGTCTCTGCAGAATGGCAGCATAGCGTCAGCCCTGAGGGGTAACGAGAGCGGAGAAAGCGGTGATGCTGCGGGCGGGTCCCCTGCACCACTCAACTTCTTCAGAATGTTCAGGTTCGGAACGTCCACCGAGAGCAGGAGGGATGATCTAGCAGGGAGTCGGGGAGGTGGTGCTGGAAACGATGGTCAAGATGGCGACGAGGATGGTGAGGGTAGAATGGTACCTATTATTATCGTGGGCATCAGGTCTATCAACCCAGGCTCTGGCACAGGACAGGACGATGGGAACATCCCACCCTTCCTAGATGCCCTCTCAAGCTTTCCCACGCCTCCCACTTCACCTGGCGACACTGCCGACCATATACTTCGTCCACCACAGAATGGCACGCGGTTCAGTCACCGACGGCGTGCATCCATGGGCGGCTTCAACTTCCCTTCAAACTACGACAGCCAAAGACACCATCGCGGTACTGCACAGGAGCGACCACGCCCTTGGTCATCGCTTACAGATTCCCCTGCAGGTCCTCTTCCTCCTCCCTCTACGCCTGCCACAACTCTTGGCTTGTCCGCCGAGCCTTCGGGCACCACCACTCCAGCTACCTCTACTTCACCTCCCTCGCCTACAGCCCAATCCACGACCCCATCGCGGCGAGACAGCTTCGTACGTAGGCCCGCCGGCTCAACACTTGAGCCCACTGTAGAAGAGCCGCCGACACATAACCGCAATGCTCGACCGCGACGACTGAGCGAATCAGACTTCACAAGATACGGTGCTGGAGCCCCCAGAAGGAGAGGCGTCGTTGAGCCGGACAACAACCCTGGAGAAGGCTCACGGAGCTGGATAATCTACGTGCTGGGCGGTAGTTACCCCGAGAATCATCCAATCCTTACTACACCGAGTCTCTTCACCGACTCGCCTACGTACGAGGACATGATGCTGCTCTCGTCGATTCTTGGCCCTGCCAAACCGCCTGTTGCAAGTGAAGAAGATGTGGCCTCTGCGCCTGGTCTCTTCAGGATACGAAACATCTCTGGCGTTCTTATTGCGGAGGCAGTCGATGGCGAAGAGACGGTGGATCTTGCGTCGGATGCACGCTGTCTAGTGTGTCTGTGCGACTTCGAAGCAGATGAGGAGGCACGAAAGCTAGTCAAATGCGAGCATCTGTTCCACAAGGTTTGCATTGACCAGGTAAGCTGAACCCAGCGCTTTCAATGTAAAAGCAGATACTAACCTTGCCTCAGTGGTTGACGACGGGCCGCAACTCATGTCCGCTTTGCAGAGGTGAGGGTGTCCACGAAACGGATAAAGAGCCCGCCGATCCACCTGCTTTTGCTGGCAATTCTTCCGCGCAAGCAGCTGCTTGATCTGTCTATTTTTGAATGCCTTGCGTCCTCTTTTAGCATGCCAGCTCCACTCACTTCATCACATATACCCCATTCTCAGCTGAGTGGCGACACTACTTATCTTTTCTATATCATTTTCTTTTGGATATCTTGAGATATTCTGTCTATCTGCGTTCTGCGTTTTGAAAGCACCATTTCCTTTGCTTGGCTCTCAATCTAGTCATGGGTCCGGAGCGTTGGCGCAAACGTGTTCCGAGTTGGTTTTTCCCCCTGGCATTTTTGGCATACTAAGGAGGCCCAGGTTGGGCTGATGCTGGGGTTCTTCCGTGCAGCATTTGAACGACCTCAACGACCATTTTCTTGTGTATATGAGGTACAGGGAAGGGGGCGACACATATATACCTAGTTGGCGTGCTTGGATTAATGCAGAGTTGATGAGCTGCTACGCAGTGCTCAGGAAAGCACAGCAAGCAGTGTAATGACAAAGAAAACTGATCTGATCATGATGGACCATTGTGAATATCAGCGCGTTGGGTTTTGTCTTGATACTCGATGTCTTCTAGAGCTCATAGGTAAGAGCCAACAGAGTTGAAAGATGCTAATACAGAGCAAAGAGTTGGTCGATCAATGTGCGATAGACGTGATACTTGGAAGCTGGAAGGAGGGGTAGCCAGCACTGAGCCGTCATTGTCATTCGAGACGCTTGGAAACAATTGGGACGAGTCGGCCAGCAGGGTTAATTTGCCGCATCCGCCATGGTTGCTAGGCCGGGCCCTACATGTGATTATTTAGATGATCCTTTGGCGGATAGAGCACCGGTCCAATCTCCGCAGACTCGAAAGGCAGAGATGACGGAGATGGGTTCTTGTTACCCGTCGTGTCTCATGCCACCTACCATGCCATTAGGCAGACCGCAGAGTCGGTACTATGAGCCAGGAAGCTCATTAACTGATTTACTTGTTTCCTATCAATAGCCCTTGTATTAGCTCGGTGTTGCCTGGCTCGGAAATGAGTAAGGTGGAAGATCAATGTGAAGTCTAGTGAATCCGGTAGGATCTAGCAGAGTCGCATAGTGGAGTCCGATCCCACTGATCGCGTGACTAGGCTGTGTGGTCTTACTCGTTCACGGAGCGATCGCGAGCATTTATGAATCGGCGACTAAGTGGTGAGACGAGCAGTAGTCAGGATAGGTACGGTAGATGCTGCAGGGTTACATCATTCAGCACTGTGCCAACAGACACTTGCTGCAGAGCATGCTCAAATAAAGTTTGGGCAATCCGGTAAGACGTGGGATGGTTCGAATCAAGAGAGTTGAAATTTGGGCAGCCCCCAGCAGGACGTCGCACACACGAAGAGACGTCTGCAGGTGGGTGGAAACGGAGAGTTTCAACGTTTCAACCCAAGTGTCGTCTGGCGATGGCTGGGTCTCACAAGAGGCATTAACCCTGTGCTCCACACGTGGGCTCCGCTGTCGCGGAACTGTGCATCTTGGTTTCGAATCGACCTTATGCTATCGCGTCTAATCTTAGAACCGTCGATGGGCCAAGCAGGTCGGTCTATCTAACAACCAACCCCACACACTACCTCAATCGTCTGCCGTGCCCCCCCTAGCACATTACTCATTTCATGCCGACTGCAAGCCATCAGCGCAGTGCAGGCCCCACACTCTGTGTCCACTGGGCTCCTTGGAAGATGCTGTCTACTCTGCGAAAATGCAAGCCTTGGAGCTTTCGTCAGACGTGGTACAGTTGGCCGAGACCTCACCCGCGTACGATATCTCGAGGGGGTTGCAAAGCAGCAGGCGGCATGTTGTGTCAACCAGCGACAGGTCCGACTGCTTTTGCTTATTACATGACGTACAGAAGCTGAGCTGCACTGTCACCTTCCGCTTCACCACACGCCCACCAGTCAGCGGCTACCGGAAGTAAATACCTAGGCGATTACAGTAGCCTTGATCCATTGATATGCCATCCTAGGCCGGGCCAGGGCACCCAGAAGCATGCTGGCACAACATCTGTAAGGTCTCATTATCTGTCAGGGCCTAGCCCAGTTGTGATGGTGTCGACCTAACCCCACCTTAGGAGAGTCTCCATTACGAAAGTGCACAAGACGGCTAGCAGCACCCGCTTGTTGACCGGTCATGCACAGTTACGTCGATAAGATATCCCTTTCTAATCTTCTACCACACGACATCGTTTCGGACATTACAAACAGTACATACAGGCGGACCGCTCCATGTTTCCATCATGCTACACCAGCACGCTTTCTGATATGTGGCACCTGGACCTTTTTTTTTGGCGCTAAGAAGCAAATTACACAGATTAATAAATCATGCCACCGCATTATTGCACCAATCTTCCCGCGTCATGCCGACAACATCGTTGGCGTGCAGATGGGTCGTGGCGCTTCTCAAGTCTTGGGAAGACGCCTTAGGTCCCATCGTCACGGGACAGCAGCCTAGGAGGGCAAAGGGATGCGCATCTCCAGGGCTTGAACTGGTTGCCCAGGTAGTATTCAGCGCCGTCGTCTTCTCGAACCAGGCTTTCCTTCTCCCGTCAACGACCTAGTTGTTGATTGACTCGGGACAAAGTAACCGATGGAGTTGCATCCATGCCTGCCCGGCTAATATCTGGCTTGTCCGAGCTAGCCGTGTTTGTGTCATGGTATATCAATTGATATCATCCACAAAGGCCCATTCATGTTGATGAGGCTCGAATGGTGGAAGGAATGCCACCGGGCAATTGCACAGCATCATGCGTCGGGACTTTCTCCACTTTGGGGAGGGTGGAAATTCACGAAACTCGTAGCTATAGAGGCCCTGACCTATACTCAACGGCGCCCTCGCGCAGTTTGGAGCAAGGGCAATTAGATGTGGCGCCTCCCAGTAGGGCACTAACTCTTGACTGCCGCTTTCGGCGCATCACATCCTATCCTATCCCCTCATAGTGCACGTCATTCGCTGATGACGGGCTGGTGTACGAGGGCATCACCAAACGCCCCACACACTCCCTCCCTCAGCACTTTGCTGCGGGACATCGGGGGCGTTTCGCGGTTTCACGCACGTACACACGCTCCGCGCTGGCTCTGGCAGACGTCTTTTGCTAGGCCGTCAACGGCGATCGCTGGATGCAAAGGATCCATTGATCATTGCCGCCCATGAATCGCACGCGTAAACCAAGTTGACAGGCGGGATCACCGGCGGGGATGTGTGAAAAAGTGGCCCTTTGCGGCATGGATGGGTGTTTACTAAGTAATTACTTAGTAATTTAGTAATTACTATTTAGTAAAGCCTAATTAGGTATAGTACCTAGTAATTACTATTT